ATGGATGGACAGATGGATGCATGATTGGATGGATGGATGGATGTATGGATGGATGTATGGATGGACAGACGGATGGATGGATGGATGGACAGATGGATGGATGGATGGATGGATGGATGGATGGACAGATGGATGCATGATTGGATGGATGGATGTATGGATGGACAGACGGATGGATGGATGGATGGATGGATGGATTGATGTTTTTATGGATAGTTGTGGATGGGTGGATGGACAAACAGACGGATGGACTAAGGATGGACAGATAGATGGATGGATGCATGAACAGATGGATGGACACGCTAATGGATGGATTGATATTTTTATGGATGGGTGGTCACATGGATGCTTAAATGGACGGATGAATAAATGGATGGATGAGTTGAGATGAGTTGATAATGCGTAAACCGTGTTGTACTTCAAACTTCTGCCCCCTGTAGGTATCACTCTCTCTCTGCTCTCACCTGTCCTGCTCCCTGTGCTCTCTCAGAGGTCCACCTGCAGACTGAGTGACTCTCAGGTTTATTCTGGTCTCTCTGGAAAGTTCTGTGATCAATACTCGTCCACAGACAGCAGCTTTTGTTTGATTAAGCACTCAGTCAGCCGCTGTCTCTCAGGGGGTCCGTCACTTTAAGCCGTCTCCTCTCTCCTGTCAAAAACTGGTCACTGGGGTTTTCCTGACCCGCTCTGTTCGACTCTCTGAGCTGTTGATACGATATTTTTCAAGCTGTGATCCCTGAGGAGAGGCGGCACATTACTTCTGCGCCACATCATCATCATCCTCTTCATCATCGTTGGAGTTTTCTATCTCTGTCTTTATTGCTGAAACTTCAGAGACAGATGAACAGACGACAAACTGCTGCAGGACGGCTAAGAGAGTGACATAATGCAAGTGTGATATATGATGATTATCTTCTTCCACAACGATCCTGTTTGCATCTTTAATCTTTAATTAAAGCGCCTCTTTAGTGCGCTGTTTAAACTGATGAGGCCGACGCTGCCTTTAACAGCATATTTGGGAACATTTGCTCCGACATAATTAGCAGCGAGCCGAATATTCATCCAACAAACTGTGAAGATCTGAGAAAACATTGACTCAAGATCTGTCAGTGACTCAGTGTGATACTCAGTATAAATATTGACAGGAGGACGGCTTTCATTTTGAGTTAGCATTCTTCTGCATGTCATCTATCATATTTGTTATGATCTGTCAAGGGAGGGAAAAAAAAACAGGAGCTAAGATGTAAAAAGCTTCTCAAGAAATCTAATAATACATTCAAACCAGAGAGAGACTGTACTATTGTCTAAAAATGTGCAGAGACTTTAATTTATGATTAAACACTGAGATCAGCAGACTAACTAACATGCAATTGATTTTTACTTTTCCAGATCCATTTTGAATCAATGAGCTCATGTTTTATGTGTCCTTGAAGATGCATCTGTTCTCCCTCATGTCCCAACCTGGAACAGGCCAGATGGTGATCCATCTCATCTCAACCTTTAATCGAATTATCCGCCGTTTTTAGCCCCATTGAGGTATTTTGGTTGTGATTAAGAAGGCTGATGTTAAAGTGGATGAAGTCAGACGAGGTGGAGGGTAGAGTCATATTTAAATGGGCCAAAGGTTCTGGTTATGCTGATGTTGGACTTCTGTGGGTCACTGTAACTGTAAAATATCTGTTTAAATCTCCAAACCTAGATCAGACCAGGTTTAAACACTGAGTTTTTCACATTATAAATGTCTCCATGAAACGATTCTGTGTAATCATCATATTAACGAAAACTAGAAATATATTTCAGCTGATCATTGTCTCATCTTCGGCATTGAACGAAGGGACACTAGCAAATATTTATCGTCAAAATTTTCGTGAACAAAACTGCAACTGATGACCGACTGACACCAACGTTCATCCTTTCATCCTCAGTGCTCGGTTTGTTTACGCTCATAACTTCAGCATGTCAGCGTTCAGGTTTGTACATCCTCTGACTGTCAGGTCAGGCTAAAACTGAGTTAAAATCGTGCAGCCTGACCTCGGCAGTCAAAATCAGAAACACAGAGTCATGGGTCAAAGTGAACTGCAAACATTGTGTTTGCTGGTAGTCTGTTGGCATCTACAGTAGCACCAATGCTTTTGACTTTCACCTTGACTGGGCCCCATTTGTAATGATCTGAAGTATTTATCTGCATTATATCTGAATTTAACTGGAACGATACGAGCGAGCAGGAGCGTCTGTTTGTGGGCGGGGCTTGAGGGGAGAGGAGGAGCTGAGGGGAAAACTGGTTGGGAGGGGTAGAGTTTACATTCAAGATTTCTCCTAAAAACTGGAACTTCCTCAGATCCTGACTACAACACCTCTAAGCGGTGCATTATTTTACTTTATAGGCTGATGATACAAATCTTTACTCATCTGGGAGAAATCCAGAAAGAAAGAACTGTTTGATCATGTTTATACTGTTAAAATTTAGATTAATGACGCTGACACTAAAAAAAGAGAGCGCAGAGAAAGACTCAAAAGCTGAGCTCCTCGTCAGCAGGATGATTTTAAAATAAAGTTAACTGAAGCATTAAAAGCTCAACATGAGTGAGTGTGTTTCTGAGTGAAGTTCACCGCTCCCTCCTCTCTCTCTCTTTTTGTTCACACTTGTTTTTATGTAAACTAGCAGATGGAGCGAGCTGCTGATGGATGCACTCCGGCTCTGCTTTAAATTCACAGCAGCAGCTGCAGCCTGCTGGAGGCCTGCTGCTCCACCGACCAGCCGGCCAGTTTGGCTGAAACAGAAAAGACACTCAGAGTTTCTTTGAGAGCAGAGATCGAGCTGCTGGGAGCCAAAAAGGAGAGACGGAGAATCAATGAATTCATGGAGAAGTCAACTCCTCTGTTTTCTGTACACTGACGAACTGAAAGGAAATACAGCAGAGGTCCAGAGAAGAGGCCTGACCTCCTGACTCCTGTGCTCTGTAGACCCTCTTCAGCCAAACAGAACCGGGTTATGTAATGACTTTAAAACAGAAATACACTTTAAGGGCTTTCAACCAACAGCTACTAAAGCTTTTCACATCCAAATGTCACCGCTCCTGTTGGATTTGTTCTTCCTAGAGTTCAGAAAGGCGGAAGTTAGACCACCTACAAACTTAGTCTGCTGAGGCTGTTAGGGCCTGTTTCCACTGAACGCAGTTTTACCGTTGTAAGAGCCTATCGTCTGCCGTTCAAGACTCAGCGCCCTGGGTGCAAAGATAGGGGGACCATACGTCCTCTTTTACCCGGACATGTCCTCTTTTTTGGGGGCTGTCCAGGTTTGTCTGAGGAAGTTTATAAAATCCTTAAAATGTCTGCGGTTTTGTATAAGTTTCAAGTTTGTGTCAGGGACTTACTGAGGACTTGCTCATCCAACCAGAACAACTCTCAAAATGAACTCCGTGTGACTCCGTGACTCCGCCCCCGCGTAGTTGTGTCCCCTTTTTGGGAAGTCAGAATATGGTCACCCTATGCAAACAGCTACTGTTCCTTTTTACACGTGCGCTCAAACTTCACTCCATATACATTCACTTCAAAGCTCACATTTAAAGTTGATAAATAAAGCGTACATTAGAGCCTGTTTAATGCCAGAGATGTAGTCTACCGCAGTTCTGATTACAACACCACGACTATCTGATCCAGTACCGTTCTTGAGATCGTGAAGATCTTACGAATGCCACAGTCTATCATGAGGGATCACCATGACGATGCTATCTTGGTGCTGAGATTTCAAACGCCTCCTTCTGGAACCACGTGCCCTCTCCTGCTCGCCTTCTTCAGCAGTAACATCTGTGAACCGTGAGGTCGGCTGGACCCAAACATCATCTCCTGGAGAATCTTAGATTAAATATTTATGGGAGGATCTTTAAAGTGTCACACAGTCCAGTTCATCTATTTTTCAGGAAGATCCCTGCTCTATGTGGACGCTCTGTGTCTTTGTTTGCTGTAGTGAACATGCAGTACGCAGGAGTGTGTTCTCCCTTAAAATAAAACATTAATTTATTGTTTTATATTCCTTTACAGACACTTACCTGGGATTTCCACCGTATCCGGAATGGCAGCGATTTTCAGCTATGATCATCGGATAAGACCTTTTCGTAGACGTTCTGGATGTGGTGGAAAGTGGGGGTTATACATTATCAGCTGACGACAGCATTGACACAGAGACACACGGGTTTATAAGCAGAGAGGTACCGGTCTCACATAGTGAGTGGATTTTACACAAACTCAGTATGTTGTACCTGTTTTTGTAGGAACAGTATTTCGTCATATATACAGTCACGTCCTCCACATGTGTGTATTTATACCTGACCTGATCCTCCGTTCGTTCCTCTCACCTGAAAATATCACACTGTAGAAAGTGCCCGGCTTGCTTTTCTCAGCTCATACATACATACAGCTCCTCATTATTTTGAGGTCATTTCGTCGGCTTACTCAGAACATATTCCTCTCACCTGCAGCACCTGCTGACACAGTCAAATTCCCTCCATCATACATGTGCTGCAGTAAACCTGGAGGCTGCTTCTGCTCACACTGACAGACTCTATGTAAGTGTGTGTGTGTGTGTGTGTGTGTGTGTGTTTCACATGAACACACCTCCATGTTTTCGATGCTCAGAGACCCTTCACAGAGGTCCTGGTCTGGTCTGGGCCTGAAGTCTTATTAATAACACACCAGGGTACAGCAGGCTGTAAGTGTGTGAGTGAAGTTCATATATCTGACTTTCCCCGTCCTTGACACTAAAGATTATTCATAATATTTAAAACAACATCACTACACTACAACACTACAACACTTTTACTTACGTAAACAGCATTGGTGCTACTGTAGATGCCAACAGACGACCAGCAAACACAATGTTTGCAGGACTTCTACAACGAGGATAAAGTGACATAGTCCAGGACCCGAGGGAGGACAGTTTAGCGATGGCGCTACAACACGCTACAGCAGGTCCGTTTGACAAGAAACACTTCTGTTACAGACACTTGTCTTACTTTGTTAAAGCGGTTTACCTGTCCAGCAGAAAGGTTACAGGGTCACCAAGATCCCCAAGCGTCCCCCATCGTTTATGTTGACCCGGCTTTTTAGCTCTTGTCCGGTCTACCTCCGTTTTAAGCGCCCGTTATTCCTCCAGAGTCTCCGGTATTTACTTTGTTTTCTTGCTTGTGTCGGCAGTCGTGGCCAAAGGAGGATTCAGACAATTTTCCGAACTTTCTGGTTGGTTTCTACTGTCCGATATTGTAGCACGCTAACTTTGTTTGGGCTCCTGAACGACACGGGGGAGCAGCATTTTCTTGTTGACTGTTTTCTTGTTGACTGTTTTCTTGTTGACTGTTTTCTTGTTGACTGTTTATGGTTGACTGTTTTCTTGTTGACTGTTTTCTTGCTGACTGTTTTCTTGCTGACTGTTTTCTTGTTGACTGTTTTCTTGTTGACTGTTTTCTTGCTGACTGTTTATGGTTGACTGTTTTCTTGTTGACTGTTTTCTTGCTGACTGTTTTCTTGCTGACTGTTTTCTTGTTGACTGTTTTCTTGCTGACTGTTTTCTTGCTGACTGTTTTCTTGCTGACTGTTTTCTTGTTGACTGTTTTCTTGTTGACTGTTTTCTTGCTGACTGTTTATGGTTGACTGTTTTCTTGTTGACTGTTTTCTTGCTGACTGTTTTCTTGTTGACTGTTTTCTTGTTGACTGTTTATGGTTGACTGTTTTCTTGTTGACTGTTTTCTTGCTGACTGTTTTCTTGTTGACTGTTTTCTTGCTGACTGTTTATGGTTGACTGTTTTCTTGTTGACTGTTTTCTTGCTGACTGTTTTCTTGCTGACTGTTTTCTTGTTGACTGTTTTCTTGCTGACTGTTTTCTTGCTGACTGTTTATGGTTGACTGTTTTCTTGCTGACTGTTTATGGTTGACTGTTTTCTTGCTGACTGTTTTCTTGTTGACTGTTTTCTTGCTGACTGTTTTTTTGTTGACTGTTTTCTTGCTGACTGTTTACTTGTTGACTGTTTTCTTGCTGACTGTTTTCTTGCTGACTGTTTTCTTGTTGACTGTTTTCTTGCTGACTGTTTATGTTTGAGTGTTTTCTTACTTGTGTCGGCAGTCGTGGCCAAAGGAGGATTCAGACAATTTTCCGAACTTTCTGGTTGGTTTCTACTGTCCGATATTGTAGCACGCTAACTTTGTTTGGGCTCCTGAACGACACGGGGGAGCAGCGTCTGCCTCACAACCAATCAGGTTACAGGAGGTGGAGAACGGCTTTGTTTACAGTCAGAAAGAGCGGACCGCTCAAAAATGTTCAAATGTTGACGACACAGACAGAAGAGAACACAGAGATATCGATATATTACCAAATGTCATCAATAACTTATAACTATTGACTGATATTGAAAGGTTTTTTGTATAAACACCACAAAAAAAGATACTTCTTTAACAGATTCCTGTCCACTCCACCTTTAAGTGTCTTAAATTTAAAACTATCTACTGAACTAAATCATGTGAACACCATCTACTGCATTTCCTCCTCCTCCTTTTGTCTGTTTGTCTAAAAGTGTGATATGAAGTTTTTTATTCTCATTTCTGTTTAGCCCTCAAGTCAATAAATAGTTTCCTTTTCCTGAAATCGATCAGTCCTTTCTGTGCGATGAACGTCACATCAGTTTAAAGTCTCTGTTCAGTCAGAGTTTGCTGCTTTTCTTTGTAAAAATAGAGATGAGTTTTAAACCCACAGAAGTTAAAATGCTCCTCTCAGCTCCGACACCTAAAATAGTTCTGCTGACTCGATTAAAGATCTGCGAAAACTCTCCTCACTGAAGAAAACTTAGATCTTATTCAACGTTCAAACAAAAATTCAGCCCTTACATCGTCCTCACATCTGTCCTGTGGAGCTGATCTGAGGAGATTAGATCTACGAGTGAGTGACAGAAACACCTACGAGCCGCTCAGTTACCCACCTCCACCGTCTGGATTTAATGAACTTCTCTAATAATTCATGACTGAACAAAAACCTCAGATACAGCAAAAATAAAAGGAGTCCGGATCGGGTTTTTGAAGGTCTAAAAATGTAGATTTTTGGACTCAGAGAGCCTCCGGTACTGATGGTCCTGCTCTGTTTAATCCGTAGCTGACAGATGGTGAGAAACGCCTGCAGGCTGCCAGTCAGATGATTAGACGGCGCCAGTTTTCACAGAGCGCCACTTCCTGTCCCTGCTGGCTGGACTACAGGTGAGCCGCTCTTCGTCTGATCTTACAGAAGAAGACGAAGAAGAAGAAGAAGAAGAGGAGGAGGAGGAGGAAACACCAGGTTTATGAAGCTGACAGGGTCTTATCAGTTTGGAGCTTCATGTCAAGATTTGAAGGTCAGAACCAGAGGAAGAACTTTTCTATGGATCTGTAACGGCAGTTTATCAGAACAGAACCGGATCAAACTAGATCAAGCCACCACAGACTTCAGACTCAGTCCTAAACCATAACCACACAGTCTTTCAGGGTTAAACAAGAGGACTGGAGTCTGGTTTAGAAGATATCCTAACCCCCAGTTTTCACCGCGATTTTCGCCATACACCAATTCCTACCGGATCTGTTTGTGAGGCGAATTTCATGACAGATTACGGACAGCAAGAATCGCGAGAACTCACAAGAACCTGCGGATTCACCTGCAATTGTGGAAGCGAATAATAGACACGTTTTGAGCAAAGTTACAGCAAAACAGGATGCAGGATACAGCCAGAGAGAGTCCAGGTCATGGTGGACTTTCCACACATCAATAATGGTTACCTCAAGAGGAAATTTGGTAGGAAAACATGTTTACAGAAGAAGTCATGTTGTTGGTTATCAGACACCAACGTTACGGGAACAGGACTAATGACGCCATCGGGGTGGTACAAGAAGGAACGACTCTGGGGACTTTAGGGATGTTTGGGCTCCTACTGTCCGTCTGATTGTCATGAGTTTGGGTTTGATGCTGTAACTAAAATAAAATCTCAGGAGAGGCTGCCAGCTTGATTCTGTCTTCATGTGGTTCATTTTTACACCTTTGCATCTATGAATTCCACTAAACAGTCGCGCGATAACAAGTTGTCTCCACATAAGCCACATAAGCAGTAGATTGTGTCGACGTTTGGAAAAAATAGAACTCTTGTGATCAGCTGAGGAGTCCGGCGATCCGCAGAGGAACGGAAAGAAGTCGGTGTAAATTGACACGTTAACTTGAATGGAAACGATCAGCTATGATCGGAGGATACGACCTTTTCGTAGACGTTCAGGATGAAGGTGGAAACTGGGGGTAAACCTTGAGATGTTTAAAAATAAGGATGTAGCATCTGTGATTTACAGTTCTTCGTTAACTGGACTTACTTGGGACGTTTCGCCTGTCCCAAGTAAGTCCAGTTGTCCTTTCCAAAATAGTGTTAGACTTTGATTTTGATCCACAGAGGAACGGAAAGAAGTCGGTGTAAATTGACATGTTAACTTGAATGATTACGATCAGCTACGATCGGAGGATACGACCTTTTAGGAGACAATCAGGATGTGGTGGAAATTGGGGTAACTGGTCTTGGAGCTCCACATGGCAGCCGACTGCAGGACGCTAAATAGTAGAGGATCCAGGACCGACCCCTGAGGAGGACACCTCAAAGTCTGATCATATCTACTACAGGAACCTCAGAACCGAACCTGCCTGTGGGACACCAAACTCAACAGAACCACATGGGGATCTGCACAGAGTAAGTACTGGTTTCATTTTGGGGTTCTTGGATTAAAACCAAAGTGGGTCCATATTAATGTACAGCCCAGGATCTGAGGGTGCTGCTGGCATCCTCCTCACCGCCCCCCCACCGTACCTGCTGCAGGCTGCCCCTGCAGTCATGCAGCTGCTCTGACAAAGCCAGTTTGTCACCCGGCGCCCTCATTACCCAGCTGCTCCGCTCGCCCCTCTCTCTCTCTCTCTCTCTCTGTTTATTTCATGCATGTGTTCAGAATAGCTGCTGTCACCTGAAAGAGAGATGACTGAACCGCACTGGAATAAAACCTCCAGGATAAGTCGGCCCCTCCCTGACTCACATGGACCCAAACACACATTCATCCGACCTGACACTGATTCTCTGCAGCAGGTTAAACCGATCAGCTGAGCAGACACACCTGTCCGAGGACACCTGTCTGAAACTGTCAGGTATGAGTTCATTATGAAGTGTTTCGTTAACATCTCTGCCTTTAAACTCAGAGTGAAGTTGGGCTCAGACGAGTTTCCTCCTCTCCGGGTTTTAATGAGGAGGGAGGATAGAGAAGCTATTTTCAGGTTTAATGAAACTCCACTTCCTTTTTTTCATCTAATGAGGCCATTAATGAACCAAATTCACCGAGTCCTGCAGTTACCCACAGAAAGCTAGAAATGATGGCTTTATAAAAGTGTATTTTCAGCACTCTTTAAAATACACTCTTCTTTTCTTTTCATGCATTTTACTCTGGACGTTCAGATTCAGTTTACAACCTTCGTATTAGAAGTAAACTTTGGATTTTCAGCCGAGGTAAAATCGAAGAAATGGTTCAAATACGATCTTCTCACTGCAGTAAACACACGTCACCAACAGTTTAATAGATGCATGCGTTAATATTTGTTAATGCAGAGTATTGATCCTGTAACTCCAGACTTTTAAACAAGTCTACACTAAAGAAAACTAAACATGACTCGGTTTAAAGGACTTCGAAAAACTCCAGAGACCCGATTATGGAGTAAGTTTGGTCTTAAATCTGAACAAATCTACAGCTCAGAGTGTTTGTGACGAGCATAAACACTTAAACACTGACGCAAAATTAAACTGAGCGACATTTTTACATGAATTAGTCTGATAATGAGCATTTAGAGGGAGCTCTGTAAATGTTATTTAGACGACCACCGACGTTATTAAATTAGACAAGCCCCCACACCGTCCATTTTTAAAACTCGTCTTAAAATCCATTTTTATTCATTGGCTTTTAACCCTGCATGAGACTTGGCTCCTGTTTTAGTGTTTTATGGTTTGTTTTTAGTTATTTGTTTCTATGTTTTTAAATTAGTTTTTAAAAACATTGAAGCTATATTTTATTATTAATTCTTCTTTTATTTTATCCATTGTTTTAATTGTTTCTTGATTGTTTTTTATCTTGTTGTTTTGTCTAGTTATGCACAGCACTTTGTACAGCTGTGGTTGTTTTAAAGTGCTCTATAAATAAAGTTGAGTTGAGTTGAGTTGAGTTATCATCACTACATAAGAATAAGAATAAGAATAAGAAGAACTTTATTGATCCCCGAAGGGAAATTCAATAGTCTGTTGTCTCACATATATGTTTATAAAAGTTATCTATTATTTACATAAGAGTTAAAATGTTTTATTTGATGGCACCACAGATCTAATTTGACTATTCACGGACTATTTCAATGTTACTTTACGCTACGGCAAACCGATAAACGTCAGGCACTAGGACCAAACGGACTCTCAAGCCGAAAACTGGTTTCCCTCAGTTTGGACCGCCCACAAAGTCCTTGATTGGCTCTGGTGGCAAAACCCCTGAGATAGGCAGGGGTGGCCGAGGTATCTTGGAAGTGTAAACGCAAGTATTAAAACGATATATAGAGATGTAAAAATAATAATAACTGAGAAAATGACTGATTACTCCGGCTCCTCTGAGTTTCAATATTTTGATGTTTGTTGTGGATTTTCACGGAGGAGCAGAGAGTCTGAAGAGCAGATCTGCGGAGTGTTTTCTGTGTAATCCAGTGGTGAGCGTCTGAACTCTGGTGGAGCTGCAGTAAACCAACAGCTCATCCAGGAGTCTGATCGTCTTTGTTCTGAAACAACAGAAACGTTCAGGAGAAAGCTCCAGGATTAGTGGAGCTGCTGTCCAACATCAGCGTTCAAGGAGAAAACAGAGGAAAAGTTCGACTCGGAGAACTTTTAATACGGTTCGGGTCTCTTTGTTCTCTGACCGAGCTTCATAAATCCTGGATTATCAAACACCTGGAGGCTGTTTTTAACTCTTACTGAGGAGCTGCTCCTGCTGTTTTAAACATTTATATTTATAGAGAGCTGCACCGAGGCGAGGGCAGGACTTAAAGATAACTTAGACACACTCACAAAGATCTGCTCAGGTTCACCTCCAACAAGCTGAGGACGCTGTCAGGTCTCTCACAGATAAATATAAAGGTGAGGGGGGTAGAGGAGGTGGAGTGGATACAGCTGGAGGGCTGACTGAAGGGGGAGTAGGAAGGAGCTTTTGATGAATCGCTCCAAGAAACAGGCCGCTGGAGGCTCCAGAGCTCAGGGAGGAGGAAACATGGAGGCAGCGTTTGACCTGAGCAACATTTCTACAAACCCTGGGTGTAAAAATCTAAAACTCATGTTTCAGAGGGAGGCTGCATCTCTTTTCAGGAAAGGACTGAGAATCCTCCGTTTGAAGTTCTCACTCAGGTACGTAAGACGGTCAAACGGCGAGTGTTTTTGAAGATATATCTAAACGTGTGGAGAGGGTTTAGACTTTATGGATCCTTTTATGAATCTTAGAGACAGGTTTCTCTTAAAGGGATATTCCGCTGTAAATTTAATTCAGGGTCAAACACACCGTAACCCCGAGTTAGACCCCCCCTCCAGAGATGAATGTTGTCGACCGCTTGCTTCTCTAGTTATACCAACTTTAGTAACGACCGCAGGATAGAAATACAGAGAGCCACGCCCCCAACCAAAACGCCACTCTATAGCCACAAATAATGCTCAGAACAGCACCTAACTTCATCAACAGGACATATAGGGTCACAGACATAGTACTAGACACCAAACATCTTTTTAACTTTGACTCATTTCTTTAGAGACTAAACACAACTCACCTACTCTCTTCCAGCAGCCGTTTGTTTGTACAGAGACCATTTTTCACTGCAGACGCGGTAGTTCTTCTACTTTAGCGTCTCGGTCTGATTGTAAAAAGCCACAAACAGAGGGGAGGAGTTTCAGGGCACATTGGACCGACCTGAGAGTCACCTGAATGGATTTACAGGTGACTCACTGCTGAGCATATACAGTTTAAAGTGTTTAAAGTAAATCATGTAAAGTCCAGTCAGTAATCAGCATTATATCATGAATCAATCAGACATAAAGAAGCAGTGATTTTAACTCTTCAGGAGATTTAGTTTCTCTTGTTTGGGTATAAAATCGTCTTTAGCAGATCGGCGCAGCAGCAGCAGCTTCAGATCTGAGCGAGGGCAGAGATCTGATTTAAACGGATCTGCGTCATTTCAACAGCCTCAGAAATGGAAATGGAGTGTTTTTGTTTGTTGTGGTTCTGCGTCAGATCTGCATTCACTTTATTCAGGCGTGACCGAGTGGAAAAATACACATCAAATACCGTCTGAACTTTAAAGAGCTGTTTGCTTTATCTCTGCGATGAACTAACAGCCTCTGAAGAGCGGCGAGATAAGAGATGGACGCTTTTCTTCACACTGTCGGATATTTGAAAGATTTATCTTAACGGTTTGTCCGAGCTCAGGCGGAGAATAGTGATGAGAAAGTTTAGATGGGAACGAACAAGCTCAACGAGAAGTCCAGATTTTTGTCGTTTCTGAACAAATTTACTGACCCGGAGAATCAAGAACCAGAATGATCGTCTTTACTGTGACAACCTCAGAGAGAGAGAGGGAGAGAAAGTAGGGCTGGGCGATAAACCGAAGATTTACCGATACTGAAATTTACGACAATAACCAACATCATTTTGCCGATATCGGAATATTCGATGTCAAAAAAATAAATAAATCAAAGTTGTTTTTGGATGTGTGTAGGTAGGCTATGGTCTCATGTCCCTTTAAGACGCTGTCCTACATCAGAGACGTGACTCCACCCCATCCAGTCTGTAACAAAGAGGGAAAGACAGGTGAGGAGATGGAGGACGGTTCGGCTGAAGTAGACGAAGTTAATGTGAGAGAGGTTGAGCAGCTTGTGGAGTAGTTATCGTCCATTTATCAATATATCATGATACTGATTGGAGGACAGATCACGCAGCTCTATGAGAAAGAGCGAGAAACAGATCCACTGATGAAGCCGGAGTAGACGGATGGACGGAGGTTTACAGAAAGAGTCTGATCTGTTGGACTGTTGGTCCGTCTCTGATCAGTTCCCCTCACAGGTGGTAAATCGAAGTCAGCACACGTGAAGAACGGACAAACCCTGAAGCTCTTACAGCTCAGAGATCTCCAGAGAAGGTTCTGGTTTTATGGAGGTTTTCTGCCACAGGCCTGAGTCCAGTCTGTGAGGCTGTTAGTGGGAGAGCTGAACCCTACGGGGCGGCTGACCGATGGTTTTCCACTTACTGACTGTCTGAAGTGTCTGACGGCTACATGACCGACTGTTCCTGAAGTCTTTCATTTTTCTCTTCTTTGGAGATGAAATGAACTTCTGGAGTCTCAGAAACACAGATGAGAGCGTCAAACTGGTTAATTTAGCTTTTCCTGTCGAAATCATAAAATACAAACATTTTAATGTTTCTTAAAAGTGTAAATTTGATCTTATCTAGAGGTCTGATGTGTGTGAGACGACAGGACCAAACTGTGGTGATTACTGTCTGAATGATGAGTCAAATGACTTTTAAAGAGTTTACCAGGTGTAAGAGCCAAAATTATATTTGTTTAGGATATTTTTACTCAGTACGTCACTTCCGGGGATGGTCACTGAGGGGTGTGGTTTTGGGATGTTTGGCAGGTTACTTTAATCTCACCGGTGTGGTCAGACGACGGGTTGTCAATAAGCTCTGATGAGTTTCTGTTGAGTGTTTTTCACCGTTTCACTCGTCCTGTTTTAACCTCATTTCAGTTTTTCACTTTTTCATTTGAAGGGAAAAGTTCTGGACCTGGATCAGCGTGTTTTCTTTCTTTTTTGGAATAATAAATCACTTTTTAACACTCAAACTGGACCGATAATTGAACGAGTCGCAGATGCAAAACTGTGATTAGAAAAATGTAATTTCAGCTTCATGATAAAGAAACTTTCTAAAACTCCAGAGTGAGGTGTTTGCAGGTCAGAGAGCTCCACCAACAAGTGAAGAAACTTTGTTCAAACAGCTCTGTGTGAAAAAACCCAGAGTCCCTCCTGCTGAGAACCGAGGACACCTTCAGCGGGGAGTCCAGGACAGACTTTCACTCGACTGACTGAAGAGTTTAGAGACGCTGATTCCTTCAGTAAAACCTCATCCACAGAGAGAGAGGACCAAACCGTCCCTGAAAATCCTCCTGAACAAAGACGGGACCGGGACGAGGACGAGTCAGAGACGGGTTTACTGAGGATCTGTTTACCTGACGGGGACAACAGCACAAGTACACAAACGAGGGACCTGAACCATGACAAAAACACGAACAAGCTCAGACAGTTAACATCTGTAAACACGACGAGAGGGCGCCATGACAACCTTTTAGTAAACAACCAAGACGGCGGCTTCAACCGTACGGAGGTCTGCTAATGTCCACTGTTTTAAACTCATGCCGCTCACTTCCTGCTTTGTCACATAATGCTTTGCTCTGATTGGCTGTTGGTCTCACTTATAAGGTACCTACCCCCCCCCCCCCCCAGACAACAGGTCTGAACCGGAAACATCAAGACTTGAATCTACCTCAGAGTTTTGTCCTGTTGACTCTAACCCCCAATTTTCACCGCATCCAGAACGGCTCTGATTTTCGCCATCCCCCAATTCCTGCCGGATCCGTTTGTGAGGCGAGTTTTTTGGCGAATTACTGACAGTAGGCACCGCAAGAACTCACAACAACCCACGGATTCACGTTCAATCGCGCGATAACGAGTCGTCTCTATAAAGACAGACACATAGACATATAAGCAGTAGATTGTGTCCTTCCAGAGGAGGAAATCTACTTCTAGACTTCTAGAATCAGCATCTCCTCATCCATGGTGTCATCGGGGTGAAATGACGTCTAAAAACCTTTCACTTGGAGTGTTTTATTTTGATGAAATAAATCGGCGATCCGCAGAGGAACGGAAAGAAGTCGGTGTAAATTGACACGTTAATTTGAATGGATACGATCAGCTACGATCTGAGGATACAACCTTTTAGGAGACGATCAGGATGAAGGTGGAAATCGGGGGTAAATGCTCTAGACTCCTCAGGGGATTTTGGACCACCTGAAGGTTTTAGTCCCTCTCCAGAACCTGAGGGTCACATGGTCTGCAGTACAGTAAAGACCCTCGGCTCGTTTTAAAACCGACCTCTTCAAAAACTGTCGGGGAGGTTCAGGAGACTCTGAGGAGGAAAGGAGAAGATTGAAACCTCCTGAGATAAAACAGAGGATCAGGTCTTAAAGCTGTCTGTGAATCTTCATATCACACTTTTGTTTTTTTCTCCTGAGGATGAACCTTTAAAAGGAAGTTTTTTAAAGTTTAATCACATTAATTCATTAAGTTTAATTAACGCTCTCTGTGTAATCCTAACAAAGACAGTGTTTTACGCCTCTCTGATTTTTTTGAAACAGGCTCTCTCTCGTGAGGACGGAGCTGATTCCTCTGTAATCTTGTCAGAAACAGACGCAGCTTCCTCAACAGTACAGCCTGATACTCACAGATTCATTGGTTGCAAAGAAATGCGCAGGAATAATCCCCGAACCCCGAGACACGTCAGGGCTACCTGGAGCAGAAAGGGAGTCGGCCTGCCAAAGGAAAGGAGCTGGTGGAGAGCAGCCGGTGAATTATCACAGCGAGGCAGGAGGAGCAGCGACTCTGAGAGCCTGCTGAGACTCATCTCGCAGTCTGCAAACACGCTGACAAGAGGAAGACGAGCAAAACTCAGGCATGGAGAGCTCCAGGAGCTCCGCAGAGAGGAGGAACGTCAGCACAGGAGTCCAGAAACTCTGAGCGCTTCTTTTATTTACCGCAGACACAATCAGGAACTTCATTAGAGGCTTTATGCAGATTTCTTGGTGCTGCACAGATTTAGATCGAGAGAGTCTTCAAGTGGTGTGAGGAAAGGCGGGACTCGACAGTGTGACCATTTCACTCACATTTGCGACTAGAAATAGATGTGTGCCAATTGTAAAATGTATTTAGGGTCACATGTGCGAATAAAAACAAATCAGATGAATGTTTTTTCCTGTAAATACGGCGGTGAAGTTAGTTTCAGGTTGGATATATTCTCCTGTAAATACGGCGGTGCAGTTAGTTTTAGGTTGGATATATTTTCCTGTAAATACGGTGAAGTTAGTTTCAGGTTGGATATATTTTCCTGTAAATACGGCGGTGAAGTTAGTTTTAGGTTGGATATATTTTCCTGTAAATACGGCGGTGAAGTTAGTTTTAGGTTGGATATATTTTCCTGTAAATACGGTGAAGTTAGTTTCAGGTTGGATATATTTTCCTGTAAATACGGCGGTGAAGTTAGTTTCAGGTTGGATATATATTCCTGTAAATACGGTGAAGTTAGTTTCAGGTTGGATATATATTCCTGTAAATACGGCGGTGAAGTTAGTTTTAGGTTGGATATATTCTCCTGTAAATACGGCGGTGAAGTTAGTTTTAGGTTGGATATATTTTCCTGTAAATACAGCGGTGAAGTTAGTTTTAGGTTGGATATATTTTCCTGTAAATACGGCGGTGAAGTTAGTTTCAGGTTGGATATATTTTCCTGTAAATACGGCGGTGAAGTTAGTTTCAGGTTGGATATCTGACGGACATTCTCTGAGGATCTACCGGTGTCTTCTCACTCTCCATAACCGGGAATAACAACAGCAGCGCGGTTAAATCTACTCGACACCCTCACTGTCAACGTTGGTGTTGAATAAGGGACCGTCAATAAATTACCGGTTGATGTTCTCAGAAAAGGCTGTTTTCCTTCAATAGCTTCACTGTCATGTGACCAAAAGACCTAAAATTGATTTCTAATAATAGCAGATATGTCGACCAATAAGACAAACATTATTCGATCAATTTTCATTTTGCCCCTTAAGTTCTTTGTGAGCTCCTTGTGAAAAAATTTAACACTGACACTGTATAAATACTGTGAGAGCTGACGGTCCAAATCATGTTTTTAGTGTGGATAAAAGTGAGAGTGGATAAAAACGCTCTCTCTCTCTCTCTCTCTCTGCTCGGTCAGAGTCGTTTTCTTGCTGTTCTGGGTTCACGGACAAACCTATTAAAAAGGAAATCGCCCGCTCTACCTTTGGACAATTATTCAATTCTAATAAGCTGCTGCTCCACACTCCTCAGTAATAACATCATTTCCTGCTCTTCACTAACTCTTCATGCATTTAGCTCTGCCTCAGGCTCCTCTCTGCATTTAGATTAAACCCCTTTCTTCCTCTTTTTGTCCTCCTGTCTCGCTGAGGCCACGCCATCATCCTCTCTTCTTCTGCTCCGTCTTTCTACCGTTTTACTCTCTGGGGTTTCTTCCTGTCACGGCCGACACTCGTTCCCTCTTCTTCAACCTCCCGCTGACAGCGGCTGAGCTGATCTGAACAAACTTTTTCTACTGCTGTGTAAACATCCATTACTGACCGCGGAGAGAGAGAAAAAGAGAGAGACAGAGGTGAGACGCTTCGGGAAGTGTTGGACTGACAAAACAACGATTCCAGTGAAAGCTTTGACCTCAATTCCACTTCAGGTGAGGATCTCTGAGCAGCCGTCAGCTCCCGTTACTAAAACTCTGAGCACCACACTTTCCAAGAATAGAAACACAGCAGAGAGGAGATCATCCAGTCGGCAACATGCTGGATTTTTTACCACCAGTATCCAAATCTAGAAGAAGTGTGGCTCAGTAAAAATGAGGATTTCCTGCTGTTCTCTACTTCAGTAAGGTTACGGTTCAATGTGGCGCCGACCTACAGTCGTTATCGACCGATATCTGTTCTTTAATCGTCAATACTGATTATGACGGAGAGTCGATATATAAGACTGATTATTCACCGCACATGACCCTCTAACTTGATTGGTTATCATGTTCCGGATGGATGAAACTGTTTGTATCTAACCCAAAAATCGGTCTGTGTTGATTCAAAACGGCCTCATCAATCAGTTCGACCAGTTCACGATCAATTGATCCGTCTCTAACCGGCATCTTTACGAGGCAGCAGCATCAGTGAGATCAACATGTAAGACTGTCGTTACTCAGGGAAACTCGAGTCTAACAGTCAGGAATGAGCATTTTAGGAAGGTCCCTCGATCGATTCATCGAAAATATGCAGAATAATGTTTTTCCCAATTGAACCCCCCAATGTTGTTCAGGACGGCGTGTTACAAGCTCACTCACGCTTCCTACCAGCCCAGCTACCGTAATTACTGTTGTTTTTTTTCTCATTCATGAAACGCTAAAATCGAGGACATTTCCAGGGAGAACTTTGGCCGAGGACAGGTCTTCAAAAACGAGGACTGTCACCTGAAGTCGGGGATGTCTGGTCACCCTACAGAACTTCCTTGCTAGCAAACAGCTGATGGAAGGTTGAGATGAGAGCACTCTGAGGATTCATTAACCTCAGTCTGATGTACGTTGGTCAAGTGGAACATCATTGGAGTCGTAGTCGTGTTTTACTTGTCCACGACATCTCAGTGTTCGTAGCAAACCTCATTATTTTTTTTGTTCGAAATGGTCCCACGCCACACTTCGTCTTTCTTTCTTCATGTTTTCTTTCGACTTCTACAGAGGCCCACTGACGCTGTAGAAACCCCCCGTATAAAATGTCAGAATCGTTTCACAAAGTAGTTGTTAGCATTGCTTTAACACACACATACACTGACTGGACATCTTCGCTGGAAAACAGCTGGAGGACGGACGCACGCTGTCAGCCTTTCTTTTATAATGTTAGATCGATCCAAATTTTGAGGGATCGACATGATTCTTAACCAATCGATCAATCGTGCCCATTCCTACTCCCAGTCCTTCACATTTTCTCATTTGGACAGGGTGAGAGAAAGAGGGAAGAGCAATGCCTCCACCTCAACATGTCCACCACAGACACAGAAGTGAGTCATCTACTAAAAGGACGCCGCCTCCTTCACAGCAGAGCCGCTGGAGTCGGTTCTTGATCGGTGATGTCAGTGTATCGATCGTTTGCCGATATCAGACCCTGCAGACAGAAATCGTTCTCTGTCGCTCTGTTCCATCTACAGATCAACTTTTATTTGATCTGTCATGAAATATCAGTCGTAACGTTAATACCAAATGATTTGATAAAAAAATGAATGAGTGAATCTAGTGCAGCATCTACTCTAGATAAGTTAGACGCCCTTTAAACACCGACACCTGAGCGTCGGTCCGTCAGGTCTGTTTTATTCCTCGCAGTCTTCCTCCGTCAGTCAAAGGTCAGACTCAATCCAATCTGTCACTAATCCTCAAACTGACACAGATTGTGTTAAACGCCTCATTTCCCATCAGCACTTGGCTGCGAAAGGTCAAGCAATCCTCCGACGATTCATCATTTTTATCTGTGCGCTGAAACATTTCTCCGAGCTCCGGAGAGTCTGAGCGCTCACCTTCAAAATGTCAACAATCGTCTCAATGTTTGACCTGAACACACGGGTTCGGACTGAGACTGAGACTCTGTGTAAACTGCTGGATCTGGACTCAGACTGAGGAATTAATGGAGACGCTAATGACTCCAGTGAATCAGAGCCGAGCTGTTTGTGCTCCGGCGGCTGCAGGTTCAAGAGGCTAATGGGTGATTTCAGCTTTAGGGCCACGGAGGCAAATCATGTCTTAATACAGTCATCTGAGAACGGGGGATACAAGGAGAGGGTTTCTGATGAGGTCTCTGACTGGACTAACTTTGCTGTTGGTTTTTCTCTTTGTCCCTGAAGGTACAAACTGTGAACACCTTTTAATTCCCAGTTTGACTCGTTCATGTCCTGCCAGGTCTAACAAGAGCTCAACTCCTTTTCTAAGATGAACAAACTCAGAGAAACATCTTTTCTTCAAGTCTCAGAAAAAGCTGCTGACGACACACCGGCTCAGGTTTACTTTGGACCGACCCTTCGTCATCCTGATCAATCACGTTTGCATGATATTTACTATGAGAGGACTGCTGGAAGAGAGTATTTTTATTTCTGTATTGTTTCAGGAATAAACTGATATAAACGTCTTTCTCTTCTTCAAATGCGGAGCTGTTCGGACTCGATTGCCTGGACCTTGAAACGGTTTTACACAGAGACGTGAAAACGCCACTAAACAAGTCGGTAATAACGCTGATAAAACTGAACGTGGACCCGGTCGTTCATCAGTTTCCTTTCACCTGCAGCTGAGAGTTGATTGTTAATTTTTTCTGTATTTTTCTCTCTCAAACACACAGACAGAGAGAGAGAGGAGGGACTTCATGTGATCAGCCAATCAAAACTCCACAAACAGCTTCTGATTATACTTTAAAAACAAGAATTTCCAGGTTTGGCAGATTAAAGTGGTTCTGATTGGAGAGATTCACTCACCACCACCATCATCATCATCTTTGTTCTCTCTCTCACAGAGATGCGTCAGTCTGTGCAGCCCTCCATTACAGCTCCATGAAACGAGGTGTGATCATCATTTATGGCGCTGCAGTGTGGAGAATGGTAATGATGCTTTAGCTAACACTTGAGCCACGCCTCCACCTCCACCTCCACCTCCACCTCTCACTAAAACTATAACAACTCCTTCAACGAGCAGAGCTGTATCCCTCTCTTCTACAACTGACTGTTTTAAAGAGTTCACTTTAAAGATAATCAGATTCACATGAAAAGTAAAAGGGTTTTTTTTTCTCACCTCCTCCATAACAGCCCACTCAGTGTTCACATTACTCCGCTCTGTTTACTCAACATATCAGCGTCTTTACACCGAGCACTGGTTTGAAATGATCATCTCAGTTTGAGCTGCACCACATCACCTCTAACAGACGGAGCTCAAAAAAAATAAGTTATAACTCGTAATGAACTTCACAGTTTCACTGACGGTGAAGTGAAACATGAGAAATATGAATCAGCTGCACCTGTTCCAGATTTTCTACCTCCTTACCGTCTGCGAGTCTCTGACATTTTCCGTTAATCCGTCCAAAAACACCTCCAGAAAAAAACACCACCAGATCCCACACCTGTGAAGTGTTTACAACATCTTGGATTTCGAGGATGTCTCTATAGTGGCTCAATTTTCCGTCTTCTGTCAACCTCTCCTTTATTTTCACCCTTTTTTGTTGTCTGTTTTAGCTCGAGTGAGGGGTTTCTGCTTTAACCTGGTTCAGATCTAGTATTACTAATAGACAGATCTACGTTTTTCTGTATATACAAGTATTTCTCTGCTTTTATAGATGTGAAGTATGGTGTCCCTCAGGGGTCAGGTTTAAGTCCTCTCGTATTTCCCTTCACACGTCCTTCATATCATAAACAAGAACGCTCTGATTAAGTCTTTATGCAGATGATACTCAGTTTCATATCTGTCTGGTTACACTTGAAGTTCAATCTTAACTCGTGTTTCTGTTGTTGTTTCATGGACCTCTAATGGAAATTTAAAGAAGAGGTGATAACAAGCAACAAGACATCACTGATAACAAACGGTTGGACTTTTATTTATGTAATATTTGGCCTCAAAGACATGATTTGTTTTGATATAAAAGAGAGTTTGGATTACTCTGCTGACTGGTTATCTTTTGTGTTTCAAACTATCAAACTTTGTCGATTAACTCGCAGTAGAAATGTGAATAATTTTAGGTACAGAAGTGGCTTCAAAGATTGAGAAGTCTCAGGTGTATAAAGCATGTTTTCAGTCATGTCGTTCGCTGAGAAACAGCAGTTTTCTTCTGCATACAGATGCTTCTGCTCTCCGTTTTCTTTGAGGGATCCAGTGATGAGTCTGACAGCTTAATGTAGAAAGTATTTCCAGAGAAAGACGCTGTGAAGAAATCTATATATGTGTGTGTTTTAAGCTGTCATGGTGTTTTTGTTTCAACAGGGAAAAACTGAACGTAGCGTGTGTCAGGAGCTGAGTCAGTGAAACGTGAAAAAGGAGGACAGAAACGTCTTCGTTTCTCTTTTTAGAGCAAACAGGAGTTCAGCAAGAGAGAGCGTCTTCTGTCTCAAAGGTTTTATCATGTGTGTAAATAAGTAGTCAATCAAGGATTAGCTTAATAATAATTATCATGTGACTGTTTATCTATAGGCATGTCAAGATTTTATATGTTTCCACACTCGCATGTATCAGAGCTGAAAGATTATTTCCACTCAGGACAAAGGCTTCACAACAAAACCTCTAAGTGCTTTTCTAATGCATAAAATGTAAACAAAGGGCTCTTTAGGTGCTCTTCTACACATTAAATGTAAACAAAATGCCTTTTAGGTGCTCTTCTGCACATTTAATGTAAACAAAGGGCTCTTTATGTGCTCTTCCACATATAAAATATAAACTAAAGGCCCTTTAAGTGCACTTCTACACATTAATGGTACAAACAAAGGGCTCTTTAGGTCTTTTTCTACACATTAAATGTAAACAAAGGCCCTTCAGGTGCTCTTCCACATATAAAATGTAAACTAAGGGCCCTTCAGGTGCTCTTCTAGCATATTAAATGTAAACAAAGTGCTCTTTCAGTGCTCTCCTCGTGAATAAATAGAAAACACAGTGCCTCTGCTTCTCTTCTGATAATGTGGAGACAGACTGCCTTATGACTGCGTTATCATTGTTGTTGGTGTAAACAAAGTACATTTTTGATGCTTTTTCTACTCATTAAGATATAACAAAGTGCCTTTGGATTTTATTCTCGTGTATAAATTGTAAACTAAGCGTCTCCCGCGCTCTTTTAGCTTTTAAAATGTGAACAAAGTGATCTGTTGATGCTCTGCTAGTAAAACAAATGTAAACAAAGAACCCCTGAATGTTTTTCTGGAGAATTAAATTTACACAAAGTACTTTTAAATACGCGTCATGCAGCCCAATCGTCATTAATTGTCCTTTTATTCTCATACAGGGTTGTGAAAGTCTGTTCTTAATTGAACTGTTAAACTAGTTTTCTTTTGTGAGTAATGAACAAACAGCTTTGTGTTTCCTCCTGACATTTACAAATGTGCAGCACAAACCTCTGCATAAATATTCACCACATGGGGGGGCGTTGAGCGCCGGATGCTCAGACTTTGGTCTAAACGCCGCTTTAACGGTAACACGTGCAAACTCAAACTCTGAGACTCTCCCTGCGGAGCGTTAACACCACCGAACAACATGATGATTTATCCTCTTCATATTTGCATGTGAGGAGGAGGAGGTTAGCTGCCTACAAACCTCACACACACGCACAAACACACACACACACACAGCGTCTCTGTGGGAGCTGATTTGATGCAGGCTTAATTAATGATTTGATAACTGTTGAGGCGTTAAACAGAGCGCAGGGAGGGAGGAAGATCCCTGATGAGGAGTGAAAGCAAAGCTGAACCGTCTGTTGATACACGGTGCAGGTTTCTCTCCACCTGCTCTAACACACCCTCCCTCTCTCTCTCTCTCTGCCTTGATCTCGGCCTCAGATGAGCGCAGCAGGGCGCCGACAGAGATACAGTAAAAACAGCGAGGGGCTCACGTCTCTGCTTTCTCTCTTCGCAGGTGCACTTTGATTAAAAGGCAGCAGCAGCAGTCCTCGTACCTGGACAGAGTCAGGCTGTTAATGAAGTGATCGGTGAGTCAAACTTCAAAGAGAGAGTAACCTCGTACTTTCAGACGAACAGACTGATCCGAAGTTTGTGCCGCACAGACACTCCCTCCTGAAGTCGGGCTGATCTTTAAGGTTCAGGTTTGTGTCCTTATTATAATTATGTGTTTTTATTCATGTTCACTCGACCTCAGAGGAGCTGAGAAGAACAGCAGGAGCTCTAGTTAGAAGAGTTGGAACAAAGTTGGAGAGTAGTTAGCACTGTTAGCTATCGGGCAACAACAACACACTGCATGATAGTTAGCCTGTCAAACAACATTACACCAAACTAAACTAAATTTCTGAGTTTTAATGTTAGTGCAGAGAAACTTACATCAACGCTGAACAGGTATGTAACAACAAGTCAAGCCAACAGTGGTCTATAAGATCAAGTGCATCATTTAAAGCTTAGTTTATCTTTATTTATTGATAAATATCCACATTTTATACTTTTATTTTATACTATGACTGATGAAGGAAAGGCAGGAAATCAGGAGGATAACTGAACTCATATTTAAGAGACGGATGAGACAGAGAGGCGCCTAATCGTCAAATTTCACGACAAAAGGTAACACCAGAGGTCAACAAGAATAAAAGTGATAAAACAGAGAAATAAATGAGAAGTTACTGCAAACAAAAAAACTGAATAAGAGAATAAAACCAAGAAAAGACAGAGAGCGAAAAAGACGATACTAGGCTGTGAACATGGACTAATAGGGTTTCCTTGACTTTTGGAGCCAGCCCCATGTGGACACTTGAGGTACTGCAGTTTTTGGACTTATTAAAGTCATTAAAGCTCATATTGTTCATGTAATGAAGTATTTTTGAAGTCTGGCTAACCCCCGATCTCCACCTTCCTCCTGATCGTCTCCTAAAAGGTCGTATCCTCCGATCGTAGCTGATCGTAACCATTCAAGTTAACGTGTCAATTTACACCGACTTCTTTCCGTTCCTCTGCGGATCGCCGGACTCCTCAGCTGATCACAAGAGTTCGATTTTTTCTGGACGCCGGAGCATGGCGGATAAATTCAGCACAGATTAACCCGTGCTGGAAAGGAAGTCGGGCACAGACACAAAATAAAACATCCGGCTTCTTTTCAAAATAAAACACTCCGTGTTTCAGGAGGATCGTATTTCACACCATGCAAACGGGCGGAGACGAACAAGTGAAAGGTTTTTAGACGTCATTTCACCCCGATGACACCATGGATGAGGAGATGCTGATTCTAGAAGTCTAGAAGTAGATTTCCTCCTCTGGAAGGACACAATCTACTGCTTATACATCTATGTGTCTGTCTTTAAAGAGACAACTCGTTATCGCACGATTGCACATGAATCTGCGGGTTCTTTTGAGTTCTCGCTGTCGTTCTGGACGCGGTGGAAATTCGTGGTAACTCTGAAAACCAGAAAATATTTATCCATCTACCTCCAAGTTACACTGTGTTTTTCTCCAGGAGTTGCTGACTGTCTCTTTAATATCTGAGGGGAGAAAAAGACCTCCTCTGAGTAAAGAGGAGAAGTCCTGAACCCTGTGCTCCTCTCTGCTGGTGTTCTCTCAGTCTGCTCTCTGAGCTGCAGGTAAAGTCAGGCGCTGAAGAAACGGAACAATTACACACACAGTGAAGGACCAGAGCCGAGAGGAGGATTTAGGGTTTTAACTGAGCCAGGTGGACCAGAACTGGACCAGAACTGGACCTGAGCTGGACCTCAGCTGGACCAGAGCTGCCAGGTTTACGGAGTCAGAGACGAGGACACGAGGACTCAGTCAAAGCGGCGCTCCTCACAGTGTTTTTAAAGACCCTGTCAGGAGGTTTGGACAGTGTGAGACACCGTACTTTAACAGAATACTGCTCTCTGAGGCGTGTACTGGTCTCACTGGTCTCACTGGTCTGAGTACTCAGACTTCCTCTCTCACAGTTTTCTTCTTCAGGAGCAGAAAGTGGAGTTAGCTCCATGAACCCCCTCCTCTCTCTGATGACCTTGTTTTCTCTAAACTTTAGTGCAGAGGTCTGGAGTTAAGCGGCCTTTTAATCCAAATGATGTTATTAATCAGCAGCCAGAGGAGAGGACTCACTAATGACCTTTATAATGAGAGGGCTGAAGTCAACATACTTCCTCCTCTCTCTCTCTCTCTCTCTCCTGCAGAGCTCTTTTCCCCTCCAGCAGCTGCTCTTTTGTCCCCTCATCATTTCTTTTCTTTCTGTCTTCAAACTTTCTTCCACTTCTCTTCCTCCATGTTTTCAATTTTTAACAAGTCTTTAAACGGAGGACTGAGGGTTTTTATCCAGGCGTACCTCGTGGTCAGAGGTCAGTGATATCAGATCCCCAGGCTGCCCCTACGTCTCCTTTTAGTCTTAGCTTCTCTATAAAACGGCATTTTATCCAGGGTCATCCTTCAGTCTGGCTCCTCCCCCAGGGGACCAATTTGCCTTGGACGACCAATCAGGGGCCATTTTCCTCCTCCCAGGGTCACACACATTCAAGCAGCAGAACAACATTAAAGTGTCAGGTCTTAAAATCAGAGGAGAGATCTATAGATGGTCTGGAGCAGGACCAGCACGAACACATACAGTAAGAAAACAAGTAAAGAGACAAAAACAGGAGAAAAGACCTCCACGAGCTGCAACAATCAGACGATGGTCAGATGAACCGAAGGAAACATTAATTATAACGTCTTTTCTGACGACCTTTCCATGGAAAAATACTGAATAACTACCCCACACTAAAGGTTTAAACATGACAACGTGCCGTCTGGATGTCCTTCCAGTAAATAAAAACTAAAATATCGCCTGAAGATGACCTCTTAGTTGTTAAAAAGTCAACACTTTTCCCTCTTAAAGCCAATCAGGTGGCTGCAATGTAAAGAGGAGCCTGTGGGCGTGTCCTCCAGGTATATAAGACATAAACGTTGCCTTATGGAGGCCCTTACAGAGTATTAAACGTATATAAAAAAATACAAAAAAACACGGAGGTTCAAGTGGATAAATGAAATCTAAAAAAGTGTAGAAATGCTATTTCAGAATATCTAAAGTCATGGTTGACGATTGGAGAGATTGGTAATTATTATAAACCTCGTTTCTATGGCGATCATGGTCCTATAGTGCGACCTCCACAAAGTGAAGGGAAAAAAACGGGAAAAAAAACGTTCACCGTATCAGCTGCAGGATGTAAAAACATTGACCAATGGGAGCCATTCGTCCCGGACAGCTCCCATTGGTCAATCTCCTGCTCCGCCTCTCCATCCAATCACCTCGCTGTATTTGACACACCTCTCTCCCGTAGTTCCGACTCGTCCCCTCCCACTCTCCCAGCCCTCCTCGGAGCTCTGAGCTTCAGGGGGGAGTTATCGTGGAGCACAGGGGGGAGAGGTTTGTGGGGGTGGGGTGGGGGGGGGACTCTTTTTTCGGCTCAGTTTTTTTCTTCTGCTTCTCAGATCGTCAACGTGGACTTAAAGGTGAAACAAGAGCCGTCTGCCAATGTATTAAATGGGGGGAGAGCGCCCTCTTTACTGAACAAAGTACTCTGGATTTTCTTTCAGAGTTTAAAAGAGTGACATCAAGGTTAACTGCAGTCAGCTAAATCAGCAGCCTGCCCGAACTAACACTCAGGTACAAACACTGAACTCCTGAGAATGTGGACCACACAGATCCCAGTCCCAGACTGGACTTCTGCTGCGTTCTAGTTGTACTCGGATGTCAGGATTTCCGAGCTCCGAGACAGGAATTCATCTGGAACGCCTCCCTGAAGTCGGACACGGAGAGTCGGACGATCCTCGCCAACCCCGACTTGACGACAACGTCATAATCCAAGATGGCAGCGCAGTGCATCAACAGTGAGGAGTAACAGTGAAAGATCTCGTAATGTTTTATTTATTCGCACTTCTGTTTTTTTGTGTGAAATTAAATAAGTGGTTCATGTTGAACTGACCAACGTCTAACTGTGAACACGGTGCTGTGGTGTTTGTAGAGTAAAATACTGGGTTACACCTTATTTACAACTGGTAACAACAGCTGACAACGACTAACAGACCATTTTGATATTCCGACTTGTTTACTGGAACCCCGTCACCTCTGGTGTAACGTCATTCCCAGCAGCATTTGACATCCTTCCTCCACAGTAGTCAGACTCTCAGGAGCAGAACGTTATTTCTCACGTTTCTACCAAAGCTGTTATTTCTACAAAGCTTTCTTCTTCTTCTTCTTTCTTTCTTTCTTTCCTCGTTTTTCTTGCTGCCATGAATCTGCAGGACTTTCAGGGCTGCTGAAATGGGTTGTTACTTCTCTTCAGGGGGTTATAGAGGCTGAAAAGACCTGTCAGCAGCTCCAACCCTCCACCATAAAAAGAATAAAGACCGTCCCTGAGAAGGAAAATTTCAGCTCTGGGGTGTATTAAGGAACAAACGTGCACACTCCAAACCAGAGCACTACATTTATATTCAAGCCAAACTGTGGAAAAGGATTAAAAACAAACTATTTTTCAGAGTTCAGCTGAAAACAAAGACGAGGGATGAAAACGTACTCTGAACTGTCCGTCAGCAGCTCAACTTTCCAGAGCTGTAATCATGCTAATCCTCCAGCTGGAGGCCGTGCTCCCAACGTTTCCTCTGGTCGGAGTCTGGCAGAGTGTGGGAGCATCTGTTTGGCGCTGACCTCGTCCTCTCGCTGATTTTAACTGTGATGTTTGGCACAGAGAGACGCCGGATCCTCCGCTTAAAACTGAAATGCCGCAGCTCTGCAGCAGCAGGAGGAGGAGAAGGAGGAGGAGGAGGAAGAGGAGGAGGATCATCCTGTTTGTTTAAAGGAGTGAGAACTTCACTGCTCCACCATGGTGAGGCTGACATGTTGGCAGATAATAAAATGAAAGAATTAACCGTCATAATGGTGATTACAGACTGTTTATACTAACGATAACTTGGCTCCGCCTTCCGCCAGTATATGAATTTGAAGCCGAAAAGCTCTCGGTAAGTCTGCGTTTTTTCTCCATTTCTTAAAACCAACATCGCGCAGTAGCGTTGTAAGCATTCGTCAACGGGAGAGTCGCTCAAACAGCGAATCCCCGGAAGTCTTCAAGCCCTGAGATTGTGATTGGTCCGGACATTACAGAAGCGGTTTTCGTCAGATTAGGTTTCATGGGATTGTAGTTCTTCAGAGAAAAGATGGACGAATCTTACGAAGAGATCTGTCGCTACAAACCAAACTAGATTTACGACAGTTGGACTACCGCCTCTTTTAGGAAATGTGGAGTAAAATGAAACGGAAATAAAGTAAAACCTCGAGGGGTTTTAAACCGAGCACATTTGACTTCTTAAATGTAGTTTGTCTGAGTGGACTTGCCGTAGTGTGACGTCTTCTGGGCCCTGAGCTGATCTGGTACCTACACTGGTGTTCAGGTCTTTGAGTCTGCAGCCTCATTCAGCTCATTTTCACAGAATAAATCACTCTCATTATCATCTATTATCAGTAGAAGTTTAATAGGATTCACATCATTACTTTGAGATGAAATATGAAGATTGGTTTGATTTTAGAGCTCGAACGATAACAGAGAATCTCTTCTTATTTACGCCCGTGTTTCTAAATCGCGTTAATGATTTTGCCCTTAAGCCAACAGCGTCGCGCCTCCGGCTCCCTGCAGGCGGACAGCAGGTCTGAGACGTGTTCCCATCGTCCGTCTGTTCTCAGAGCTACAGGCTGTTTCATTCTGCTGCAGCTTTAAAGGACAAACAGCTTCACACTCACACATCCTCTGAATATTGATCCTCACGATACTCCTGTTCGGTGTCTCTGTCAAAACTGATCGGACTCTCTGAATGTTAAAATGTGGTCGGAGCTCAGAATTCATCGTCTCTGTTTGGACTCTCAGACTCAAGTTCAGATGAGGACGTCCATCCACCCTGATGAGTTCAAGTCAAGTATGAACAAGAGGGTCTCCCATCGGACACCAACGCCTCCTCCTCCTCCTGCTCCTCCTGCTCCTCCTCCTGCTGCCACTGTGAGGAAATGACCTTGGACTTGTTGTGTTGGGAGAATTGGAAACGAAGCTGAGGAGGATAAAGACTCTTCATCCATGTTTGTCTGCAGCTTCTCTCTCTCTCTCTCTCTCTCTCTCTCTCTCTCTCTCTCTCTCTCTGTTTCTTCTTCTTCTACATCCTGGACGACGAGGCCGAACAGGAAATGACACGATGTGAGAGACGTTTCAAATAAAACTGCAGAACAGTTTTTGGAGAGTTTACGGTCAGCTGTGTACCTTTCTTTAACGACACTGCTGCTGGAGAGAGTCGAATATCACGGGGACGATTTTAGCCATGATGGATCCTGGTCAGGAGAAACTGTCAGGAGGTCCGGCACGCAGACTGGGCGACAGTTTTCAGCAGACGGGGTTCACTTTATCTCATCTTTGAAGGATTCTAATTCAGGCTCTCGTCTGAACCTTACCTGATCATCAGAAACTCGACACAGCTCACTGTGTCTGAAGGCTGATCTGACTTGGGATTCCCAATGCATCGGGAACGGCGGCAATTTTCACCGTTCGCCAATTCCTACCTGATCCGTTTGTGAGGCGAATTTCATGGTCGTTTATGGACAGCAGGAATCGTGAGAACTCACAAGAACCCGCAGATTCACGTTCAATCGCACGATAACCAGTCGTCTCTATAACGACAGACACATAGACATATAAGCAGTAGATTGTGTCCTTCCAGAGGAGGAAATCTACTTCTAGACTTCTAGAATCAGCATCTCCTGCAGCGATCCTCAGAGGAACGGAAAGAAGTCGGTGTAAATTGACACGTTAACTTGAATGGTTACGATCAGCTACGATCGGAGGATACGACCTTTTAGGAGACGATCAGGATGAAGGTGGAAGTTTGGGGGTTAAACTTTGATGCAAAACTGAGATGCATAAAATCAAAGTGAGTCGTCCTCAAGAGCTGATTGTGCCACATGTTTGTGTTACATCTGCAAAAAGTGCAAAAATAAGCAGGTCTAAACTGGAATGGGTGCTGGGTCCAGTTCTAGAGTGCAGAAAACTGTCGCCCAGCTTACCTGCTCACAGTTTCTCAATGAAGGTGTCTAAAAGACTTTAAAACTGCTGAAATATCCCTTTAAGTGAAACGGAGCCTCAGCAGGCTGCGGGGTAAAACGGGCTGTTGGCTTTAAGAGACAGCATGAGGGTTTAGAGGCGGAGTAAGTGAGAGGGTCACGGAGCTGCAGGGTGATTGGGTAATAACATCAGAGCGGTTTATGAGATCAAAACCTCGACAACAGGTTTATAGACGTCCTGATTCAGGTCCGTTCAAGACGATTTTAACACCAAATAACTCTGAATGATTTTACAGATGACTCAGAAACTCTTCATCCACATTCACTCTCGACTGTCTGACAGAGAAACTTCAGTCCTGCAGAGCTCAGTAAGTCCAGGACCTCCTCCTCCACAGTGGGTGGTTTTTGTCTCCCCTGGGCCCCCGTCTAAACTCCGACTCTCTGACCCCTCTGTGAGCTGCAGCAGTATGTCCACATGATGACACCGAGGTGTTGGTATCTGTCTCCGTCTGCAGCTTCTGTCTCTCTGCGTGTTTTTTTTTTTTGTTTCAGCAGGAGTCAAAAGGAGGAATGACGTCTCCTCCAGAGCCAACACTGGAGTCTGAGCTCCTCCTGATAGAATCCAGCAGAGAGACGACTCTTCCAAAGCTTTATCAGCAGCAGCAGCAGCAGAATTACACCACCACCGTCCACAATAGAAACCATTTACATCCAACTCAGGAGGACGGCCTGGTTCTGGTTCTGGTTCTGTGCCTCTTCACTAAAAGGATTCCCTCACTCTCACTCTCGCTGCTCAGATTCTCTGGACCGGTTCCTTGTTCTGGCAGGACTCGGTCCGACTGTGATTAGAGATGAAAACATGGAGGAAACATCCCATTATCCTTCCAAACCCGTTTAACGCACAAACAGCTCCGCTCTCTGCCAACACGCCTCCTCCGCCGTCACAGACAGGAGGCGAAAACCTTTAAAATCTCACAGTTACATGAAAAACCATCACAGAGGCAGAGAGGGCGGCTCTGATCCAAATCTCACAGCCTGTGATGGTGTTGGTGTTAAGGTGGAACTTGTTTGGAGTAATCAGGCGAGACACGGCGGTCAGATTTAAGTGAGCGTGAACAATCAGGACCATCTGAAGCAGACCTGCTGGTCCAGGATTTACTCACTGATTTCAGACCGAGGTGGATCTGCTCTCAGCGCCTCTAAAGAAACAAATCCATCCAGAGAGAGGGAGGATATCGATCCGTTCAGCCTTGAGGAGCAATAATGAGGAGTTGTGTTCCTCCTGGTGTTATCGGATGCACGTATTCAATAAAGTATATTTGAAGGAGGCGCTCGGTGACGGATCCTCCTGCTGCTCCTCCGCTCTTTATGTGAATCTGCTCCATTATTCGTCCTTAATGCGACAGCTGCAGCCTCGGGCATGTTGGAGACGCCGATACTTTTCCCAGTTTAATGCCTTTAACACACACACACACACACACACACACACACACACACACACAGGACCATTTCTGAGGACTAAACTGCAACCACAGACGTATGAAATCCACCGTATGCAGCAGTTTTCTGACTCAGGTCTGCAGAATAATGAGGAGGACAGGTGAACACATGAACACCTGGACACAGCTCATTTAATCTGACATGGAGCTGGAGAGGCGGAGGGATCATAAAGGGTTAAACTGAGAGGGCGTCATGGTCTCAACCATCCTCCATGTTTTTAATAAAGTCAACGGCTCTGATCAGGAACGGCGGCGATTTTCACCGTACGCCAATTCCTACCGGATCTGTTTGTGAGGCGAATTTAATGGCAGATTATGGACAGCAGAAATCGCAAGAACTCACAAAAACCCAAGGATTCACGTTCAATCGCGCGATAACGAGTTGTCTCTATAAAGACAGACACATAGACATATAAGCAGTAGATTGTGTCCTTCCAGAGGAGGAAATCTACTTCTAGACTTCTAGAATCAGCATCTCCTCATCCATGGTGTCATCGGGGTGAAATGACGTCTAAAAACCTTTCACTTGTTCGTCGGATGTTTTATTTTGTGTCTGTGCCCGACTTCCTTTCCAGCACGGGTTAATCTGTGCTGAATTTATCCGCCATGCTCCGGCGTCCAGAAAAAATAGAACTCTTGTGATCAGCTGAGGAGTCCGGCGATCCGCAGAGGAACGGAAAGAAGTCGGTGTAAATTGACACGTTAACTTGAATGGTTACGATCAGCTACGATCGGAGGATACGACCTTTTAGGAGACGATCAGGATGAAGGTGGAGATTTGGGGTGATAATGTCGGAGGAGACTGACTTTCTCTAACACAACCAGACTCAAACTGACCTGAGTGTTCTGAGCATGCTCGAACGACGGGGTTTGACCCGAAAGTTCAACTTCATAAATGAGCTGTAAGAACCTCGACAGAGAAAGAAGAAGGAGGAGGAGGAGGAGGAGGTGATATAAGAAAAAGCCGTCAGGTGGTCAGTACGAGATTTACAGAGTTGTTGTGATTTCATCCTTTTACGAACAACCTCTCAGCCTTTTGCTAATGAGTTTGTCGATTGTTTTGGCGCATTTAGGTCGACCAGGAGACTCTGAAACTCCTACATAAAAAATACAGTTTGTACAGACATTATACTTACATTATACTGACATTATATTTACATTATATGGGACTTTAAACGTGGCTGAACAGAATCACAGAGTCTGAAGGTTAACTGGGTTTACAGGGAGTGGCTTCAGCCAGCAGAGCTAGCTCCACCAGTGTTAGGCCAGCCCTGTCGAATAGGGCTGGGTGATATGGCCACAAACCAATATCACAATATGTTATCTATGTATTTTTGTGACACTGAATATACCGATATGGGCAAAATAACGATGGTTTTTGTCGTAAATTACGGTGTCGGTAAATTTTCATTTTTTCGCTCAGGCCTACAGTCTAAACAAACACAGTCATCACACGACTGTGTCTCTATTTCCTGTTTCCAAATAGTTTTCACATATGTCGAATTCATATCAACACAATAAGAAACCTCTATTTATAGTGTGTTGTATCACATACAAGCTTCACTGTTCATTTATAATCGGACACTAAATTTTGATTTTCACTCCGTAACTCGAACCCCGGGGTCAGAACTTTCTGGTGTTTTTGTTTGGGTGTTTTGGCTCGGGGGGGAGGAGGAGGTCTGTCCACCTATCGATCAATCTACAGCTGAGAAATGTCACAGCGTCTCTGTGGATCAGCAGACCGGCCGCCTTTATGGAGAAATCTTCCACACTCGCTGACATTACCGTCCTGCTGTCAGTCATCAAACCAAAATGTCAGAAGAAACACGACACCTCTGCTCCGAGCGGTGAGGGGATTCAAACGTGGAGGCCGAGCCTTTAGGAGCCGTGACACCTTCGTCTCTCTACAGTACAGATTCACAGGCTGAAGCAGCTGCAGATTTCTCTCCAGGAAAACGAGGATCTAGTTAGAGAGGACCGGGCTGAGTTCTGTTCTGTTCGACTGAGCCGCCTCCTGGAGACATTTCCCTGCTGGTTAGCTGTTTCTGCTCCCTGTAGACCGGCTTACGCTGACAACCGGGGAGAGATTGGAGCTGAGGGGGATTTTAGTCACCTGGAGCTCCTGTCACTCAGGTCTATCTTAATCAGGATCTCCCTCACAGGCTGCAGACGGCACTAAAGCTCAGAGCCGAGCCGAGACAAAGGCGGGAACAGCTCTGCAGCGCGCTGATGTTGTTGTGTTTTTATCAGCTGGACTTCACCTACCTGCTCAGAAGGTCACTACCTCTAATCTCAACAACAAACAGATCCAGTCCGAGTCCTTGGTCTCATTACTCAGAGTCACGTTCATGGTCGATTTTATTTACCCGATCAGGTAACTGGATCTAAATTTAATCACAAACCTCTTTCTCTCCCAAACTTTCCCACAACTTCCTTCTTAAACTCAGGAGAGCTCCGTTATTCTGTATGAGCCGTTTTATCTTTATTATTTTGGGGTTTTGTTTTGTTACTCGCACAATCACCACAAGGGGCGCTTCAGGTAAATACTCAAAGGGACAGAGGTGAAGCAGTGATCACGGGTTTTACCGCTGATCTCCAACACCATTCTCACCCTCATCACGTACACCACCATCGTTGTAAGTTGGACGTATTTGTCTCTTTTTGTTTGTTTTTCATGTAATTAATAAACAGCAAAAATATAATTCAATAATAACCTCGGACTGGACATTAGATTATAACAGAAGTGCGTCAAAACACCTCAGACAGTGACTAAAATTCAGGTCAGCAGAGTCGGTTCAGCTTCATAATCAGAACTGAACACTTTATAAAACTCCGACACATCAGAGCTGCTGATGTGAGGTCCTCTGAGGAGCCCACCTGACTCTCAGTGAGCAGACAGGTGTTTGTAACATAGATGACAGAGGGGGGAACATGATCATCATGCAGAGCTGCGAGCAGGAACCCTGGAGCTCATTACTATGCAGAGCTGCGAACGCGACACACACAGGGGAGGTCTTGTCTGGACTTACATGTGTGTAGATGGACGAGGAGCTCCTCAGAGGTGCTCACACACACACACACACTCACACACACACACTCACACACGCCATGAAAGAACAAAGAGAAGAGACTGACCTGCAGCGGTCCACTGTTGTTCATGTTCCTCGTGTTTCTTCATCCTCAGCTGTGGATGTCTCTCCTCTGAGGACGTCTGTCACTCATCTGTTCAATTAAAGAGGAAAAATGGAGTTAATTGATGCAACAGGCAGCTGATGAAGAAAAACACGGGTCATGAGGTCAAACAAAATTAGACGAGGAGGAGAACGAGCGTGAACTTCTACAAGGCTTCTGGGTGAAGGTGAGAGCAGCTGTCCAAGAAGGATCAAACACGTCCCTGTTAATGAGCATCGAAGATAAAGTCTGCATCGATCCTGAAGCTCTCCTCCTCCTCCTCCTCCTCCTCCTCCTCCACCTCCCTCTGAGGTTGTCTTTTATTCCACTGTCTGGTGTCGAGCTGGACTCCACTCCCCCTTGTCCTCAGGCCTGGACGGCAGCTTCGCCTGTTTTCCTGATTTCTCTCCATGCAGCCAGCGCCTGGACAGAAATCAGCTCGGCCTTATCAGCAGGAGCCACAAAGGGCTGAGGGTGAGGAGGGGGGAGAGACGACCCCTCTGGGAGGGAGGCTGCTAATAATTGTCCCGCTCAGTGAGGCTGACACTGGGCCTGAGGCGCTGCTCTGACAGCCTCTGTGTGTGTGTGTGTGTGATGTTAATGTGGAGAGACACACTAAGACACTAAGACACACTGACTTTAATCCAGTCCTCTTAATAATAATAATAATAATAATTCACTCCAAGTTCAGCAGAGAGTCCAGTCAAGGATGTCTGAGGAGGAGGAGCATTAATGAGTTTATTTTTAATGGTTGATTATTCATTTGTGTATCAGGTGTCAATCATAGCAAACATGAACCCTCTAATAACTTTTAAAAATGGAGCTGTACAGAAAAAAGAGGACTTGAGCACAAACCAGTCTGACAGTAACTACATGTCAACATCACAACCAGGGGGGAGAAACATTTATATTCTGTGTCATTCATTTATAAAGTTTGTCCACAGCTCCATAGGAGGCGGGGTTTATGACCTATACTGCAGCCCGTCACCAGAGGGCGCTGTTCTCAGAGTGGCTTCACCCAGTGAGGAGGCAGACGGCGTCTATTCTATATACAGTTTATGGTCAACACATGATACCGCCAGAGTTCAAAAGTGAGAAAGTCAACTTTTAACAACAGACAAATATTCAAACAGTTTAAACTCTATTTTAAACTTTTTTAAATCTTCTTCTCTTCCTGCTTCGGCTGCAATCCGACTCCACCCCTGTCATGCTTTATCAGTCTTTTACCTGAGTCTCTACCCAGGGGTCTTTGCTGCTGCCCTGCCCACTGTGGTTATCAATATTAACAAAAAAACCCTTGCAACATTAAGCAAACTAAAATGTCAAAAACATTTTTGTAAACTGAAATAAAAATTCAGAACAAAGCTTTAGAAAAACACGACAACAAACTAAATCTGATCGTTTAAAAACTCATTTTACCTTCGTTTTTGTCATTTCTCTTTTTTCTATTTTTAGGATACTTTTAAAAAACTTTTCTAAACTCTTTCACAAAAACATCTACGACACCAAGACAACTTTTTTGACTGTAATTATCCTGGCTCACGTGGAGCATGCTGCTGCCCTACAAATGTTAACCTTTTCTTATTTGGCTAAAAATAAAAACACAATTTCAGGACACTCAGTTTGAGAGGGGTTCTGGCTGCAGACCTCCTCTGTGAGGACCTGAGGTGATGTATTTTCTCACACACTCCAGTTTGTTTGAAGGTCATCCTGTTTAGTATTTTCTTGAACACATGAATACACAAAAATCATATTAACATCATAAACATAAAATAAAGCTCCAAGAAAAAATTATATCCACAAGAGACAAAAAATGCATACTTCCCGGTCTAATCGCTTTTAATTTGAAAGGCTCTGAATCAACTTTGGACATAAAAAAATAAACCTACTCCTGGTATATTTGCTTTTATTTTGAAAGGCTTCAGTTAGTTTAGTTCTAGGATTCATCAGGAGGTTTTGAAGCTTGACAAATATTTTAAATTTTCAATATTATAAAACACCTGACATAGTCTGAGACATTTAGAGGTCAACCGTCTGATTTAGATTCACTCAGTGTTTCATAAACAGCGCGAGTCCTGACCTCTTCTTTAAGGGAAACTGGAGCGATGTAAAGTAGGACGAGCACAAACAGAGAAGCTCAGCAGAACCATCTACGCGGATAAATCATGGTCTAATGTTGTGAGGAGGGAGCGGCCAGGAGACACCAGCTGCTCATTTCAGACCTTCTTACTCTGAGCACAAACTTCACCGACCTGCAGTAACTTTGGGACCTCTGCGTGTGGTGGGTTTCTTTACCGGACTGCCATAAAGCAGAGCTGCAGAATCTGGTGATAGTTAAGACAAAACTCTGAGCATTTGTCACAAAGAAGATTTCAACAGCAGAGTCGTCAACCTCAACTACGGCCAACCAGAGTCTTCTACCACGTTAAAGTCCTCCATGCTCAGTCTAATGTGTCCACAGCTGAATTTGAGGCTCAGTTTCTCTCTTTGTTTCATTTCTCTCCTCAGTGTTTCAGTCTCTGACCTGAACGTGATGAAACTCAACAATGAGACTGAAACTCTGAGGCCGATCTGATCCTAGACTTCAAACACTGACTAACACGGCCGGGCAGTGATTCCTCTCTCTGTTCGGTTTCAGGTTTATCTCTCATGATCTGACCTGTAATTGAGAGAGCGAGGTACCGACATCAATCACTGTTATGATCAGAAGAACTTGGTGTTTTTTTGCTATCATGCTGAGAGACGGTACAAAGCCGACTTTTCTGCAGTCTCCTGGGCTGCAGCTACACAATAAAAACTGTAAAAACTCGTCACACACTGATCTGTTTGTTTGATTTCATCGGGTAAAATTCAGATATTTAATGTGGCTGAAACATGAAGGTTGCACAATTAAGGAACAGGTCTAATGAGGGGTCACAAAGACACCTTAAAAGTAGCCTACATTATATGATTATATGATTAGATTTACCACGACCTAGAACATGGCTGACGCTCGCCGATCACTTCTTAATAAATATCTGATTTTAAATTGACTGATCAGATTTAGGTTTGGATACTAAAATGAATCAGCATGTCTGCAGTGTCACTTTGGTTTTCCGTTTTTAAAGGGCAGATATTTTGATATTTCTGTATGCGAAGAAAAAAAAAGCCCGATCAGATTTAATATCAGAAAAAAAAAGAGACTGGAGGACTGCAAAGTAAAAATAAGAGAAAGCCTCAGCCTCTGCAGAGATGCATTTCCTTCTAACAGCAGGATTTCACTGATAAAAGAATCCATTATCGAGGCTTTTCCCAGATCAGACATCAAAGATCTCATCTGAATCCATGAGGCACAATCTTACTGCCTTTTTGAGCATCTGCAGAGGAAAAAAAACGACTTTGTGGTTTGCCTTTAATGTGAGTTTTGATTGTAATCACCCACTAAAAATGTATCTTATGATACAGCTTTGAAAAAGTTCATCGTAGAAACTTTTTAACTGATTCATCCTGTGGTTTTCTGGTGTCATCCAAGAGTCCTGTAACGATGAGGTACTTATAATTGTACCGCACTACACACCACACAGAGATATGATCAAGGGACATGAATATTTAATAAGTTTTGAACTGTCCCTGGGCTTCAACGTCTGACAAACATGACAGTATTTTAATCTGCATTTAGTCAGCCCTGTTACCAATCCTGTTGTTGTCATTAATTTGATAAAAATGTAAAAACGGACAACTCAAATGGGCTTTCAACACTTACCATTATAATTTAAATTACATTTCATTTTAGATTGGGCCATTTTTCAACAATTCTCCTCTAAAAAATATCTGATATATGTTGCAAAATTAGGGTAAATTTGATCATCTGAATGACAAATATCTAACTGGAGAAAAAAATCCACAAAATAAAATCATCTCAATGGAAAGAGAGACTAAAGTACTGCTAATATATGTACCATATATTGCATATTTCTGATTAGAAATATTGTATTTTGTTTTTTATTTATTATTATAATAAAATTTATTTTATTTTTTGTATTTTTTATGGAGGTAACAGGGTTGACAAGATTATGAAAACAGCCAGGAGAAAAACGGTTATAAAATATATTATATAAAATAAGAAACCCAGATAATTCAAGAACCATTCAACATAAAATGAGACCATGAGGACCAAAATAAAAACATAAAATAGTGAAGAAAAAAAGGAAAATGCAATTAAAAGGGAGGATGAAAGTGGAAACAGGATAGTAAATATAAAAGGCAAAAATCAACAATGATAATAAAATAATAACAGGTAATCCTGATAATAATAGTAATGTTAAAATAGAGCAACAGAAATGAGCAAGAGATAAAACAATAAGGGCCTAAAAGGTTAATCAAGTACAACAAAAGCTAAAAAGCTAAATGTAATTTCCAGTCATTTTAACATTCTTTGATTCCTTAGTACTTAAAAATTAACAACTAAAGTTTCAATTTTAAAATGTCTAAGTTGAAAAGGCACCGATTTCATGACCCATAACACAAATTATTAGTTCATAAATAAAATAAAATAAAACTCTGTAGCTCACCAGTTGAGGGTTGAGGGCGCGCTCAGGCCTCCTCGGTTAGGCTAACGTTAGCGTTAGCTCGGAGTTCGCCGTTAACATTTCCATCCTCTTCGTCATGTTGAACCGTGTAACTCCTGGTAAAATTGTCTGTAACTCAGCTTAGTTTCCAGCTGTCCACTGTCTGTCCGCTTTTAACACCAGGACTTTCAACAAACGAGCCGAAACGGACCGAATACAGTCCTGTTTGTTGAGCTAGCTTAGCTACTAAGCTAACGCTAGCTAAAACATCAACTGGGACGTAGAAGTAGAAGTTTATGTCGCAAATATAAAAGTATTTAATTAAAAGCTGATAGTTGAGTGTTTATATGACTTTACAGGTTAAACTCGCCTTTTAAACTATTTTAAATGACTTGATTAATGAAGAACTGACAGGTGAGACACTTGAGGTGAGGGGTAGTGGTCTTAGCAGCCATCTTCCCTTCCTTAACGCCTTATCCTCCACAGGTGAACTTTAAAGGACAATTTCCAGGAGTAATTTTGGATCTTCATCTCAGACAGGTAACTGAAAGGTCTAGGACCCTCATAACACCTAACTGTTTTTACTTTCTACAGTTATCGCCCTTACTCTGTATGTTCTGTTAGGTCAGTGTTTCCTAAACACAAATTTAATTCATTTATTCACACTTAAATAAAAATGAGTCACAGGCTAATTTAGAAATAAAGATTATACATATCTTTAAAGGTAATTCACTTTATCCAAAGGCTATGTTAATTGTGGAATCTAAAAATGGATATAGAGCGGGCCCCAACCATAGAAACTCCAAAAAAATGTTTTTTGTTTAAATTTTACACATGCCTGAATTTTCTTTCTGCTTACATTATACTTATTTTTCACTATATTATTTAAAAACATTTACACAACCTAAACATTCCTGTATTTCTACTTAGTAATTTAAACCGTTCACTTTCAAGACTGTTATATTTATTTAATATTTAGTGAAAGTATTGTCACAGTATTTGTATCTGTGTAATGTGTACTGTGTTTTATTGGTGCTGCCTTTGGTTTTATGAATTTCCCTCTAGGATTAATGAAGTATCTATCTATCTATCTATCTATCTATCTATCTTTTTACTTCTCCCTTTTTTTTTTAAATTTGTAAATGAGTGTTGTATAAATGTTGTATTCTTGAGGAATAAATACTCACGGCCATGGGCAATGTTAATTCTCTAAAATCAAGAATTTGATGACATTTTAATGCTTTTATAAACCAAAATAAATCTGCATAAATATCTTAAATTTATGGAAAAATTAGACAAAATGGCAAATTTCTGCATCTTAAATTATTGCACAAAAGTATGAAGTCATTTAAACTGTATATTAAATCTGTTTCATACAATTTAATAAGATTATACTACAGTATAGGTAACTACTGTGCAATCTAACTTACTGATGGCAATAAATAGTTCACCTATGAAAAGTTACAGTGGGTTACAGATGTTCAATCTTTAAAAATATATATATATATATATATATATATGAATGGCCTCTTTGAGATTGGGGGTCTGTAACTCATATTTCTATTGCTTTATTTCATCATTTTAACAATAAAAACAGATGGAGAAATTCTTAAATATATTCTTTCACTTCTTATAACTCCACCATTATCACTCAGACTATTACAGCTGCTTGTGCGACCACTACTTCTTCTAACTTCGATGATTACTGCAGCTCTAACTTGGATAACTGCAGATTTTATTCTGTTTTTTTCTCACATACATGAACTCTTCTGTTGTGTTTTGCGATGTATTGACAATTCTCAACATTTCCACACATGTTCTCAGTTTTTCATGAGGATATACAAACACACACAGACATAAACACTCTCCATTAGACAGTCTCTTGTTAGAGGTCTTTATTCCAGTTTGTCAAAGCCAACAGTTACATTCAGCTTCCTGTTTACCTGCCGCACAGGTAACCTCCACATCTTTCAGTCCCCTCACATCTGTTGGTTGAACAGCGCTCACAAAATAGTGATTTCTCCCTCTTATATTTATAACACTCCAGGCATTCATTCTTATATTTACTATTTGTACAATACATGGTCATTAAATCATCCATCCATTCATTCATCCGTCCACCCTCTCCCAGCATCCACATGCACACACATCAACACTGTACAGATTTATCATTGGAGTGATGTCCAGTGCTCTGAACTGTTCATGTCCACGAGTTCAGGACAGACACAGATGAGTACCTTTGTTTGTTTATTCAGCTGAAGTTCTCACCACAGCCTGAAGATTTGTTCATGAAGCCAAATGGAGAAGGTGGAGTGCATTTTCATATATTACAGACTAATAATCATAATAATGACAAGCTCGAACGTGTTCAGAGGACCCCAGGTTGAGTTTTTTTCCAGGATGGAGAAGCAGATTGAGACAGTTGACAGAGGTAGACGGGGATAACAACATTTAAAAAAAAAAGAAAGACAGGGGCCCAGAAAGAGCAGAAAAAGTTCTTTAACAAGAAAAAGTTCCTAAAAAGAAGACCTCACTTCTTCTTCTCCTCCTTTTGTTCTGTTAGTGTCGAAATGCCTAAAGCAAAGCACAGCAGTTTGGTTTCTCTCCCAGTGCGTTCTCTAATATACAGTACAGTTCATACAGGGGGCACCTCCACCTCCAAACACCCAATACTGACGCCTCCTCCTCTGTCTAAATCAAAGCTGCCGAGGCTCGCTCTTCCTCCGCTGCAGCTCCTTTGGTCTCAGTCAGTCTGTGCAGTAGTTAGTTAGTTAGAAGCTTGTTCAGTTTCCTTTCAGGACTCCAGTGTTGAGACAGGAAGACGTCACCGTTCGCAGTAGAAGTGGCACAAACTCAGCTGCGGGACAAAAAGTGCAAGAAAAGTCCAAATGTTTTGGTCGCTTTATTTTTTTAACATCTATGTTTTATCGGCGGCATGTTAGCGTGGTTTTGGTCCAGAGGTCGCACGGTTTGGAGAAGCCTGTGACCACAGGATGGTTGGAGATGAAGAAGCAGCAGCTCCCGGGCCGGCTGATGAGCCAGACCAGACTGGACCGGACCAGACCAGGCTGTTTGTTTTCTTTTTTAGGCAGGGCCGTGCTGGGTCAGGAAGAGGGAATGAAAGAAGCTCATCCTCCCTCGTCTCTCTACCTGCCGAAAATGTTCTCGTACTCCAGCAGTATTAGCTCCACGATCTGGTTCTGGTAGACCATGTGGACCGCCATGTTCCAGGTCTCAGTTTCAGGCCGCAGCAGCGTGGGGCCGAACACGATGGCTACGCTCTGGGTGGTCATACGGTTCTCCTCCCCGTGGTCGATCACCCTGCAGGGACAGAACCAAAGATCACGGACCTTGTTTGATTTGTACAGGTTCTGAGCTGAAAAACAAACTTCTGATTTAGGAGGGTTCAAATAAATCCGTCTTACTTCCTCAGGTGTTTGAAGAGAGCCTGCATGGTGTCGTGGTTCGGCCTGGGCAGCTGTCTGACCAGATCTTTGATGGCCTGGACTCGATGCTTGTACTCTGGGAGCTCTGCGGACAAAAACACAAGATCTGTTCGAGCGAGGAAGGACGACTGCTGGGTAGTGAGTTCAAACATCAGCGTATGTGTGTTAAAGACGTACTGATGGAGCTGACGAAGTCGTGGAAGAGGGCGTAGGAGAAGAGAGGCTCGGGCAGCTCTCTGAAGTACATCTTTAGAGCTCCTGTGGTCACATGGATGTCCTCCCACTTGGAGTCTGTCAGGTTCACCTTCTCATCTGGACAAAAACAAACAAACCTTCAGTGAGAGAGACGCTCAGAGACGACCTTTGAACCAAGAAAGTACGGCTGCGTTTTCACAGAGAGAGAGAGACGAGAGTAATTTACCGTGGTTGACGGCGAAGCGTAGTTTCTGTATGACCGCCAGATTCCCACTGACTCTGTACAGCCCGTCCACACACAGACCTGCAGAGGATCATGGGAGGAAAACGTCATCTCAGTTCATTTTATTGCACACTCTGACTTTACTATCCTGAGGCAGTAAACCCCGCCCTCCGTTATCAGAGGCAGATAGCGTGTTGGAACCCACCGTTGTTCTCCACGTGGTCGATGCACATCCTGACGAAGCTCGGCACGGTGCTGCTCTCCCTGTGACACAGACTGGACAGACTGCAGCCGAACACCTGATCTGAAAACGCAGAAGAAGAGCGGAGTCATAACGACGTCCAAAGTCCGTTTTTTTTTTATCTACACCTGGATTTAAAAGTCCGGTTAAACCTCGGACAAAGATCTCTGTTTTTGTCATAAAACCATGAAACTGATAAAACTGGATTTCTCTTGTACATCTATGATAGAAATAAAATCAACCAGATTGATCTTTTTAAGCTCTCTGTGCTTCAGAAAAGAGAATAAACACAGACTAAAGCTGCAGATCTACAGGACTGTATTTCTACTCGGTCGTGGTTTCAGGTGGATTTCCTCGCCGTCTCTACCTTTGATGTATCCCTTGTCTCTGACGGCCTGCAGCGTCGGGCGGCGGGTCAGGAACTTCTTCAGCTTGTGTCGGGTCTTCTTGTTGTCCGAGCCGCCGTCCATGCTGGTGGACATCTTCATGGCTGCAGAGGACAGATGGGACAGGACAGTGTTGTCCACCACTCGTCTCAACACGCTGATCGCCATGACGGACGCTCAGGAGAATGACGCAGATATTCTGACTCAGGAGGCTGCGCCGGCAGAAACCGGTCTGGACTTTAGACTTTCACTTTCAGGTTTGTGTGGTGGACTCTGGGACCCTGATCCAGTTCTGCTTTAGAGTTTCCTCATTTGTAATCTCTGAAACTCTGAAATCTTTCTCCTTTAAAGGACTTCTTATTAGTTTGACCACATTTGAACTAACTTCACTCTCTCGTCACTCATCATCCATAGATGGAAGAGAGATTGGAAATGTTGAATTTTGTTTCTATTGCACATATAAAAAATAAAGTGTTGAAGAATATTTTTGTTTTGAACAAGGTCAAACTTGTATTGAATTGTAATGTCATGAAACGACTATATTTTCCTCTTATTCTGCCTATTTTTTGCTCTGGTGTCGAAGTTTGGGGCCAAACATACTTCACAAGGATAAGACCGCTGATGATGTTACAAAGAAAGGCAGTAAGAATTATTCATAATGTAGGAGACAGAGAACGTACAAACAGATAGTTTATCAAATCAGGATGAAATTCAAAGACTTAAAGCAGATAACAGAATATTACCAGAAGGTGTACAACAGCTGTTTGATATCAGATCAGGTGACGGAGAACACGGGAGGAAGTTTCATTTTAAACACCCGTTTAGACCTGAACAAATCTTTAACAAGCCCAGAAAATGTTAAAGGAAAAAACAATCAGAAATTATGACAAAAGTGACCAATGATTCAGTTTGAAATGCTGTCTAATATTTAGATTTATTATTTTGCTTGTTTTGTTAATTTCATGGTCTGACTACAGGATAAATCAGTGACTGAAAAGTCAAATTAAAACTCTGTTCTGTTTGTTTTGTTTTTATTGTTTTGATTTTATTGTTTAAAATAATTTTATTTGTTCTTATTGTTATTATTTTGTTTTTTGTTATAGTTTTGTCTTGTTGTTACTGTTTTGTTTTGTTATTATTTTGCTTTGTTGTTTTATGTTGTTTTGTTGTTATTATTTTGTTTTGTTGTGGTTTGTTTTTATTATTTTCTTTTGTTTTGTTGTAATGGTTTTGTTTTAAATTATTTTGTTTTGTTCTTATTGTTTTCGTTTTTTTGTCCTTATTTTGTTGTTATTATTATTATTATTATTATTATTATTATTTTGTATTATTTTGTTTTTCTGTTATTGTTTTGTTTTCAATTATTTTGTTTTGGTTTTACTGTTTTTGTTTAGTTTAGTTTAGTTGTTATTATTTTGTTTTGTTTTATTGTATGAATGTTGTAATATAAGACGTTTCTTCTTCCTGCTCTCTCTAAGAAATGTTGCGATGTAACATGATGTTGAAACTGCCTTGGCTGGAATAAATAAATAAATAAAATAAATAAATATGTGTGTGTAATGTGTGTGTTTTTCCACACAGACCTCGGCCTTTCTTGGAGTCTCTGTGCTCTTTCTCCTTGTCATGTTTCTCCGCTCCGGGAGACTCGGGCATGTCCTCCTCGATGGCCTCATCAGACTCCCACGCCTAAAACAAACAAACAAATGGAGCACATGCTGAGTTCAGATCCGGCTCGTAAAAACCTCTACCTGCTCCACCTTTGGACTCCTGGAGCAGAAACCTGATCTTATCTGGACTCTCAGGGTTATTCTCTGTTCTCGTTTAACATCCTGATTCCCAGACCGTCAGCATGTCCTCGTTCACGACTGTTTCCTCTACTTTAAAGGTTCAGGCTGACAGGCTGAACAGTTTCTAAACAGTCAGTAAAATCTGCTCACGTGGGTGCTGATGGTGTCCTGCAGAGCTCTGTACCAGTCGTTGACCAGGCCGTCGTTCTCAGACTGGATCAGCAGCTCCGTACCCTGACGAGTCTTCACCTGAGAAGAAGAGACGTCACAGTTTCACACCATCAGCTGTTTTTATTGTTGTTGTTGTTTTTGTTTTCATTACGCATGTTTAAAAACTGGAAAACTGTGAGAGTCAAGAGTTTGTAACGACCTCGATGACGTGCTTCTTGCTGGACTTGTCCTTCGACGCCCACTCCACAGAGCCGCCCCTCAGGTCCACGGTGAACTCGGGTTTGGACTGACTCCCTCCAAACTAAAAAAAAAAAAGAGAAAATGAATAAAAACTGAGAAAATTAAAACTGAAGACGGTTCCTTTATTCAGTTCATCCATGCAACAGTCTGTGTGGAGGTGAGAAAAGATGTGACTTTAATAAATTCACATTCATGATCGACTTTTCTGCATAAAAACTCAAAACTGGACTTTTCTCTGATCTGGAGAAATCCTGAACGAGAGGAAAGAGTCTTTACACGACCGTCTAAACCCGGATTTTAAATAAGTACACCTGTTCAGACCTCTCCACATGCAGTGAGTGTCATATCAGACAGAGGGGGTCAAAGCGTGGAGGACAGGGGGAGAGAGGGGGGAGCATGCAGAGGAGGAGGAGGAGGAGGAGGAGGACACATACAGAGGAGTCTCTGTGGAGCTCAGAGGAGTCAAAGGAGACAGCAGCGGGACGTTTCTTAGCAGTCGGCTTCCAGCCACTCAACAGTGAAAGGAGAAACTCAGGGAGGGAGGAGCCGCTGTGGTAATATGACTGTATGATGGGGGGGAGGTGAAGACAGGGACCATGGGGGTGGGGGGTTAAAAGGAAGGAAGGAAAGGAGGCATGGAAGAGGAAGAAGAAGAGGAGACAGATGGGAGAAAATTCAGCCTGACTCCTCTGAACTGGAAACACTGGGCCTCATTCAGATTCAGCTTCTTCTTCTTCTGTTTTTATTTTTCTGTTATTGATCCGACATCAGTTTGTCCAAATGAGCAAAGGTCAGAGGTCAGAGGTTCGGAGAAATCACACAGGAGTTTATGAAGCTGCAGAGCTGATGAAGGAGGCCCAGTGTTTCTTCTGAACATGAGAACTTGAGCGTGCAGAGATGATGAAGACTCCTCTGATCCTCAGAAATCTACTAAAACTCTTCCTCCAGATGATCTGTTTTCAGGAGAAAGTTCTGGTACTGACCCAGCTGGTTCCTCCTCCTTGGCTTTTGGCGAATAGTAAGGTGGATCCTTGGAGCACAGTCCAGGAGGAGGTCCAGTTCTTCCTGCAACAGAAGGTTTGAAAACCTTAGAAAGACCCAAAGAGCGTGTTCTGGTCCAGTTTTAGATCAAATCACATCCTTGTTCACATCTTCAGACCTGGTCGACCTCAGTGAAGGTGTGCCACAGGGGTCCATGTTAGGTCCACTACATTTATGATTAATATGAAAACTCCAGTAAAGAGTTTTTTAAACTTTTATAATTAACTAAAATTAACGTTAATGTCTTTTTTTTGATATTCAAAATCAAACTAAACCGTCAGTGATTAGATCGTTGATTTTAAAACTGGAAATGTTCGTGTCCCAAACTAATCTGAGGGTTTTTTTTACACTTTTCACACTAAATATGAAAAATCAGGTCGTCAAATGTCAGCAGGATGATTGGTCAGAAGATGAAAGAGGCAAAGACTTCTTTATCCACAAGGGGGCACTAAAACTAATACAGACTAAAAGCTCCTCACTTACAGAGCTTCATTATTATTATTATTAACCCTTTTTTAATAAATCAGCTTACACGCTTTTATGCAGATGACACAGTTTTATAACCTTCAGTCTTTTTCTTTAACGCTTTACAGTCACTTTGATGATTTTAAATAATCTTCAAACTTCATTTATGTTGTTGGTTTTTTTTCAGAGTGGAGGATTTTGGTCGTCAGAACTTCAGTGTTTCCTCTCCTCACGGTCTCTGTACTGAACTCGGACTAAAACTCAACTTTATTTGTAAAACACTTTAAATCAACCACCTGAACAAAGTGATGAACATAAAGAGACAAAACGACGCAGACATAAAAAAAAACAATTAAAACAAAACAAAGGATTAAATAAAATCAGATATTAAAAAGTAAAATATAGTTTCTATGTTTTTAAAAACAATAGAAACAAACAACTAAAAACAAACTATAAAACACTAAAACAGGAGCCGACTCATGCAGGTTGGAAACCCAATGACATTTGAGCAGTTTAAAGGTCGACTCACCGAACTTTCTTGCCGTGTTCGGTGATTTTTGTCACGTTCAAAACGCCGCACTTCTCCGACGGCTGCAGAGAGAAAAAACAGAAACAGGTTAAACACACACACACACACACATCGGTTAATTAAACTTTAACAACCACAGCAGGAAGAAACGACTGAGTTTACAGCTTTGAGAGGAAAACATCTTTGAAAGTCGAGTTACAGCTGAGAGAGAGAAAAACACGTCCTCTGTGTTTTAGTGCGATTTCTTTTTCTGGTTTTAAATAAACAGACGATCAGTGAGTAAAAGAACAAAAACAGAAACGTGTTTAAAGGTTCACTAATAAAAGAAACATCTACCGATTATAAAACCTCAAAATACTTAAAACCACAGTTTCAAAACAGTCCATGAATTTACCGTCCATTTAATTATTTTATTCACTCTAGTAAACGAAAAACAAAAAAACGAGTCAATATTTAGTTTTTTTGTTTTTCTATAAAAGCAAAAAAATAAATAAATAAAACTAGTTTTCGTATTTTCAGTTCAAAACAGAATATATAATAGAGAAGGAAACAACAACAAAATAATAAATCTTATTTACAATTATTGATTTTGAGTGCGCCTGTTTGGAGGCTACATTGGCGTTCCCATGATCCTCAGCGACAGTTACCATGGCGAAAGATGCGACAGGTTCGAGTGCCAAAATCTTCAGTTGTAACAGAGCTCTGATTTTTCTACAGTCAGATCTTCCTCCTTCAGCGTGACCCTGAAGAGGTCATGCGTCCGTCTCCATGACAACAGGTTAGCCTTTCTCTCTACTAGGGCCCGGCCGATATGGATTTTTGGGGCCGATACCGATTATTAGGGGGGAAAAAATCTGATTCCCAATTAATCAGCCGATTTTTTAAATTTTTTACAAAGTCATGAAAAATATATATACACTGTTGATATACTGTAGGCTGCTGATCTTAACGCCGACAGGAAGACAGACTGATCAAACTTGGACCAGAAAAGCGTTTTAACTTTTCAACAATTCTCCACATATTATTTCTGAAAATATCGGTATATATGGCCGATTATTGATTAGTCTCAAAAAGGCTAAAATTGGCTCGCTGATAAATCGGTCGGGCTCTACTCTCTACTGCTCTGGCCTGGAGTTTTTGGTCCACGTTGTTTGCGAACAGTAGAAAGGCACCGTGGGAAACGGGGACATCAATAACCCGAAAACAAAAAGTAGATTTATTATTTTGTTTTCGTTTCCTTCTCTATTATATATTCAGTTTTAAACTGAAAGTATGAAAACAAACACTAATCTTTTTTTTTTGTTATATAGAAAAACAAACAAACAAAATATTGACTCGTTTGTTGTTTTCTAGATTGAATAAAATAATTGAATGGACGGATAAAACACGAACCCATGACGGATGATAATGAGGACAGAATCTGATGGTTTGTAAATCCACTAAAGTATTTAACTAAACTGAAACTGATGCAGAGACAACACACCGACTGTTTAAAACTAAAAACTTCATTTTCAAATGAAATCTTGTTTTGGAAACTTTCGGACATGTTGAACGTTAATCCTCCAGTTTTCAGTTTCAGCTCAGTATCTGTCGTCTCTGCACCGTCAAATCAAAGAAAGGAGTTTGAAACGATCGACAAACCACCGACAGAAACTCAGAGGGAGGTGGAGGATGAGGAGGTGAGTGAGTGAGTGAGTGAGTGAGTGAGGGGTGAGTACTAACGGAGGTGGGGGGCTTGGGAGATGAAGGGCAGGAGTCAGAGTCAGGTGAGGGGGACATGGGACCCAGAGCGGCGTCCTGGTGAGGAGACAGAGATGAGAGAACAAACACAAGAGCGGGAGGTTAATGAGAGGATGATGATGATGAGGATGAAGGGTGAAGACGACGGTAATCAGCTGTTAAATGAGAAAACTGTGGATTTCCTGAGGAGGAGGAGGAGGAGGAGGAGGCGGGGTCTTCTGAGGAGGTTCATGCAGCAGGAGGAGGATCATCATCATCATCATCATCATCACTGACAAACACTAAAGTTCACCATCCTTTAATCAGAACATTGATCCCCGATCAGCTCAGGTGATTACATGTGAACATGTGTGACGCATGCTTGGATCAGGGCTCTGATTGGTTGGTGGGTCGGACAGGCTACTGACTTGGTGTTTGTACGGGTGTTGGCGGGCGGAGCCTGAGCGGAAACGCCTGGTTTTGAACAGCCGCTGTAAAGTAACCGGTCTACAGTTCAATCGGGGTCTAGATCAGGAGACTCTGGTCCTTCAAGGGGAGGGGTCAAAGACTGTGGAGCAGAAAATCCACGTCCTGCAGAGACGGTCTGAGCGTCATACCTTGTCGTTGGGTTCTTGGACGTAGGCGCTGTGCCTCCACTTGGTCAGGACGATGGGCTCCACTTGCCTCCGGTCCAGACTGCGACTCTTTGGGGCGTCTCCGGAGGGCTGAGGGGGGGAGTGGTTATACTGGAGGAAGAGGGCAGGTATTGATAACCGATTTATTCCAATATAATGATTAAAAAAAAGGCTTTTAGTGAGGTGAGTTTAGGGGAGGGTGGAGCAGACGCAGACAAACAGACGCTCCTGCTCGCTCGTATCGTTCCAGTTAAATTCAGATATAATGCAGATAAATACAAATGGGGCCCAGTCAAGGTGAAAGTCAAAAGCATTGGTGCTACTGTAGATGCCAACAGACTACCAGCAAACACAATGTTTGCAGGACTTCTACAACGAGGATAAAGTGACATAGTCCAGGACCCGAGGGAGGACAGTTTAGCGATGGCGCTACAACACGCTACAGCAGGTCCGTTTGACAAGAACCACTTCTGTTACAGACACTTGTCTTACTTTGTTAAAGCGGTTTACCTGTCCAGCAGAAAGGTTACAGGGTCACCAAGATCCCCAAGCGTCCCCCATCGTTTATGTTGACCCGGCTTTTTAGCTCTTGTCCGGTCTACCTCCGTTTTAAGCGCCCGTTATTCCTCCAGAGTCTCCGGTATTTACTTTGTTTTCTTGCTTGTGTCGGCAGTCGTGGCCAAAGGAGGATTCGGACAATTTTCCGAACTTTCTGGTTGGTTTCTACTGTCCGATATTGTAGCACGCTAACTTTGTTTGGGCTCCTGAACGACACGGGAGAGCAGCGTCTGCCTCACAACCAATCAGGTTAGAGGAGGTGGAGAACGGCTTTGTTTACAGTCAGAAAGAGCGGACCGCTCAAAAATGTTCAAATGTTGACGACACAGACATAAGAGAACACAGAGATATCGATATATTACCAAATGTCATCAATAACTAATAACTATTGACTGATATTAGAAGATTTTTGTATTAAAACCACAAAATAAAAAGATGCTTTTTTAACAGATTTCCACCTCCTCTACCTTTAACGTGCTGATCGTTCATTTTTAACACAGGAGGAAGAAAATAAAACACTGTGATGGTCGGAGGACTGATGTACAGACAAACAGGTTCTAGATCCTCTAACAGGAAGTGACTCAGAGTCAGAATAAGAACCGGGTCTAACCTTTGGGAGCTCCCACTCTGACCTGGAACCGTCTGCGCTGTAGTAGTAAGGTCGGCCCTTTTCGTCCACGTGTTTCAGCCACTGTTCAGGAGGAACACACAACTGTAAACTTCTGCACAACAACATCAAAAACCAGAGGATGAACTCAGAGTTTGTGGTTTTTATTTACTATATTTATTCCTGAATCTTTGACGTCTCTAACCCTCAGACTGAGTCAAACTCTGGTTTACTCTTTTTCCTCTTTATTCACCATATAAAAAGACGTTTTTTACAGTTTTCTTTTTGAGTGTTGAGCTGATAAAAAGCAGAAAAGAGTGATTTTTTTCACTTTGGTCGTGCAGGAGGAAATCCACCCAAAGTCCAGTCCAGCATGCAGACCCCCCAGAACCCCCACAGAACAGAGACAGCAGCGGGTCAGCAGGTACCTTCTCGTTGGTATAGTCGCTGACGTACAGCGTGTGGCCGAACTCGTCCATCTCCTCCGACCAACCGCGCGGCGGAGAGCCGTACTGACTGTCCGACTGGCTAGAGTAGGCGCTGAAGCAGGTGTCCTCCGACGAGAGAGGCTGGAGCCGACCAATAGAGAGCGAGAGGAAGGGGAGGAAAGACGGCGAGAGCGAGAGAGGAGTGGTCTGCCATGAGAGCAGAGAGAGAGAGAGAGAGAGAGAGAATCCATCACCACAGAGTCACAGCAGGAGAAATAAATCATCAGAGACCCCGACACCGAGTAAAAACCTCCACCAGAGAGTCCAGAACCTCCACAGAGAGAGGGAGTGAAGTGACAGGCTCAGACCTGAAGGGGGCGGTGTGGTACAGACACTCACTGACTCAGGGTCAGACTCAGTGTTTGTGTGTGAGTGCGACTAGATCCTGAAATAACTCTGAATAAATCTGTTTGTGACGTTTTAATGCTTATTTTTAAAGTTTATTTAAGGTTTATTTTTATTCTTCCGTCTCTCTGAAAGAAGACTTTTGTAGATTTGTCTCTCTGTCTGTTTTCTGTTCATCATGAGGCGCTCGCATTCGAGGATGCAGCACTTTTTAAAATCAGATTTAAGATTTTTTAAGACTTTTTCAGGACCCACACAGAACGAAACTGTACGATAAGATCTGTTCAAAGTTAAACAGACAGCAGCTGATGGAGCAATATATTTGAACAAGAGCACAGTAAAGTTAAATCAGCTAATTTTCCAATGAGGTTCTGTTACTGAACAGAACTACACCATGATCTACTGAGGTTAGTTCATATAGGGTCCTAGCCATAGTACTAGCCACCAAACATCTTTTTAACTTTGACTAAATGATCATAAATTTTCTTCCTTGAGCTGCGGCACCCCGCTGTATCTGTAATGGAGTGGCCTGAGGTCTCTCTACAAACAAGCGGCTGCTGGAAGAGAGTAGGTGAGTTGTGTTTAGTCTCTTTGCTAAAGAAATGACTTAAAGTTAAAAAGATGTTTGGTGTCTAGTACTATGTCTGGGACCCTATATGTACTAACCTCAGTAGATCATGGTGTAGTTCCGTTTAGTAACAGAACCTCATTGGAAAATTAGCTGATTTAACTTTACTGTGCTCTTGTTCAAATATATTAACTCGACAGCACATAAATCCATACCTGTTAACAAAATCATGATTTTATTGATAATTCGGCTCAATAAAAACACCTTTACCTTTAATGCTGAACAATATCTCCAGGTTTAGGAGCATCAGGACTCTGTAGTTGGAGTCGATGCATAGGCTTAATATCACTTGTCTAACACTCTTCTGGAAAGGACAACTGGACTTACTTGAGACGTTTCGCCTTAGGCAAGTAAGTCTAGTTGTCCTTTCAACGAAGAACTGGAAATCATAGATGCTGCATCCTCAGTTAATTTTACGCCGGAATATCCCTTTAAACTGGACCTTCAGCAGGTCTCCTGGTACTCCTTCTCACAGTCTGAGAAGAAGTGCTGCCCTGTTATAATCTAATAACTTCATATCCGTCTCTGAATCCTGTTGATCTGACTCTGTGTTTCTGCAGGTTTGTGTGATTTCCTGCATGGTCAGTTTTAACGCTGCGCTCCTGTTCGTCGCTCTGTTTCTGGGGAAATGTTGACAGAATAAGACCGGACTTTCACACCAGGGTTAACCTCGTCTCACTCTCAGTACCTCGGAGCTCTCTCCCGCGCTGTGGCTCTCTCCTCTGTAGCTCCCCGTGCTCGTGTCCCTGGTTCTGGGCGGCTTCCATGTCCTCTCCTGGGTGGAGCGGTTGTAGTAGTAGTGCCGCCCGCTCTGGTCCTTGTAGGTCTCCCAGTCTCCCAGCGAGTGGAGGGGGGAGCCGGAGGGGAGCGGGGGGAGGTTGGTCTGGGTGATCTTCAGCTCCTGGAGGTTGGTGTAGACGGGGGAGTCGGAGCGGCCGTGGCCTGAAGACGACACCGTCTGTTTGGGGAGAGAAAGAGAGAGACAGAGAGGATTTCAGCCTGTGACATAATCTGTTCCTGGACAGTCGGAGATGAGAGATTCAGCGCTGTGAGAGGATGAAGTAACAGCTGCACCTGAATGAGAGAGTTTGAGCTTTAAACACCGACTCTCTGTTAATAACATGTCCCTCTGAGATCCACATCAGACCCATCAGCTGCTCTCTGCAGCAGGAAGGAAATTACAACATGTCAGAGGAGCGACGGTTGGAGCTGACGCAGCCGCAGAGTTTACCCACAGAGAGTTCGGTGTGAATGGACTCAGAGGAGGAAACGATCATCTTATGTAACCGAGAGAATGATGGACAGGAGGAAACAGGAAGTGAAAGTGTGGATTATGATGTTTCCTGAAGCGTGAGGACAGTCTGACCCGACTCATCTTCAACCCTCTGTAAATACGGGTTTACCCCGAGCAGAGCGACTATCATTCTGGGTCTGTTCGAACCATGTCCAGCCGTCAGACGCTCCCATGCTCACCCCTCCTGACACGGCCTTGCAGGACAAAAAGCATCTGACCGTCAAAATCAGTAAAATACTTCTTCATGTCATCATATTATCGTCAGGAAAATGAAGTTTGTTGATGCAAAACTGTCCGACAAATCAGACGAATCTGTCAGAATCATCCTAACATGAGCTTTTTGGTTTTCTGTTCAAATAAAGAATAAATCATTTCTCCGATAATTAGCTGACGTTCAGGTTAAGAAGCTCCTGCTAAATATCTCTCTCTGTAGCTCCACAACAAACAGCTGTTATCTCCAGAAAACAAGCGGAGACACCAGCTGATATTTCCAGATCAGACAGAAACACAAACTGTGTTTCAGATCTTGTTCTGACTTCACAGGCAGCAGACCGGGTCTCTTGGCAGGAGGAGAAAAACCTCTAATTAGTGTGTGAGACGCAGCAGAGATGACGTTCATGTTCAACAGGCGCCAAACAAACCGGAGAGAAAGTCTGTGAGCGACACCAGAACAAAGTTTCTGTTCGCAGCTGCAGCCGAGTCAGCGTCTAATGACAGAGCATCTTTCTTCAAACACGCCGACGCGCCGCTGCACCGCCGCTCCAGTCAATGGGCCGCTTGTCATGATTATTTGATGGTGGCGTTACAAAGAAGAAGAAGAAGGCGGCGGGGTCATAAATAATGCCTGTGAACACTGGCTCTGTGATGTTTTATCGCTCAGGGATCAATAAGGATGAAATCTGCAGGAGCAAACAGCTGGAGGAGCTCAGGAGGATCAGAGCGGGATCACAGCAGGACTCAATCAAGACGACATGAAGCAGGATCTATGTTGATCAGACACGTCTATGATAACTCCTTCAGCTTCCATCACAAACACCCTGACCCCACAGTGGAGGTCAGACATCAGCGTACCTGAGCAGGTGAGCAGCTCGTAAACACCTCATCTTCTTCTTCTTCTTCTTCATGCATCGAGATCGCACGGAAAAAACTCCTCCTGAGGCGAACCATGGCCATCGCTCCTGCTCGCTGTTTTGGCGTCTCTCGTGTCTCTGTGTTGTGTGTGTGTGTTTACCGCTGAGCCGACAGATCGGTTAGTGCACAGATTTGTCAAAAGGGGGAAGTCCTGGTGAGCCAATCGACCGTTGAGTTGAGTCAGAGCGGTGATTCACCGCCGGACAACGAACCGCAGCTCAGAGGATAAACGGCTCAAAATGACGATTTCACTTTAGGAGGGAGAAATCAAACTGAATCAGATCAGACTAACCGGTTTCTGAAACCCTCAAACAGCTGCTGAAGGTCCGATACCATCAGCCCTGCAGGTTCTGTCATTATGTGAGTAAAGTCCGCAGCGTCAGCTCGGCCCATTAAAAATGCATGCAGGGTTGTTTCTGGACTTCATTATAGCAGCAGTTTGTTCCTGAGCAGCTGGTGTCGGACATCTGCTGTGAACAGACTGACCGCCTGATCAATACTGAGCTTTAAACCCACTGAAGTAAAACACATGCAGAGTTTGACCTCTGACCTTACAGGAGACGAGAGGAGCGCCGAGAGGTGGACAAGAGTCATCCTGTTTTACAGGACGGAGGAGGAGAGAAAGAGTCTGTCTGTCTGTCTGTCCCGGGTTTAAAGGGGAGAGGTCTGTCCTCGTGTGGGTCGTGATGATGGGGGACAAACGAGACACTATCCTGGATGTGGACCAGGACTGTGTCTTAGCAATAATCTGGTGGTCTGATCCTGCTCATTATACAGACGGTCTTTACTGAATACACTGAAACACCTTAATATTGTATTAATACCATCATGATATCACAGCAATAATCCTGCTCATAATCCTGCTGATTTCTAACTCAGTGAGCAGGTAGATTATTTAAAGACTTCAGCTTCCATCAGCAGAGTGAGCACCAACAGTTTTCAGGTTGACGTCCACACACCTGTTATAGTTATTATAAATCAGCCATCTTTATTACATACGGGTGTTTTTAGTGTAATGGAGGTCGAGTCATGATGGCGTGTCCGCACAAAGACGACAGTAACTACAGTTACAGAGCTATAAAGAGCTCTTCTCTGTTCTGGTTCTAAATACAAACATTTCTGCCTCATCTTTGATCAATCAATCAATCAATCAGTCTGTATTTGTAAAGCACTTTTTATACCCTGATCTACCCCAGCCCAACCGCTCAGTCCCACTCCACGATCCAAGAACAACAGAAACAGTATGAAGATGCATGAACTCAAAAAGAGCTCGATTATATAGAAACAGGAAAGTGTAAAGTGAGGAAACACGGTTTTAAAATTCAAGATAAGGAAACACTGGAGGTTTAAAATCTAAAAACAAAGATTTATAGATTTAAGAAATTAGAAATAAAATAAAATAAAAACAACAGTAAAAGAAACTAAAATAAAAGCACCAAAATAACTCAATAAAAGACGATCCTGTGATTAAAACTAGAAAGAGATAAATGCTAAAACACTTAAAGTTAATGATATAAAATTTAGTTAAAAGTGAGAATAAAAAGGTAAATTTTCAGTTTGGTTTTAAAATCCTTCAGATTAGTTTTAGTCCTCAGGTCTTCAGGTCAGCTGTTCCATAGTCGGGGGCCGTAGTAATAAAAAGATGTCTCACCGTATGTCTTGGTCTTAACTTCAATAATGTTAACAGAGAACTTCCTGAAGACCTGAAGACTGGACCTGACTCAGAAGGTAAAAACAGATCAGACAGATAAGATGAGGAGCTTTAAAAACCAATAAAACAACCTTAAAATCGATTCTAAAAGAGACGCGGAGCCGACGCAGAGACCTTAAAATCGGAGTGATGTGATCTCTCTCTCTCTCTCTCTGGTCCTTGTTAACATCCGTGCAGCTGAATTTTGGAGTAACTGCAGTCATTGATATAATCTTATATATAAACGTCTCTAAACTTTGGACTTTGAGGCTGCAGCGGTTCTTCTCAGACCAAGTAAATTCTAACGTCTGTCTACAAACCTGCTTCAGAGATCGCTCAGCAGTGATCCTGAATTTATCAGAGGACTGATTAGAAACCCTTAAACTGAACAAGAACTCAGCTGCTCTGCCCTCTTCAGTCAGAAGAAGAAGAAGAAGAAACCCTGATTGCAGCTCCTTCTCCTCCTCCTCCTCCTCCTCCTAATTTCCTATTTGGGGGCCCGAGCAGCAGTTCTTGTGGAGACCAGAATAAGAAAGGACAGAGAGTGACGCTGCCCGCTCCAGATAGCAGACCTGCAGAGTCTTATCTTGGCCGCCTGCAGCTCTGCAGATGAATAATAATCGACTGGTCCAATGTTTTCTCCGGCCGCAGATAAACTGCATCCCAGCCAGGAAGAAGAAGGACTCTGCTGCGGGCGCTGAACGCATCAGAGCTAATATTAGAGCGAAACCGCATCACATGGTTTTTATTTAGACCGGGTCTGAAGTCAGACCCAGAACACTCTGTTCATTTTATGCAAAGCAGTGGTCCTGATTCCCTAAAGCTGCCCTGAAACTGTTGGAGGACTGCTGCTGCCGCTGCTGATGATGATGATGAGAGAAAACTCGGGGTTAGGGCTGTGGGGTCCTCTCAACGTGTGTTTCTCAACGGTCCTCAGTCCTCTCTCTCTCTCTCTCTCTGTCTCCTTATTCTCTCCTGATTTGTTTGACCAGATCTTAAACCACAGAGAGAGAGAGAGAGAGAGAGAGCAGATCTCGACTGTAAACAAGAACACATTGTCTTATGTAAAGCTCCTGTCAGCAACTTTTGGTTTACACTGATTTTGTTCTCTAACCTTCTCACTGATCCTGTCCCTGTGTGTGTCTGAGTGTTTTTCTGATGGTAACGTACGAACCTGACCGATCACTAAAGTCCTGACGAGTCTGCGGGTTCAGGACGTGAAAGGAAAAACACGCTACAGCAGCAACAACCAGTTTACCTTCAGATAAACGCAGCGTGTAAACAGACAGATATATAGACGGGTTTACTCTTCATGATTCTCCTCTAACCTCCTTTTTTTGTTGCTTTTCCAAAATATATCTGTTTAAGATATGAGTCCTTTAGGTACGTCACTTCAGGTGATGTTTGGCGGGTTATTTAAATCTCACCGGCGCAGTCAGACGACGGGTTTTCGGTAAGCTCTTATCTTTTCCTGAGTCACAGATGTGAGCGAACCTAAACCCCAGCGGTCTTTTTTGTAGCAGGAAAGAAAGAAGCTTCCTAACCCTCGCCTCCTCGCTTCCTCGAGGTGAATTCCTGCTGCAGTCTCACATGGACTCACCCTGATTTCATACAGAAGTTTAACCCGAGAAAAGTCCCCTGTGAACCGTCGTGAAAATGTTTTCAGGAGTTTTGTGCGTTTGTAAAAACATCTTCAAGAGTAACTTTTGAGGTGGAAATAGGGCTGGGCGATAAAACGATAACGATGTATATCAAAAATTAATTTCCCTCAATATCAATATGAAACATGATCAATATCCTTTTCAATAGTCGTCATTCTGACATGTTTTGGTCGACTTCACGAACAGCCAATGAAAAGGGGAGTTTCTCCGGGTCTGAACCAATCATGTTCTGAATTAGAACCAAGTATCAACCAACTGCAGCGTCGTAGCAGACAGCAGCTCCACCCAACCATAGCACTTTAACAGGTGAAGCCGACAGCACTGTTGGTGAGAAACAAAGAAAATGAGTGCTACCCCCGACAGAAATGACCATGAAGGCTCAACAGATGACCACATCAATGTCAACCACAACACTGGCGTTAGGAAAACGTCGGTGGTGTGGAGGTTAATTTCCACCTCATTCTGAACGTCTACGAAAAGATCGTCGCTGATCGTAACCATTAAAGTTAAACGTGTCGATTTCCACCGACTTCTTTCTGTTCCTCTGCGGAACGAAAATTGAACACTCTTTTAGAAAGGACAACTTTCCAAATCTGGAGTTCCTGTTTTCACTTTTATTCTCTCATCAAACATTTAAATAAAGAAATAAAAACACAGAATCAGCTTTTTCTCACATCAGCTGCTCCAACTCCTGTATTCAGATGACTGTCCAATCAGAGGTGGAGGAGTCGGCGTCTCCTTTAGGTGGCAGCCTGACGACAAAGTCGGATCAGTTTTTACAGGGACGGGCCGGGGATGGAGGAGGAGGTGGAGGAGGTGGGGCTCCATGCACTCACCTCCTCCTCCTCCTCCTCTTTCCATTTTTCAGTTTGACACCGATGAACCTGCTCTGCTGCATACCACAGGGAGCCAGGCCATGCAAACACTAAACACACACACTCACCGCAGAGCTTTAACACACTCACTCTTACCTGGCATCGCACACACACACACACACACACACACACACACACACATGTGCAGGTATCAACACAGTCGGACACACAAAAACAAACACACAGCAGCACATGCCTCAGTTTCTCACTTCATGGTTGGTCGATTTGGTTCCTGAGTTTCACTGCAGAGCTTCACACGCTCACTGACACAGAGAGAGAGAGAGAGAGAGAGAGAGAGAGAGAGAGAGACAGAGAGAGAGAGAGAGAGAGAGAGAGAGAGAGAGGAGAGAGAGAGAGAGAGAGAGAGAGAGAGAGATTACATAACAGAAGGAGGAAATGTGGCTCAATAAGTCCGTGTTTGGAAACCTGCCCAGAGTCACTGACAGACGCAGACCTTCACACTGACATTAGTGGGACACGGTTTCATCCTCGGCTCCCATATTTGGTCAGTCTAGAGTTATAATAATAGATCCTGATAAAAGAAACAACTAAATCTACAACAGAGGAAAAAAGAGAGGAGAAAATGTGGATTTAAAGGCTTTTATGGCAAAAGTTTCATCATCATCATCATCATCATCGTCTCCCTTCATTATCTGATATGTCAGCAGTTCGTCGGCGCACACACAGCGGGAGCTTCATAAATGTGCTGAATGTGGGACAGAGGACCAGTTTAACCAGCCTGGAGGTGTGACCCAGTGTGATCGAAACAGGAAGGAGGAGAAGAAGAAAGGAGGGGTTATTAAAAAAGGAAAACAGCCGGGGAAGATTCACTCAGTGAAACTTCAGCAGATTCAGAGAGGGAGAGAGAGAGAGAGAGAGAGAGAGAGAGAGAGAGAGAGAGAGAGAGAGAGAGAGAGAGAGAGAGAGAGAGAGAGAGAGAGAGAGAGAGAGAGAGAGAGAGAGAGAGAGGGAGAGAGAGAGAGGGAGAGAGAGAAAGAGAGAGAGAGAGAGAGAGAGTCTTTAAAAGACTTCAACATGAAAACAAGAAAATCATCAAAATATATGAAATCTGAGTCCACCACGGTCTGAATAAAAGGAGAGAAACGCAGACAGACAGACAGACAGACAGACAGACAGACAGACAGACAGACAGAGAGAGAGAGAGAGAGAGAGAGAGAGAGAGAGAGAGAGCGAGCTGCAGTGACCTGAGGAGGCCTCAAATACTCTGAACATGTTAGTTATCTGTTTATGGACGACATCTTCTTCCACACAGCACATTTATATCCCACGTTTATTACATGTAATAAAGGATCATTATAAGGCCTGTCAATAAAGAGACTATTTTAGATAATATCACACACATGAGTCAAAGTTTTTAGGAGTAATTTTATGCGTTTCATCTTCTTTTCCTCCTCAAATCAGCAGCTCTACGCTGGATCAGTTTCAGTCCTAAATATTAACCTACTCTCTTCCAGCAGACGCTTGTTTGTAGAGAGACCTCAGGCCAGTCCATTACAGACTACAGTGGAGTTTCGCAGCTCAAGGAAGAACATTTATGATCATTTCTTTATCATTTCCTTGAAGTAATAATCATCATATTAATCATTTTTCAGACGCGGTAGTTCTTCTGTCTTAGCGTCTCGGTCTGATTGTATTTCCATGAAGAAATGATCATAAATGTTCTTCCTTGAGCTGCGTCACCCCGCTGTAGTCCGTAATGGACTGGCCTGAGGTCTCACTACAAAAAAGCGTCTGCTGGAAGAGAGTAGGTGAGTTGTGTTTAGTCTCTTTGCTAAAGAAATGAGTCAAAGTTAAAAAGATGTGTCTGTGACCCTATATGTAAAAGCCCCACGAGGGGAAATTCCAAATTTACAGCAGCATAGTATAGATACAAAAAGAGAAAAAATTAAAAGATAAAGACACTGAGTTAAAAAAAGATATGTACATGCATATCTAGGAATAGTTTCAGTCCTGTAAACATGTCAAATACAGGAGGACTCTGTCTCTGAGGATGTAAATTAAAGGAACTGTCAGTGATGGATCTTTGGAAAAATTAAAGATCAGTTATCATTAATGTGGAAAAAACTAAAAACCAAAAGACTCGTCATGCAGGCAGGAGACCTGAGCGGACGAGTCTGTGAGAGTCACAGATTTCTGCATGTTTGTTCTTCTTGATGAAGTTAAAGATACTGAGAGGAACTTCCTCAAACTGGTTTAATGACTGTGAACGATGAAGAGGAGCTTCTCTGGAGGAAATAATGACGAGTCCCTGCAGACACAAACATGAACAGGAAATCTATTCACACTAAACGGACTGAGAGGCTGACATGGATGTCAGAGAGATTGTCCTCTTTTATATGAACCCTTCTGAGAGAGCAGGTCCTCAGAGGGATCCTGGTCTGGTTCTGAATCTGACCCTGATCTACTTACAACTCAACACGAGGTTCAACTGGGTCAAACATGATAACAAGGAAGAGGAGAGAGAGGAACCGATGAGGGTGAGGGGCCGAGAAAATATCAGTTAATGTTCGTTTGATTCAATTATCATTTCTGAGTTTCTAAAACACAGAAACAAAGACGGTGTTCAAAGATGTTCCTGCTCTGGACAGTCAAACTTTAAGTCTTGGTTGATGATTGTGGAGACTGGTAATTATCATGAACCTCGTTTCTATGGCGATCATGGTCCGATAGTGATCAGATCATCAATGAGACTTTAATGTGGCGATCATGTGATAGCATCAGGACCCATTGTGTTTGGATACACTGATAAAGTGAGTTTTTCAACACGCATCACCATAGCAACGGTCTGTTCTTCATAGAGACACCCTGCTATGGAGAAATAGCAGACTGTCGCTTTGTGACGACCTATCAGAATCACTTAGCAAAGCATAACAAAGGCAGGGAAACCTGAGTGGGGCCGTGAACCGGGGTCGATGTGGTCCTGTTTCCATACTACACCTGCAGTGAGGTATGGAGTGTATATCTGTGTGTGTTGACAGGGTTCGAGGTTTACAACCAGGACTTTAGCTTATAAAGGACTATGATGTGTTAGGTTTGCTCTAGGTCAACACTGAAGCTTCATTGAATTGAACTGAGAGGTTACAACGATCGTACTAAACTGCAGCTGGTTCATTACCCCAGAATTACACAACAACAACAAACCGGAGCTAATTCTGATTTCCTGGTCTGATGCAGCGTGGGATTATTCTGGACACAGCTGTGAGAGGGCGACACAGACGGGGAGGGAAGAGTGATTAAAAAGTGTCACCGTAAATGAACCTACACAGATGTGTGTGTACATGCGTGTGTTTGCACGGACATATGTTAGAGCGTCTGGATCAACAGCTGTGTACTCAAACCCACATGGGACCAGAGGGGCCCCCCCTGCAGGATGGGACATGATGTCAGACACGCATTCAGTCACTTATTAATAAACACATAAATCCAAACGCGGGCCCAGAGCTCTCCTCCTGACTCAGCCTTTCACACACGCTCTGTCAGTGCTGATGTTGTTTTTCTGTACAGTAGAGGAGAAGCAGAGCGGCTGACAGCCTGGACCCAGTGATTAATCCTCTAATTCCTCCTACCTGACGGATCGAAGATAATGACGCTAATTCTGCAGCACGGTGGGAGGCTGACGGGGTCCGATGAGGACAGCCGAGATGTATATATGAACGAACGAGACATACTGCAGAGGGGCGGTTATGTAAGAGGGGGGCAGCAGGTGGGGTCACTGCTCAGGACACAGTCTGATGGCAGAAGAGAGCCCACATCACACCGATTTTAACATCTCACCTGTGTCTTTTAGAGTCGATTTTAAGGTTTTTTATTAGATTTTAAAGCTCTTAACGGTCTTAAAGGTCCTTCTTATTTGTCTGATTTTACCGTATGATCCTAGTAGAGTCTTCAGGTCTTTTAATTGTTCCCAAAGTAAAAACTAAAACATGGTGAATCATCGTTCCAACATTACAGTCCCCATCTGTGGAACAGCCGACCTGCAGACCTGAGAGCGCCACCTACTGTTCATATTTTCAAAAGTAAACTAAAGACCGACCTTTTAGTCTGGCTTTGATTTAAATTTGATTTAATCTTTTAGTCTACATGATGTGATTTTACCTTATTTTAGTCCTAGAGTATCTATTTTGTGTTTTATTACCTTTTTTTTAATTTACTTTCTTTTATTGTTTGATTCTAAGACTGTTTCATTTACTTAACTATTATCACTATTTGTAAATACTTGTATATTATCTCTATATTTTTACTAATTTTATCTATTTATCTCTATATTTTAACTTATTTTAACTATTTAGCTCTACATCTTTACTAATTTTATCTATTATTTATCTACTCTTTTACTCTTTACTCTTTTTACTTTTACTGTATTTGCACTGGAGTACTGTAATAAAAGCAATTTACCCCAGTGGATTATTACATTATTTCTTATTCTGATTAACCTTTAACGCTTTATCACCTTTATAATATGGTTTTCTTTTATTTTAGTCTTAGATCCAGTGTTTCCTCGTCTTTTTTAACTCAAGTTAGTGTTTCCTCAGTCATCTGTAGCGAGTTGAAGAGTCCTCATCTGGTCTGTGTGTGTGATATTTTTATTTATTTCATTGTTTTTTAATATCCTGTGCTAATGGACAGCACTTTGAGCTCCATTCTATGTATGAAAAGTGCTTTAAAAACAAAGTTTGATTGATTGATGAATGAATGAATGAATGGTTTTATTTTTGGTCACAATAACAAATGAGAAACAAACAGAATTATAAACTTGATGTTGATGTTGTTATAAAAACAAGAACACTGAGAGGGAAACTCGTCCAAAAGCCTTGAAAGTTGTAATTTTTTAGGCCTCCAATCCAGTTCATTTCATTTACACAGAAACAAGAAATAAACAACTTTCACTAAATCTGATATTTATATCTCTAAGTGTAGAGTAGGTATGAAAAGTTGTCTAAAGAGTCCAATCCCTCTTGGATACAGTCAGAGCAGCACAATAATCCAAATCCAGCAGATAAGGTTTTCTCTTCTGAACAACAGAAAAGCTCAGACTCAGAGGAGATTAGCGCATCTGCTGCTGCCGCCTGATTCTTCTTCTTCTTCTTCCCCTCAGAAAGAACAGAAAATAAAAATAAGCAACCACACAGCAGCTTTCAGGCCGGGTCCAAATCACCTTTGATGGATGTTTACATTTTGATTCCTGTTATGGCAACACAGCTGAGGAGGATTAAGATATGAAGCAGAGATGTGCAGCATATCGGCCCTGCTACTCCGTTAATACCCGGCTCAGACTAAACACCCTCTCAGAGGTTTCTGCTGCTGCACCTGTTATCAGAGTCTGTTTATCCTGCGCCACACCAGCCGCTTTCAACAGAGAGCTTCATAAAGCTGAGAGCAGAAACACCCAGTTTGATCTGTGTCTTTGTTTAAGAAGCTCTTATTTAACTCACCGCAGCCGCTCTTCTCAGCAGCGCCCTCTTTTACGCACCAGAACTTTAACACTTTGTGGGTCATTTTCATGATATTTGCTGCTGATGAACTTAGTCAGGGAAGAGCTGTGTGTTTGAAACCTTTCTGAAAAGAAGCTAAAGGAAAAAACAGATCCACTCTTTACTGGAAAACTAGGTGGAACTTTTTAGTTTAAGAACTTTTCTGTGTCTACCTGAAAAATTACAAACGGGGTCCCCCAGGGCTCCATCCTGGGGCCTCTTCTGTTTAACCTTTAGCATCATGCGACCGTGACCCACTTTTGGGTCGGGACCCACCAGATGAGAACCACTGATCTAAGTCATACATTTTTCCCAGAAATTACTAGATACGACTGTCTATACTGCAAAGTTAAATGTGGAGTCCCTCAAGGCTCCATCCTGGGGCCTCTGCTGTTTAACCTCTAACATCATGCTTACACTTCCTCACATTAAGGTTTATTTTCTGAATATTTTCTGTAACCGGTTTTTGAAATATTTAGTATCAATTAGCAATTAAAGGTAGAAAATGAAATAAAGATTTTTTTTTGACAAATATACCAAATTTGCACTTTGGCTAATTCATTTATTTTCCACAGAAACACACCAGATCTGACTGATTGTGTTTTATAGCTATAGAACATATAGATGTGTTAAAATGGTGCCGAACATCAACTCTAACCTGGTTTATTGGCTGTAATGTTGTGTGAAACATCCTTAGTCTGTTAGTTGGTACTGAAACATACTATACACTTCAAACACCTCATTGACACCTCATTTGAATACCTCATTATATAATATTATACCACAATTATTATGAACAAACATCGTTCATACTGACCTGATAGAAAAACAAACTAAACATGAATCTAGTTCATTCTCAACAACCAGTTACTGGACATCCCTTACCCAGATCTTAGACAACAACTAACTAGAGCGACTTCAGTCCACCTCTGCGAGTATTTACAGTACCTTTACTTTAATAAAAAAGGTCAGGTAAAAGTTATGTAGAGGAGTGAACACAAACACGAGGATGTCAGCAGAACAGCACCTACAGCATGCCAAAGATTCCCCTCTGAGTGAGAAAACCGGAGTTTACCTGAGCGGAGGGAACACCTGCAGACTGACCCACCTGTCCGCTCCACTTTCAGTCCTGAACACCGACTTTCACTTTCCTCTGGAACAGTTTGTTGAACAGTGTGAGGCCTTTTTAATAGTCTACTGTTCTAGCCTGGTGGAGTTTGACCTTTGAGAGCCTAATTTGATTCAGCAGACCTCTGATTTGATTTAGGAGTGGCGAGGCAGATGGATGCGTACGAGAGAGTGTGGCGGCGGCGGCACTGAGGGCGCGTTCACCTCATTTTACATCCAGAAGTACACAGACGGGACATGGCGCTTTATGAGCTGAAACTATTAAAAAAAGTGAAATAAATGAACTAAATAAAACAAATCTATCAATAACAGAAGATTTAATTCAATAAGAACCTCCAGAGGAGACTGAAGAGAGCTGGAAACGACCGGTCAGCTAAATCAGACAGTAGGAGAAAACACACAGCAGCTTCCTTCTCCCTGCTCGTCCTGTTAGATCACATTACACCAGACACTGCCTCTCTGTTCAGCAGACTGACCCAGCTGGACGGTCTGAATGTGTGAAGACAAACCCACCGAAGGGGACACAACCGAGAACTATTCCTTCAAAAAGACACACACGGGTCCTTCAGGGTCCTTTAGGGTCCTTTAGGGTCATCAGTCTGATGTCCATTCATGGGAATAAAGAGTCTATATGTTCATTAACAAAGCAGAAAGACCATGATGCACTGGGGCTAAACACGCCAAGATTACAGAGACACAGAGAGGCGCTGAAACGACCTCAGCAGACCCTTTAACCCTTCGAACTCCCGGCTATATTTTCCTATTTTTGGTCCGTCTGTTTTTCAACTCGATCCTTTCAATCACAGCAAATATAGACACATCTTCATTTTCAGGACAACCTCAGTCCTAAAAAAGACTCAAAACTCTGTCAGTCACAGATAAAGAAGTCCTCGTTTTCATTCGTGAGTCAAAAACAGACGGTACAGCTGAAATGAGGACTGATTCATCGTGATTGTCGCTCCTGAACATGAAGCTGTAAGTGCCGCCGAAACAAAGACAGGTATGAACCTTCTTTCCACCACCTGGATCCACATCAAGAAGGTCCACAAACACCATCAGACATCAGACTCAGAGCGTCACAGTCTCCTCCCACTCAAGGACTCTGAGAAGCCGCTTTCTCCTCCTCCGTGAATCCATGACGACGGTGAGGTCAAACGTGTGGGTGACGGGCCGAATACCAACGGGCTGATGAGAGAGGAGGGACTGAAGGTACATCAGACATGACGTAGACACAGTTCAGGGACTGTGGAGGACTGCAGAGACAAAAGACCGAGGAGGTTAGGGATATTCAGAGTCCTCCTGAAGTCAGGCCTGAGAGATGACGACAGAAGAGGTCTTTTTACAGACGGCAGTAAGAAAGAGAGAGAGAGGGTTCTCCTGATGATGGTCTTCAGGGTGAGAAGAGTTTCCCGATCTGAGTCACTGAGAAACCTCAAACTGAGTTCTGGTTTTCAGGCCACAGGATCCAGGCAGCCATAAAACCTGGTTCCAAACTAGACCACTATAACAGAATCACCAGATTTTAACAGAATAACAGGAACAAAATGAGGATCAAAAACCGGTCTCAGACCAGAACCACTTCGGACTACTTTAAATGGACCATACTGGGCCGATCACGAAGACCCTGAGCTCAGCCATGTTGAATAAATGAGTTTATGTTAGTTTAGTGTTTTCAAACCTTCAGACTTCTCAAGTCAGACTTTATATTTGTTAGAAAATAAACTAATTTAATAAACAACATTAGACACAGAGCCGGGACGGTCTGCTTTTCTCCCGATTCGATTCTTCTACGATTTTTTGGATGCCGAATCGATTCAGACTTTGATTTTCTCGATTTTTGGTCTGTCTGAAACAGCTGAATGATTATGATGGTCTACTGACTAAATAATACACATCACATCAAAGTCAGTTTTTTTAATTTATTCTTAAATAATAATAATAAAAAAAAAGATTTTTGAGCATAAAAATTGATTTAAAAATTGTAAAAGACAAAATTCTAATACTTAAGTCAATTGATTTTTTCTCCCACCCCTAATACTACACCCTTAAAACTTGAACACACACAGACAGAGACAGAAGTAAACACCCAGAGACCACCACAGGAAGCCCGCAGGTCCAGAATGTCAGTAAAACCGGCCCGTTTACGGCGAGTGAGGAGGCTCATAATTGTGATTCTGAGCAGCAGCGGGAGACGACAAAATGACACACTAATTAGAAAAGCTGGGAGTGTAATTAAGCTTGACAATGTGCCCAAATATTCCCTCCAAAGTCTTTTCACAAGGTCAACAATGGTGCAGAGTAATCGCTGCTCGGTAATGAGCAAATAATGAACAAGCGGAGTCAATCAGAGCAACAAGATACAGCGAACAAGATACAGCAGACAAGATACAGCAGAGACTCTTCAAAGACAACCACACACACCTGATAACATCTCCTCAGAGTTATTTCAGGTTGTTCTGGAGCAGAGCTGAATAAATCTGCATCTCTTTAGTCCATGCTGTCGTCCTATCAGAGCCTCACTGATCAACAACGATTAAAGAAGCTGATCCTGCAGAGAACTACAGGACGTCCCACAACACGGGGAACATCTTTTCATGTTTTTAAGTGTTAATTCATTAACACCCACAACACAGGGTCTGCTGCAGCTCAGTAATCCTCCCTGTCACTTCTCTGTCTTTACACACACAGAGCGGTCCTGTTTCGACCTGCCTGAGCATCTCTGCACACCTTCAGGAATGTGGAGAGAAAAAAAAGAAAACAGGCGCTCAAACGCTTTTCAGCTCCTGCAGCTACAGGGAAGAGGCCACGTGTCCCAGTTTAACCACCACATGCCTGAACAGCTCACCTCTCTGCAGAAGAGGAGGGAAAAGAGACGGTATGAGGAAGAGAGACACCCCCCCACCCCGGCTTCATGTCAGGACCTCTGCTTTAAAACGAGTCCACAGTCCAGAGAAGGAGGACTCACCCTAACCCCGCTCATTCAAAAGTTCTGTTTCATCCAAATCAGAATTTTTTTAAACTCTTTGGTTAATTTCTGACTCTTGGTGTCAATGATTGTAAAGCGGCGTGTGAAGAAATGTCTTATTAGATGCCGAAAGTCATGACAAGACATCAGCGTTTGCAGACCTATGAATGAGGAGAGTTACCCCCGATCTCCACCTTCATCCTGATCGTCTCCTAAAAGGTCGTATCCTCCGATCGAAGCTGATCGTAACCATTCAAGTTAACGTGTCGATTTCCACCGACTTCTTTCCGTTCCTCTGCGGAGACAAACAAGTGAAAGGTTTTTAGACGTCATTTCACCCCGATGACACCATGGATGAGGAGATGCTGATTCTAGAAGTCTAGAAGTAGATTTCCTCCTCTGGAAGGACACAATCTACTGCTTATATGTCTATGTGTCTGTCTTTAGAGAGACGACTCGTTATCGGGCGATTGGAGGTGAATCCGCAGGTTCTTGTGAGTTCTGCTGTCCGTAATCTGCCACGAAATTCGCCTCACAGACGGGTCCAGTAGGAATTGGTGGACGGCAAAAAACACAGCCGTTCCGGGGGTCAGGGGTCGAGGTTGTGACGGTGGGCTGAGCACAGACACACAGACGGAGGAAGGACGTAGGAGTACGTGTCCGGCATCTTCCAGCGTGTTTGTTTAAAGTTGTGTTTTCATTCTTTAGAGTCTAAACTTTCTCAATAATCAGAAAAATGGCGCCTCCATGTTCAGCAGAAAAAGCCGTTGCCACGGCGATGGGAGTTGCTGAAGCTTGTCTTTAAAAATGACTCCTGGCAGTTTTCCTTCCACTCCCGAACACAGAGGAGGGACGAGCGTCTGTGACGGAGAGCGCTGGCTGTGACGCCTCTGATGATGATGACCACGCAAATCCTGCAAGGTCATCATCCAGAGAGGTGGACAGGAAACTCCAGGACCACTTTAACTCTGAGAAAACTCTCCACAGAGTGTGGACTCTCCCACAAACGTGCTCCGACCTGAACTGAACAGAGAGAGTTCCTCACCGAGCTCTTCAGTGGGAGTGGATCTGAGTTTTTAAAAAGAAAGAATCGAGCTGCAGATCCATCAGAGGTCAGAGTGAGGACTGTTGTCGTCTAGTTTACAGAGTCCGTTTGTTTTCTCCACAGCGAAGGGTCGAGACACGGACTGTTAGAACGATCTGATAAGGGTTTGTTGTTTCATGACTCGAGGCTGAGTGGAGACGACTGTGAGACTCCAAACTCCAGGAGTGAAGTTCAGGGTCTAAAGAGTGAAACCCCTGATGGGTTCAGACTTTGTTTCTGCTCATCAGCAGAGTTGGCAGATGGGAAATCTAGAATTATCGTACCAGAGACTCAAAATTATCGTGTTTTGGGGAAAATAATCGTAAATCCGTCATAATCAAAACAACAATCTGACTGTTGCATGATGGTCACATATCGTTTTGTGGTCACTCACTGCCCCGCCCAACAGCAGCAGCTCCATCTCAGCTGTGTTACACTAATGCGTCCCCTTTAAACAAATGACAGGTGGGAACTAATGAGAAAAATCTTAAGCCTTAAGGTTACCTACTTTTTAATAACTAATTCATAACTGACAAGGAATAAAGAGTAATCTGATTCAACTAAGTGAAATCTATTTTAGACACAAAAGTCAACTTGACCTCACGCGAGGGTTCAGCTCCCGGTAACCACCGTCCTCTCCTGACTGACCGACTGAAAATGATTGACAGCCAATCATGCTTGTTGTTTGGAAACAAACGTCGCTGAAACTACGACGGGATGGAAACCTAACATGGTAAAAGATTCCTTCAGGGTTCGCAAATAAAACAAATGAGGAATAAAGTGTCTGACAGACTGAGACGGTCCTGTTACACCACACGTTTAGCCTTTTTTCTGGGTCATACTGAAACAGTCGTACAGAGGGCAAAATTATCGTACAAACACGATAATTAATTATCAGGGAGGAAAACATCGTCTCTGAACCTGCGGGTCGGGATGAACCGTGTTTACCTGATAAACCTCAGAGGTTTACATACAGGAAATAAAGGCATAAAGGAAAGAGTGTTTTTTTTTTCCTCTGATTGTCCTGAAGTCGATCTGTCCTCGGGGAAAACTGACTCTCCTCCTCTTTATTCAGAATACTGTCCGCTCACTGGGCCTGAACCGGTATTTCTGGTCCTGAATACTAATGAACTCCAGTCTACATGGAGACTTTGGCCTCTCCGGGAGCAAACCTGAAAACCTGCTCGTGTTAAACCAGTCCAACAGGACCCAGGGACGGGGTCTGAGTGCATTTCACAGATAACTGCACCAGCAGAGAGACGACGTGTTATATAAGAGGTTTTATTATATTTACTGAAAGAGGAAGAGGAGGAGAGTCGACTCATCTTATCTGAGTTATCTCAGGGTTCAAACAGGAAGTGAAGGAGCTCTCAGCCTGATATTAGAGCTGACGGAGCGCGGCTCATTTCCCAGCATGCCTCTGCAGGTCGTTCTCATGCGATCGTCTGTGTTTGTCCTTTATTATCCAAAAACAATTGAACCGCAGCTCTTTACAGTCAGTCCTCTCTTTGTCATGTGTCTGTGTGCGGGTTTAACACACAGACGGGCGGGGAGCGCGCACACACACACACACTTATTCATTCATTCATTCATTCATTCATCAGAGGAGGGTTGCTTCATGAAGCTGGCGTCTGGTTGAAACATGCAGCTGAGCGATCTGAGCTTCAGACATCGAACTATTACAGCGAGCTGAAATCCAGCGCCGTAAGAGAGAGAGACCTGCCGCGGCACGTCCAGACTCCTCGTACAGAGGCCCTGAGCAATGAGGAAACTGAGGAGGATCAGACCAGACCAGACCAGACCAGGACAGGGAGGTTAGAACTGCATCTGTCTGCAAGACTCAGCTGTTATCCACCGATCCATCCATTCTCAGTGAAGGAGGAGTAACCAGGACTTTCCCAGGATTTCCAGATGATACAGAAGATTTTTGAAAACTCGTATCAGGAGGAAAAATGTCTCTAATGTGAACGGATGATGTGATGAATGATTACTCGACTAAACGATGATATTTCACTGAATTTCACAGGCACATTTCTCATAAACTGCAAATAAAATCACTGCGTTAAGAGCTATCTTCATACCATTTTACTATTTTGTGTTGTATAAAGAGTACATACTTGTATATCATCTCTTTATTTTTCAGTTTTTACTTATTTTATCTATTTCTTTAATTTTTAATTATTTTACTAATTTGATCTATTTGCTTCTTTATTTTTTACTAATTTTATCTGTTAATTGCTTTATTTTTAACTTTTTATCTATTAATTTCTTTTTTTAATTTCTTTTACTTATTTTATCTATTTATTTATTTATTCATTTAATTATTTCACTTATTTTATCGATTTATTCCTTTATTTTTTAAATTATTTGACTTATTTTTATCAATTTATTTCTTCATTTTTTAATTATTTTACTTAGTTTAACTTTTTATTTTTTCATTTTTTATTATTTTACTTATTTCATCTATTTGTTTCTTTTTTTTCTTTATTTTACTTATTTTATCTATTTATTTCTTTGTTTCTAATTATTTTACTTTATCCCTTATTTCTTAATTTTTAATAATTTTATCTATTTATTTCTTTTTTTAACTTATTTTATCTATTTATTTCTTTATTTTTAATTATTTTACTTATTTTATCTATTTATTTCTTTATTTTTTACTTTCTTAATCTATTATGTATCTCCTCTTTCTACTGTGACAAAAAGCATTTCCCCCTGAGGATTATTTAAGTGTTTAAGATTATTTTGACTTACTAACCTTTTTTTGTCTAGAGCAGGAGTGTGCGTGTAGAATCTGGTGTTGTAACATCTATGTAATCACATCTACATGAGAACTGAACAGAGAGACCTTTACGTGTCTTTACAGCAGAACAAAGCTTAAGCCGGGATCATCCTGTCATTGATCCTCCACCAGTTCATATTACTGCCATTTACACACGGGTTCCTCTAAACTCTGACCTTTGACCTGACTGTAATAAAACCAGCCTGGGTTACACGCCAAGGAGGAGAAAATACAGCGACCCACTGACCTGAAATCCTCAAACTGAACCATCTGTGAGGAACTCAAAGAAAGGACGCAAACATGACGACCTTTTACTTTGGGGATGTGTTTCTAAAAGTCGTTTCTCTCCACGTGAAAATCCTGTTTCCACGTTAATCATCTATGACTCCGCCCTCCACGGAGGTCAAAGTGCACACAGAGAGTAAGACAGTCATGAATGTACACACACGGGCCGTGATGAAACTTATTTAGACGGTGCAATCGGCTCCTTCTCTGTCATTTAGCGTCTGTGCTTATAAACGTGATGACTAAGAGAAGTTCAACCTGATCTGAAACTCGGCCTAACCCCCAATTTTCACCGGATCCAGAACTGCGCCGATCTTTGCCATCCGACAATTCCTTACGGATCCCTTTGTAAGGTGAATTTCATGGTGGATTACGGACAGCGGTAATCAGGAGAACTCACAAGAACCTGCAGATTCACGTTTAATCACGCGATGATGAGTCGTCTCTATAAAGACAGACACATAGACATATAAGCAGTAGATTGTGTCCTTCCAGAGGAGGAAATCTACTTCTAGACTTCTAGAATCAGCATCTCCTCATCCATGGTGTCATCGGGGTGAAATGACATCTAAAAACCTTTCACTCGTTCGTCTCCGCCCGTTTGCATGGTGTGAAATACGATCCTCCTGAATTTTATTTATTATTTATTTTATTTTGAAAAGAAGCCGGATGTTTTATTTTGTGTCTGTGCCCGACTTCCTTTCCAGCACGGGTTAATCTGTGCTGAATTTATCCAGAAAAAATAGAACTCTTGTGATCAGCTGAGGAGTCCGGCGATCCGCAGAGGAACGGAAAGAAGTCGGTGTAAATTGACACGTTAACTTGAATGGTTACGATCAGCTACGATCGGAGGATACGACCTTTTAGGAGACGATCAGGATGAAGGTGGAGATCGAGGGTAACACTCTATTGGAAAGGACAACTGGACGTCTCAAGTAAGTCCAGTTGTCCTTTCAAAGAACTGTAAATCATAGATGCTGCATCCTAAGAAGCTGAGGTGGTCGGGTACCAGCGAAGAGAGCAGGATAAACCGATAAACCGATCACATTTAGGGTTCAACGACTTTTCCCTCCAAGTTTGAGTTTAAGCCATGATGTAAATTCAGTCACATGATCTAAACAACGTCATACTGTCACCATTTCTTTGCTGTTTAGGATGAATCTACGACAAAGATCTGACTGTGCGCCACATGACTGTCGAACGTAAACACGCACACAAGCTGCAACTCTGCAGACGCCAAAATTATCCAGAAAACGACCAATCAATCAGGACAGACTCACCTCAGAGCTCGATATCAGTGCACGCACACAGACAAACTACTAAACTAACAGGACCACAAGGTGTTTAATTAAACCTCGACTACAGGGATTTAGATTCTTTTAAAAATAAAGACACAAATGTTTGATTTTTACTGTTTTAACTGTTTCCACGTCTCTGATTAGAGGTCTGCTGTAAACGAGGAAATCATACGACACACTCCTCTGTCTTTTACTCCTCTGTCTCAAACATACTTCAACATCCTGCCGCCAATCTGTGTTTACTCCGTCATTGTCCCAGGTTCAAAACTTAGTCTGGACTACAATAGCTGTCAGTGAATATTTGGTCCTGTCTGCCCCCCTGCCTCCTCCTCATCCTCTCATCATCATCATCATCTCCGCTGCCCCGAGCTCGTCTCACCAGCCAGCTGTCCAAACAAATGTTACGTAGCCCGGGCTTATGTAACGCAGCATGGCGAGCGCTTAGCGCGTCCTCTCATCATCAGCTCAAACACCTCAACCATCCCGTCCGCTGAGAGGGTCGCTGAGCTTCAAACAATCAATGTTATGGATCAGGGTGAGCGAACTGATCATAAATACAAGTTTGAAAGAAAAGTCCATTTTCTCTGCTTTCATGACTCCTCTGGATCTTTATAGACTGTACATTTTGTTCTGTGAAGCTCTGCCAAAGACGCTCGGTGCCAATAAAGGTTTTGAATTGGATTAAACTGACTGACAGGACTGACTGTGGAGGTAACTCGAGGAGCTTACATGTCAGGACAGAGAGAGAGAGAGAGTGCTGCACCGACACACCAAGAGATGGATCAATCTAAGTCTTCACTCCTGCTGGACTGCATCATCTCTGTGCAGAGCTTCACTCTGACAGAGTCACAGAGGGATGTCCTGACTCAGCACAAACACCGATCAGAGTTTCAGTCCTCTCAGGTCGTGTGTTTGTGAGCGAGCCGCGTCCTGACCGCCCGCACACATGCACGCACAGAAAGGAGCTGTCTTACCGTCTCAGTCTCATCTGGGTACATGCTGTCCTGTGGAGGAGGAGGAGGAGGAGGAGGAGGAGGACCGCTGCGGAGCAAGAAGTCTGGGAGTCGGAGAGTGCTGACGAGGAGGAGGAGCAGGAGGACACTGATGATGATGAAGATGAAGAAGAAGAAGCAGAGAAACACAGCAGCCGCAGTAAACTCTCTCCCTGACTGACATGTCACTGTGGCAAACCAGATAATGTCACTCTGGGGGCGACACACACACTCAACACACACACACACAGAAACACACACACTGAGTCTTATTCACTCACACGCCCTTACATAAACAGAGGGGAGAGAGAGAGAGAGAGAGAGAGAGAGAGAGAGGGAGGGAGAGAGAGAGAGAGAGGGAGAGAGAGAGAGAGAGAGAGAGAGAGAGAGAGAGAGAGAGAGAGAGAGGGAGAGAGAGAGAGAGAGAGAGAGGGAGAGAGAGAGAGAGAGAGAGAGAGAGAGGGAGTGCAGAGCTCATTGATGCTCTCTCTCTCTCTCTCTCTCTCTCTCTCCACACTGCTTGACCTGCTCTCCCCTTAATGCCATAATGCCACTGTGCAACACACACAATGCAGCTGACTATACACACACACACACACACACACACACACACACACACACACACACACACACACACACACACACGTACACACACACACACACGTACACACACACACTGGTCTTTGTCAGTAATCAAAGAAGAAGAGTTTCACTTTACACTGACTGGACCATGATCGCTCAGAGACAGGACGAGTGTTTCTTTATGACTGAGAATCTTCAGGGTTGTAGTTCATCATCATCATCATCATCATCATCATCATCAACAACAACTGAATCTGAATCTGCAAACAAACACCCTGAACTGAGGAAATAAGGACTGAGGCAGCAGAGAATGGGGTTGGGCGATAAACCAAATATTTACCAATACTGAATTTTACGACAATAACCAACGCCATTTTGACCACATCGGTAGAGAGACGTGACTCCACCCCATCCAGTCCGTAGTAGTTATCGTCCATTTATCGTTATTATCTGCACAAAATATCGTGATATTGATTTGACGACGTATCGCCCTCGCAGAGAGTGGTGCATCTACCGAAGGACGTCCAAAAAATCAGACTTACTCATGATTGGACATCTGCATCATCACACACAGAGAGAGAGAGAGAGTAAATCAAAGTAAAGAACTCGCTCTAGTTTTGCAGTTTTTTTTTCATCCGTCTGGACGAGATCGGTCGAGTTTAAATCAAAGCAGAGAGAGATCCAAACTGAGGAGGACGGTGTCAGACCTGACCTGATCCCCCTGCTCTGTTACACAACAGCCAAAACACACAGTGACACACACACACACACTCTGAGTGGGTCAGCTGCCAGAGCGCCTGCAGCCCTGCAGTGTGTTAGTGTGTGTGTGTGTTTGTGAGTGTGTGTCCCAGGTGGAGAGCAGCAGCAGCAGCAGGACTGTGAGCCCCTCAGGTCTGATTCATCACAACACTGACACTAACAGACTGAGCAGGACTCCGCTGAGACCGTCCAGCTCATTCCCAAACCAACCCGTGTTTATTTTCCTCCAAACGAGACAGCTGGGAAACTGTACCGAGGTTTGGACCCGACACAAACTCTCCGACTACAACAGAAGGACCGTAGACTGGATTTACTACGGACAACTTGGTCCCGCCTTCCTCCAGTTTGTGGTTTTGAAGCCGAAAAGCTCTCGGTAATTTCACGGTTTTTCCTGAAACTAACGTTGCACAGTAGCGTTTTACACATTCGGCGGGAGGCAAAAATCTTTTTTGTAGGACGTCTCTGATTGGCTAGATGTGCTGGGCTCTGATTGGTTATTCCTTATGGCTGTGAAACGTCATCGTCTGTCAGGTTAGGGTTCGGAGATTCAGAATTGCGATAATGTTCTGTTCGACGTACAGAGCCGACAGCCCGCGTTTGGCTTGAGTGTGTGATGATCTTTCACAGCCAATCGATTTACTTCACCTTGAAAACTTTATTTAAACTACCGATCGATGTCAGGAACCAGCTGGCGATGTGACAGGAGCTAACAGGAGGCTCCAGGACTAATGCCGAGGCATTCGCCAGAGCTCCTGCCCAACACGGTGAGACATTTTGGGCCACAGAGAGCGTCGATACCCGGCCGTAATTTTGGCGAGCTCGCTGATGCTGAAGCTGTCGCAAAGATGGCTAGTAGAGGAAGTGACATACATTTCGCACATGCCACGATGGCTGGAGGAGGCGGGATTTATTGCTGCGTTCGCGTTTCCTCGGAAGTCAGTAGTCCGAGCTGAAACTGACGTCACACCCGAGTTCTCAAGTCAGAAAAAAGCCCGGAAACAAGATGGCTACATCGAAAGTTGTCCGAATATAAGGAAAGCGCTAAAGTAACTGGACAGGAATGATTATCAATCAATACTGCGACATGATTGGCTCCTGGTCAACCTGGTTAAAAACGTTTTTTTAGAGGATTCAGAAACTTTTTTTTTGATCAAATAAGCAGCTCTAAGTTATAAATCTGAACCAAACAACAAACTGAGAGTAAAAATCTGTGACATAATCACCGCCTGCCAACCTGAGGAGCCCAGCACGCCACAGAGCTGACGACAGCGCTCATCTGGTCGGCTGAACGGCGACCCAGATGTGGGACAAATAGATCTGAGAAAGAAGGTCAGTGTTCGGTAATCCACAACAATCTGTCAGGAAACATGGAGGAGGAAGATAAGTCGAAGAATACCGGCTCACAACGAGGGCGATTATAGACACAATACGACCAGGAGAGAGAGGGAGCGGGGGTTAGAACAACAGTGAGGGCGCCGCCGACAAGGCGTGATGGCGGTCAACGGTCAGCAGCATGTACGGCCCACCCTTTAAATCAACATCAGCGCTTTAAAAACGAGCGACAAGCGGTTAATTAGATTTTCTAACGATTCAAAGATTAGGGGTCGTTTCTGGGATCATCTGGATGATTCAGCAGCGAAATAATCCTGCAGTGAAGAATTAACAGTGTGTGAGTGAGTGAGTGAGTGAGTGAGTGAGTGAGTGAGTGAGTGAGTGAGTGAGTGAGTGAGTGTGTGAGTGAGTGCTTTAATCGATGACTTATTCCACGAGCTGCAGACTGACTCAGTCAAGTCTCGCTCGGGTGTGTTCAGACACTGATTGTACAACAAGGTGTGACCGTGTAAAGACACACACACACACACACACACACACACACACACACACACACACACACACACACACTCTGAGCGGCTAATCAAAGCGATGGAGAAGAGCTTCCTCTTATCAATCAGGCTGCTGCTGAGAGTCATTAGAGGTTGGAGGCTGATTACAGTGACGGGAGTCTGCAGGATGGAGATGCTGTTATTGATGGAGACAATCAAAGGTGGGGGTGGGGGGGTGGGGGGGTGGAGAAGTGCCTGTTAGCTTAAAAAGCCCAGAACCAATCAGACCCGGAGAGAAACAAACGATGGAGAGTCAGAGAAGAAGATTTATGAGACTCTCGTTTGAACTAATTAGAAACTTTGAAGGTCGGGAGTCGGAGGAGGAGGAGGAGGAGGAGGAGGAGGAGGAGCTCCTTCTCAAACTTTCTTATTCCAGACAGACAGCTGATCCTCCAACTCAAGAGTTTTCATCCTAAAATAGACTCAGACTCATCAGACCTCAGACAAACACATGAACTGATGAAGAAGATTAACACAGAACACCAACAGGAGCTCCGTTTGTTCATAAACTGAGAGGTAGTCTGAGGTAAATCTGAGGAGTTCCCCAAGGCTCCATATTAGGACCACTGAGAGAAGCTGCTTTTCCCACATGAAATAAAGTCTCGGTTTTTCCCCTCCACCTGTCAGCGTCGTGTTCCCACACCTGGACACGTCTCTGCCGTCACCTCCTCCCTGACTGATTCCTGTTTGGTCAGCTGTCCTCATGGTCCAACAAAGCCTGATGATGTGGACCCGTCCTGGTTTCAGCGGGCTGTTTGTTTGTCTTTCCTCTGCTCAGGTGAGAGACAGGACTTCCTGAAACACGGCCCTCCCCTCTACAGCTCATAATGTGAACATAAAACCAGAGCGGTGGTGCTGTTAATGATCCAGCTCCTCCTGCTCCTCCTGATAAGCTCCATGTTATGAAGTACACGGCTCCTTATCTGCAGACCTGGTCCTGACACTTTGTCTCTACTTCTGTCCACAGCTCTGTTTGACTCTTTTCTAAGAGGGACAAACTCTGATTATGTCCTTCATTGATCATTTACAGAGACACTGAGAGGTGTCTTTTGTCCTGTAAGGTGCAGTCGTCTCTTCTTTGACTCGATGAAACCTGAAGGACTGATCGTTTCCTCCTCAGTCTGACTTTATCTAATAATAAGAACATTTCTAAGAGTGAACATTCACAGTTTAATCTTAATAACTGTGTTTTTATGTTATAATTGAAATAAAACTGTAAATAAAGTGATCTGCTGTTACAGTGTCTCTCAGACGATCCCCTCATTGATCCGTATATAAAACTGTCGTATGTTTAGGATGGATGTGGCGTCCTCTCTAACAGATGTTCCCCTCCAGCCCCTCAATATAACAGCTGTCAGGGTCTCAGTGTGTTTTAATTTGCTGCTTCGCTGCTCCTCCTCCTCCTCGTCTTCCTCGTCTGTTCCTTCAGGATCCTGATAATCCAGCAGCACTTGAGAATAAAGGCGGGTCTATCATGTAGACTGTATCCCCGCGCCCTCCCTCGAGGTATGAATCTAAAAAAAACCCCATCTCTGTGAAAAGAGTGTCTGACCTCGTTGTGATATTTGCTCTGGCTGTAAAAATCTCAGAGCGTTCACTTTCAGACAAAGCTGCTCCGAAACAAGCCGGACTACTTTTCTGACCTTTCACACTCGAACCTCTCTGAATGACCGGGGAAGGGAGGAAGGAAGTCCAGCGTGGACCAGACCGGGTTCAGAGAATACAGGGACTCTGAAAAACTGTGTGATAACCTTTAACAACAAGACGGAGTAAAGCTCTGAAACAAACTGTTCAGGTACTTCTATGAAGTACTACTTTATACTGCAGTAAAATCTGATGAGTGATGGACGAATTAGTCATTCAGATTCATATAATTTATGACAGGATCACCCTGACTAACGTAGTTTTTTTAACCACTGTTTTCATGTTGATTTCCTCTATAAATCCAGTTTTGAACAGCAGAGTCTTTCCTCTAAACTTCCTCCTGATTAACCTGACACTAACGCCGACAGGTGCTGTGGTTTTCCACCTGTACACTCCTCCCTCTGTCAGTACAGGAGTCGCCTTTTTACCCTCTTTACAGGACACAGGTGTGTATGTTCATCTAAGTTTTTATCTCACTCTCTAATGATTCCTGCGGCGTTGTTGCTCAAACTAAACCGCCTGATTTTAAGTCCCACTGTTTCCTGTGTGTCCATGCAGGGGTGTGTCCACACTGTTTGACTAGGGGGGGGGCGCCTATGTAGTCCTGTGTGGATTTTCAGCATAATTATGTGTTATAAGAACATGTGCATGAGCCAGTCTGAAGAAAAAAGTATATTTCGGCAACAAATGTTTTTTTCCTGTAAATACTGCGGTGAAGTTAGTTTTAGGTTGGATATATTTTCCTGTAAATACGGCGGTGAAGTTAGTTTTAGGTTGGATATATTTTCCTCTAAATACGGCGGTGAAGTTAGTTTCAGGTTGGATATATTTTCCTGTAAATACGGCGGTGAAGTTAGTTTCAGGTTGGATATATTTTCCTGTAAATACGGCGGTGAAGTTAGTTTCAGGTTGGATATATTTTCCTGTAAATACCGCGGTGAAGTTAGTTTTAGGTTGGATATATTTTCCTGTAAATACGGCGGTGAAGTTAGTTTCAGGTTGGATATATTTTCCTCTAAATACGGCGGTGAAGTTAGTTTCAGGTTGGATATATTTTCCTGTAAATACGGCGGTGAAGTTAGTTTTAGGTTGGATATATTTTCCTGGAAATACAGCGGTGAAGCTAGTTTTAGGTTGGATGTATTTTCCTTTAAATATGGCGGTGAAGTTAGTTTCAGGTTGGATATATTTTCCTGTAAATACGGCGGTGAAGTTAGTTTTAGGTTGGATATAGTTTCCTGTAAATACGGCGGTGAAGTTAGTTTCAGGTTGGATATATTTTCCTGTAAATATGGCGGTGAAGTTAGTTTCAGGTTGGATATATTTTCCTGTAAATACAGCGGTGAAGTTAGTTTCAGGTTGGATATCTGACGGACATTCTCTGAGGATCTACCGGTGTCTTCTCACTCTCCATGACCAGGAATAACAACAGCAGCGCGGTTAAATCTACTCGACACCCTCACTGTCAACGTCGGTGTTGTATAAGGGACCGTCAATAAATTACCGGTTGATGTTCTCAGAAAAGGCTGTTTTCCTTCAATAGCTTCACTGTCATGTGACCAAAAGACCTAAAACTGATTTAAAAAAATAGCATAAAAGTCGACCAATAAGACAAACATTATTTGATCAGTTGTGCTCCTTACTTTTTAGGAGAACATGTGATCCACTACAGGTAAAATAAAAGCTTGTGCAGTGCTGTTGTTAGGCTGTAGATGTAGGTACATAGATTCTTGACAAATTAGAGCAGGTAACTGGATCAGAGGTCTACAGACTGTGAAGACCCTCTCCTCCAGAGCCTCTGATGTCCAAGAAGTACAAAGTTTACACCCAGAGGAAGACCAGGTCTCTGTTTCCTCCTGGTCTCCGTTCAGCAGCAGACTGACCAAACAGACCCTCTGACCAACACCACATCCCTGAGCCTCCGTGACTGAATCTACCTCAGTAGATGAAGAGCAGCTGTTCGCTCCGACTCTACAGACGTTAAGATGCTAATTATCACCCACGTTTATTAGGAATGACACTCCATGAAGACCTCATTAAATACGTGAAGGAAGAGGTGAGAGCCTCCAATCAGAAGCGTCAAAGCAGGTCTCAGTGCATGTGAAAAGACCCCAGATTAGGGTCTAAAGGGTCTAACCCGAACTTCAAACCAATACTAAAGACCCCAAGACTAAAAGGACAACCTAGACCAGCATCTGTAGAGGTCTGATTCCAAACCCACGTACCTGTAGATGTTCTGTAGAACTGCTGCTCAGCTCGTCTCCTGACTCCGAGTCGTTGGTCCGCCTCTCTTCGCCTGCAGAGTCACAGTGCTGCGTGCTGTCCACATCCAGCGGCGCTCTGATGAGTTCTGGCGATCTGGCTCGGGTTCTTGGTAGGGACCCTCCTCTATGTGCGGCCAGGGGTCCTCCGTGGACCAGGATATCGGCCAGAGCCCGTTCATGGTCAGTGGGAGTGGTGGGGGGTTGGTAATTACTGCTGTCCCGTCGCTGACTGGGAGGACTGAAGTGTCCAGAAGACGCCGTTTGTGCCGAAGGTGAGCGTCGGGTGCTGGACCCGTGTCTGTGAAGGTTCTCGGGGGGCCGGTCATTGGGTCCCAGGTCCAGACTAGTCGGTTTTACCCAAAGGGCCCCAACGGTTTGTGGAGGTGAGTTTCCAGCAGCAGAAGAAGAATGAGGGAGGGGTTTCGGAGGGGGCATGAGGGCTTTGCGGACTTCGCGGACATACTGAGCGGGGACGTAGAAGGCTTTAGTCCCCTCCTCCTTCCTCACCTGCCACCAGTCCTCGTTGGTTTTCTTCACCAGCATGTAACACTCCCCCTGCCGGATCACGATGAGGCGGTCCTTGGACTTGTACTCATAGTCGTACTCCACCTCGATGTAGACCTGACCCGGGGCGATGGGCAGCTCCGCCATGACGCCGCTGACTGTCCACGAAGCAGCTCACCGCAAGAGGAAGAACTTCATGAGCATGGCCTCCTGAGCTGGAGAGAAGAACAAACAGAGACCTGAAGTTAGCAAGAACATGAACATGAACATGAACTCTGTCACTTCTTATTATTTAAACATGTCAAACCAAGTCATAGTCAGGTGTAAATATGACCTGACCCTGGAAAAATTCTACGTAAAGGTTTCTCAGCTGTTTTTTATAGTATTAAATGTCCTTAATAACATACTAATTTATCTATGATGGGTTAAAACCCCGGGGAGACACCCCAGGTATATAGGGTAAAAATTTTAACAAACAGATTAGGGCCCGACTGATTTATCGGCGAGACGATTAAATCGGCCGATTAATCGGTATTCGCCCCCCCCCCTCAATAATCGGTATCTGCATCAGCCCCAAAAAAACCATATCGGTCAGGCCCTAATCCAAAGTCCCCTCCTCGCCCCCATCTGACTCTAGTTTGTCAACAAAATAAACAAGAGTTTTTAAAGGGTCTTTATCCAGTGTTCAGTTTTCAGTTCTGTAAATGTCTGTAAATTAGTGCATATTTAATTAGATATAGGCTAATTTACATATTCAAACATAATATTTGACAAAACTTGTAATATAAAAAATATTTGTCTTAATGTAAGTTATAAACTCTGGAAGTTTCATGGTGATATCTGTTTGTTAAAAGTTTTACCCTATTCACCTGGGGTTCCTACCGTCATGGACGCCATCTTGATAATGACACCTTTCCAGCGGACAAACTTTGGTAAACCTTTAGTTTGTTATTAAGGACATTTAATACTAGAAAATAAAACACCTAAAAAAATTCTAACATAAGCTGTTTTTTTTTCATTCATGCACCCGCCAATCATGCAGATCTTCTTCTCTACAGTATTTGATATCTGATTGTCTTAAAATACTAACCCTGGTTTCAGTTTGAACTCTGCTTTACTGTCGAGTTTCAGAGCTTCATTTAAAGTTCGACAGAAGGAGAGCAGAGACATTAAGAAGACTCACACACTCGTCTTAAACCCTCCTCCTCTCTCTCTCTCAGAGATAATGTCGGCTCACAGAGACTGAGGCATGTTGCTGCTTAGCGGTGAGATTAATCGAATTGCACACATAGTTTCCTGCTGAAGTCACACGTGCACACACACACACACACATACACGTACGCTGACACACATACTGTTACAACATGAGGTGAGGCTCCAGCAGCACACCTTTAACAGCCTGAAGTTTCTCGTTTTAAAGTGAATTTAAAGCTCCTCTCACTCCACCTCCTCTGACAAAAACATGCAGGTAACAGAGTCAGACCTGTTTTCAGAGAGACTCGAGCAGAATCGTAATCATCCATAAAGACTATAGAGAGCTCAAAGTTTAAGACTTTCTGAGTTTTTGTTTTGTTACCAAAGAGTCGAGGGTTTTTACAAAACTGCCTCATTTCCTGGAAATTATCCGTTTTAAAGGAAACTGAAGGTTTGAATCATTTCAAAATCACTCCAGGAGGAAGTCGAGGAGCAAACAAACAACGTCACTCCTGATCTGGGAGGTACTGCACCACCTCTCTCGGAGGAGGTTTTAAAGCATTCAACTTCGGCTATGTTTGTGTCGAGCATATAAGAGCTTTTTTACATCAGTCTCTACATTATCAGGCTCCTCCTGTGTGCTTCTTCATTCTTGTATTTTTACTATTTTACTGTCATTTAGTTATTAAAAGTGGTTCCTCGCAGCCCTACATTGACAGTTGCTGCTTCAGCCTGTGCCGGGTTAAGTCCTGGTGATGTATTTCACAGTGAAGACTCATAAAGTGATAAACAGAAATCTGGACTTAGACAGTTCTTACTTTGATAATAGCCTCCTATGTCTGTATAAGACCCTGTTTAATACCTTTGTTCTGGTCCAGGTGAGTCCTGTTATGTCACAGAAGTGTATTGATAACTGCTGCTAATGCAAGTAATAGCTCAACCTCAACACATTTGTGAACAGGAGACCACAGCGAATTAAAAAAAAGAGAACACCCTAAAATTCCTGCTGCCTCCCTCAACGTTCATATCCTTTCTGTACTTCCACCATGATCGAGGGAGGTCTGAAACCCAAGTTCTCGTTGCCTCATTGAATCCAGACCCTGTCAGGGTAACTGGTGAGGAAGCAAAAACAGATGGAACCAGAGAGAGCTACACATCTACATTAAAAAAGAACATTGCTGAACACAGAGAAGGTCTTCACTGAGGAGCACAGTGATGGACAGACTCTAGTTTGTTTAATGATGGGATTAATAATCTGGATTTTAGGTTTATTCTAGAGCTGTCTCATAGTTTAAAATCAAAGCTTTAGTTCAAATTAGTGTGTATTTGGGTCGGGGATCACAATTAATTAATTACAGTAATATTATCTTGTTAAAAACATTCATTATTAATCGCACCAACTGTATTTCTGCACCGTGGAACGTTTTGCATTAGATAAGTTTCAGGTATACCGCTTCTACCGGCGCACCCCAATGTGAGTGAGTGCAGCAGTGATTCCAGTCCCACCCAGCGCAAGAAAAAATGAACGAAGTCAAGAATGAATGTGCTTTGATTGGCTCCGATTGTTTTTGTAGGATGGTAAGGTCCCGCCCTCCTTCGCCTCTGATTGGCTAGAAGTGCTGGGCTCTGATTGGTTGTTTCTTATGGTTGTGAAACGTCATCGTCTGTCGGGTTAGGGTTAAGAGATTCAGAAGTGCGATAATGTTCTGTTCGATGGACAGAGCCGACAGCCCGCGCTCGGCTTGAGCGTGTGATGACGTTTCACAGCCAATCAGAGGCGGAGGAGGCGGGACCTTCCCCTACCACCCAAGAAAAACAAATATAGCGTTAATCCGACTCCGAGTACAGCGACCCACACTCGACCAGATGAGTGGATTCAGATGTTCTCAGGTCAAATATTTATATGCAATTAAAATGTGATTAATTACGATTAATTAATTAATTACAAAGCCTCTGATTAATTAGATTAATTAATGTAATTGAGTCCCAGCCCTAGTAAATATTAAAACTGTGTTGTATTGATTAATCGACGGTTTAAAACGAGTCTAGAAATGCGTCTCTCCTCCTCCTCAGATGTCAGGTTGTTACAGCATCAGCAGCGGTTACAGGACATGTCAGTGGTAGTTATAATGACAGTCTCACTGAAGAGTCAGTGTGTCACCTAAATATCACCCATGCCAAGAACTTTTGGTGAGTCATACCGCCACCGAAGCCCCGCCCTCTCCTAACGCTCAGAAGAAAGCGTTTAAAGGGACCAATTAAAGCGTGAATGTGGGTCAGGCGGGTTTTCATCCAACGCCACAATGTCATAGGTGTTTACATTTACCAGACAAACACAGAGCCGCCTGCCACCCCCTCCTGGATTACTCCTGATACACTGACCGACCGCAGGGATGATATCACCCCGGATTACCGCCGTGGCGTGGAGAGAAATCAGACCAAACGGCGAGCGGCCATTAGCCAAATTAAAGCAAACACGGCCTCTGAGGCCAATTCACAGCTTACAGTCACAACAGACAGAGGCTGGCGGACTAGAGGAGCGTTAGACTGGATGATGAGCAGATCACCACAAGAACTGGCAGCCGACTTGATTAACCTGTGACCCGCTAATTCAGCTGGCTGCCAGAGCGGGAACAGGACCTATTTCTATCTAATCCTGGTTTTGGAGACCAGCGGAGCGAGGCTGAGGGACGTCTTCAGGGTTTTCATGAAGAAGAGGAACGATCAGGGGTCAACTGGAGTCATCATGTTCAGCTTTTTCAGCGTGTTTGAAACTCTATCTTTGCATAACTCCATTACACAATCGATCACAGAGACCCATCCTTCCTTTATCACCTGATTTCTTCTTCTTCTTCTGCTAACTCTGGAAATAAAATACCAGACCTAACTCTGAGTTTGACCTTTTCTACCTGCTCCGTATCGAAGTATTCTGTCGCGGCTGGGAAAGTCCTGAACTTCTGTCCCTGCAGCTGTCAGACGAACTTCATTTCCTGTCTGCTTCATGAAACATTTTCCATCCAGGTTGTTATTTTCCTTTTACTCATAGACTTCCTAATATCCTGTTAGTCTGACTGCAGGTCACTTTAACAGTTTCAGTTAATAATGCGATGGTTTCCCACCCTGGTCAGAGAGATTTGAGCACAAAGTCAAATAAAAAAACAGACGATTTTGTGATTGTGACGATAATCTGTAGATGATGTTAAACCTCAACGTTTTCAGGGATCATTTCAGCCTTTTTTGTTGTTGTTGTTGCTGCTGCTCTTCCTCTACTTCTTCTAAAGCTTTGAGGAGGAGGTTCATCTCCTGGAGTCCTGCAGGCTGTTGTCTCTTTCACTTATCCCCGTCTGGATTAAACTCCAGCATCAGCACCGTTATCTAGTGAGAGCACAAATCTTCTCAGAGTCCCATCAGCAAATTCAGAAGATGTTCTTTAATCGAATGTGAAGGTAATGAGATTTAGTCTGAGCCGTGTGGTCTGGGGATGGGGGTGAGGACTGAAGACCACCCAGAGCTGGACGAGTCGTGAGGGTTTGAGGTTAGAAACGTGGAGACACGCTCTCTGATTGTTCCCACCTAGATGTACATGGACGTGTTATAAAAGAGGGTCATCTCACATGATCCTTGTTAGAGCGGGTCAGACGGTTCGTGTCCAGAGTCAGTTTGTGTTATTTCATCAGAGACATTTCTGTCCAACTAGAGACAAAGAGAGAGAGACAGCTGTGTTTAGATTCGACTTCCTGATTGGTTCTCTGGCTGCTGTCATCAATGAAAGTGACTTTTTAAAAACTTCACCCTGAGTCCTGATTTTCAGTGTCAGCAGACATTTAGTCGACTGTAGCATCATCCTGAAACCACCATCCTTCCTGAATCAGTGAGAGGACACAGATCTGGACCTCTGTCAGCTATTCTTAAAGGGATATTCTGGCGTAAATTTAATTTAGGGTCAAACACACCGTAACACCGAGTTAGACCCCCCCTCCAGAGATGAATGTTGTCGACCGCTTGCTTCTCTAGTTATACCAACTTTAGTAACGACCGCAGGATAGAAATACAGAGAGCCACGCCCTCAACCAAAACGCCACTCTATAGCCACAAATAATGCTCAGAACAGCACCTAACTTCATCAACAGGACATATAGGGTCACAGACATAGTACTAGACACCAAACATCTTTTTAACTTTAGCAAAGAGACTAAACACAACTCACCTACTCTCTTCCAGCAGACGCTTGTTTGTGGGGGAATCCTGACAAGTCGATCACTGAGTGCACCAAGTATGTAATCATCATATTAATCATTTTACAGACGCGGTAGTTCTTCTGCTTTAGCATCTCGGTCTGATTGTATTTCCATGAAAGAATGATCATAAATGTTCTTCCTTGAGCTGTGACACCCCGCTGTAGTCCGTAATGGACTGGCCTGAAGTCAAAGTTAATAATAATAATAATAATATCTTACATTTATATAGCCCCTTTCAGGATAACTTAACAAAACACTACAAAAAAAAAAAAAAAAAAAAGTTAAAAAGATGTTTGGTGTCTAGTACTATGTCTGTGACCCTATATGTCCTGTTGATGAAGTTAGGTGCTGTTCTGAGCATTATTTGTGGCTATAGAGTGGCGTTTTGGTTGAGGTTTGTTTATGGCGCCTCAGACCGCTGTGCTTTGCTATCCTGCGGTCGTTACTAAAGTTACTAATTTTATGCCAGAATATCCCTTTAAGATCCAGGACCAGCTGACACTGTGGACTTCTGCACCTCCTCACACATCGGCCCACGTTTCCCCTCAGATCCAGTCTGTCCCACTTAGACACCGCTCACCACGACTCGACCCACAGAGGTCTCCTCTAACTGCCATGACCACAATCTGTCACGCTGAGGCACGCCACAGAGTACCGTCTGCACAGAGAGAGGAGGTGTGAGTGTGTGTGTGAAAGCAACAAACAATCAAACCCTAAAAGAGGAAGGAGAGGTGCTGATTACAGGGAGGAGATCAGGCGACGGGGTCGACACGTGACGGAGGGAGCTTCATAAATCCAACATCATCATCACCTTCCCACCGTCGAGTGAATCTCTGAGCTCACTTCACTGTAAATCAGCAGTGTAGTGATTTATGAAGTCAGTAAAAACAGGAAACCTTCCTGTCCGGAAACTTCACACACTCTCTCACATTTAATCTGAGGTTTGGTCATTATTATAGGAACAGATTTAACAGTTTTATTTGTCCTCGTTACTCTTTACCACTTCACCGTTTTCTAAAATCTAATGATCTCAGAGAAACTTCGCTGCTCTTTCTCCTCTATTTCAGTTCTTCCTGTTATTGTTCCCGTCGTTTCGGAGCTGCACATCAGGAAATCTGACGTAAACCTGTCTGTTTAAAAAATGTAAATAATGTTCTCTGAAAAAACACGGCGTAACGAAACATGTTCTTGTCTGAAAACTCAGCAGCCAAAGCGCCGACATGATCCGTTTACAAAAATCTAAACTGGAAATCAAACCGTCCATGAGGCACGGGGGGAAAGTGGATCGAACACGAGATCAGAACAAACTTTAAACAGTCTGTCCCTCATTTGTTCATCTTGTTAAATATTAATGTTGTCAAATGTAGAGAGGACAAAGTGATGTCCACTTTAAATATAACAGTCTAACTGTTGTCTCATTATCAGCAGCAGCAGCAGAGACTCCAGGAGTGAAGACTTGAACTTTATCCAGCAGTGATTAAGCAGATTTCATTTCCCAGTGACTCGACTTATTTTAGTCTGAGTCACACATTCAGACAAAAACACGAAGCAAACCTGAGACTGTCTGATTAATCCATCTGAAGCTGTTATTGGTGGAATATCCTGATCACTTTACTAAAACACGATCTGCTTCATAATCGGCTTAAAATATTAACAAAACTATTACACCTATAAATGTTCGACCATCTCTCTGTTCCCGTCCTATAAAAAGTGTAGAATTTTTTATATTTTTTTTACGGTGGTCAAGAGCTGCCACTACTGCAAATAAAAAAATAAAAAATAAAAAAATAAAAAAAAGACATCAGAACGGAAGTTACCGATGCAAAAAAAGAAACCGAAGCCCGCTGCAGATACAAAAAAAGAAACGGTGCAGATTGAAAAAAAAAAGCCACAATGAAAGTGAACGATGCAAAAATGAGGAAAAAAAAGTGCCGATGCAAAAAAAAAAAAAAATCACAATGGAAGTTACTGATGCAAAAAAAAAGGAACTGAAGCCTGCTGCAAATAAAAAAAGAATACAAAAAAGAAGTCACAACGGAAAGTTAACTACGCAAAACAAAAGTGCTGATGCAAAAAAAAACCAAAAAAAAAACCGCAACAACGGAAGTTACTGATGCAAAAAAAGTAGCGATGGAAAAAAAAATTACTTATTGTGAAAATAAAAGGATGCAAAAAAAAAAGCCACATTCAAAGTGAGCTGCCGCGGACCAATAATGACAATGCACCGATGTTTTACGATCTAGGCACAGAAGACCACGGCGAGAAGACGAGTGAAGAAGTTAATGGAAAGGTTATTGTTCAATTTCGCTTCGTAAACTTTTTAATGCATCATTTGGTTAGACCATGTAGCGCCTGAGTCCATATGAAGTTGAAGAGGAGGATGTCAGTGTAGTGTTAGCTTCAGTTTGACTTCACATCGCCTCAGGCGCCACATGGTCTAACCATCGTCTGTTTACTCGTCTTCTGTGCCTAGATCGTAAAACACTGGCGCATCATCATAATTGGTCCCTGGCAGCTCAATTCTGTTATGTCCTCTTTTTTTTTGCATTTTTTTCATTTGCAGCCACCGTAGTTTATAACACTCAACAAAAACATGAGACCAGTTTCAGAGCAGAACTCTCTGTGGTCTGATAATGTAAATAAATCTGTCATAGTGGTTATCATTAGGATGAATAACAGCTCCTCTAATGAATTAATCAACGGGACATCATCTACACTGAGTTATCAGATCATCTGACATCTAAATAAGTCATTTTGACTTTAACTCTCACATAATTCATTACTATATCAGGTATTAAACAGGTGAAATGAGATGATTTCAGGTTCATTTACCTGCTGGAGTTTCTCTGGAATAAAGACTCTAATGTTTTAATAATAATTCAGTATAACTCTGAGGTTTTTAACACTCTCTCTGACAGGTTAAAGGCTGTGTTTTAGGTGTTTCGGTGATTTCTGCTCCCTTTCCCCTGGGATCTCTGAACTCCACAGTTCCTCATATCTGACCCGCATTCCCACAAACAGGTACCAGGAGACTTTCTGTCCTCTGAGTCTGTTTTTTACATTTTAAACTCATTTTCTGACATAAACTCAGAGTTTAATTCGCTGTCCGGCCGTCTGTCATGGTTTACATGGAGCTAATCTGTCGCTAACGTTAGCCGCTAATTAGCTTTTCCAGCTAAACGTCCCTCCGTGTCCCGGACGGACTCACGTACCTTCAGAACCGCAGGGAGGACCGGTTCAGTCCCGCTGAAGTGTCCCGGTGGACCGTCCTCCTCTCGTGGGTTAAAGTGTCTCCTTTTTCTCGGACAGGTGTGTCAGATGGTGGACCTGCTCCGTGTCTCCTGACCGGTGTAATCCACACAGCAGCGCTCGCGCCCGTGGACTCCCGTCGGTCTGCCCCTCACAACTTTGGCAACTACCTTCGCTACAGAGATCGTCTGTTCACAGAGACATCACACTCCGACTGTTTCTACTACCTTCACTACAGAGATCGTCTCTTCAGAGTGAAGTGACACTCCGCCTATTTTTTCTTCAGGCTGCACACAGAGAGTGCGTAAACTTTGACGTTACCATAGTGACGACACAGGGCAGGAGAGAAAAACAGTAACAATACAAGAAGCAAAAATAGAACGACAGTTAGCGATTTGATGCAATTTTAACTTTTTTAAAATTATGATTCTAGAATTAGAAGAGAACTTTTTTGTAAATAAAACAAAGAAAATTTACTCGTTAATTTAAAAAAAAACACAAATATGCTTCTTTTTTAAAACTACTTCAATTTAATTCTGGGTTAATGATGCAATTAAGATTTTTTTGTCATCTATAGTGAATAAAATTATCTCACAGATCTGTGATAATTATCTGTTTAGTTTAGGAAGAAAATTACATATTTCTGTCTTTAAGAAGGAATTTTAAAAAACTCATACTTTTCAAATTTCACAATATTTTTCTCAGAATTATGGTAAAAGGTAAATGATACGAAAAATGTTGTGCTTTTTTTTATACGTTATTAAGAATTAAAAAGTTTTTTTCCAATTTTTTTATAATGACATTATTGTAGCGAACTGCAGTAATTTCCGGATAAAAATCCTCTTTTTCTGATTTGACAAAAATTATTATTTTAGAATTAGAGTATAACTTTTTTTTGTAACTAAAACAAAGATAATTTACTCATTAATTAAAAAAATACTTTCATCATAAATTCCTTCATCTTAATTAAGAAATAATTATGTAATTCAGATTTTTTTTGTCATTTATAGTTAATAAAGTTATCTCGTGGGTCTTTATAATGATAATTATCTGATTATTTCAGAGAAAAAATACATATTGTTTTCTTTAAAGAGACAAAAAACCTTCAGATTTTTCCATTTTCACGATAATTTTCTCAGAATTATTGAAAAGTTTAATGATAAAAAAATTAACTCTGTTTTCCTGAATAAACAAAGTCATTATCTCAGATAAACTTAAAAAAATAAATAAATTAATGACAGAATCATGTTGTAAATTCAGAAAACGAGTTTATTTAAACCCAATTCAGAGACAATTCTCTCAATAATTCTATTATGTTAAATTTCCTGATCTGTTTTACTTTAGTTCTGTATGGGACAGTCCACAGAACAGCTGTAGTCTCGGTAAATCACCTCAGAGTGAGACCTCTGTGTTCATCCTGATCTACGGTTCGAGCCCTCAGGTGCTCTGGGCGCACACAGAGAATTAGCGCCACCTGACGGTTAATCGATATAGATACATGTTCAAACACATTCCTCTGGATCCAGAGCTGTTGTTTCACCTGTCAGCTCTGATCCAGGTGTGTCGGGGTGGATTATATAAGGTTGTAGTGAACTGGATCAGCTCTGTGACCTTTATAAAGTCTTTGTGTGAAGCTAGCTGACACGGCTGTTAGCTTTAGCTGCAGATTTAACGTCAATAAAGAAACGAAAAAAGGTTCATTTTAAAGTTCTTTCAATTAAAATAACCATAAAAGGTGACAGGTTAGCACAATACGTTATTCTATTTTCGTTTAAGTTGAGTTATCTGACGGATTCACGTTAAAACGTGCAGTTCGGTTCACCTGTGGTTGCCTAGCAACTCACTTCAAATCCGTATTTGATTTATCGGTTAAAATAAACAGTCAATACGACATTTTATTTGACTATTTCTCCTTCGTTCTTCAAGAAGCAAACGTCTTGTTTAAAATTAGTATTTATTTAAATTTTTTTAAATTTAATTTTTATTTAAATAAACAGATGGAAATTAGCCTGTAGGTTTTATAGCTGTATGTCCTTATCGATGTCTATTTTCACATTTATATTAATAATGAACATTTTCCTACGACTAATTATTATTGTTTCAACTTTTGACATCAGATAACTGTACAAGATTAGAACAAACTGCCTAAATTAATAAATGACGAGCTAACTCTTAAATCCGTGTCTGTTTTTATTTCAGCTGAGTTAAAAAAAAATCATTTCAATAACTTAATTATAACTATATTTAATATTGTGATAGTTCTGTATCCGTCACTTAAAGGGATATTCCGGTGTAAAATTAAGTTATGGTCAAACACACCGTAACACTGAGTTAGACATGAACGAGTTAGAAATGAATGTTCCCGAACGCTAGTTATACCAACTTTAGTAACTTTGTAACACAACTTTGTAGAGAGACCTCAGGCCAGTCCATTACGGACTACAGCGGGGTGACGCAGCTCAAGGAAGAACATTTATGATCATTTATTTACAATTTCCTTGAAGTAATAATCATCATATTAATCATTTTGTACTGCAGACGCGGTAGTTCTTCTGTCTTAGCGTCTCAGTCTGATTGTATTTCCATGAGGAAATGATCATAAATGTTCTTCCTTGAGCTGCGGCACCCCGCTGTAGTCCAGGTCTCCCTACAAACAAGCGGCTGCTGGAAGGGAGTAGGTGAGTTGTGTTTAGTCTCTTTGCTAAAGAAATGAGTCAAAGTTAAAAAGATGTTTGGTGTCTAGTACTATGTCTGTGACCCTATATGTCCTGTTGATGAAGTTAGGTGCTGTTCTGAGCATTATTTGTGGCTATAGAGTGGCGTTTTGGTTGAGTGCGTGGCTCTGTGTATTTCTATCCTGCGGTTGCTACTAAAGTTGGTATAACTAGAAAAGCAAGCGGTCGACAACATTCATCTCTGGGGGGGGGGTCTAACTCGGTGTTACGGAATATCCCTTTAAATACCTAAATCACTTTTCCATGTCCTGAAGCCCGTGCATGAAAGGATTAAAGTTGTTTGACATCAAATCTACATACTGTCACTTTAACCTTTTTATAACTCCTGTGCAGCTTTTTACTAAAAGAGCTCTTCTGTCAGATTTCTGAACCCTGCTCCAAGGACTGTTCCCCTTCGTTAGTCCACACAGATCAATATTTCATGGTTTGGTTTGACGCAGATTAGTCGATGTTTCGGTTCATCCTGAATGAAGTGATTTTTACACCAAACAATAAAACCTCTTAATAGTAGCTGAACTGATTTAGAGCGGAGGAGCTTTTCTGAATTAAGAAAAAGTTTACCTCAAACTTCCGAACTGGAATTAACGTTTTAAAGTGTGAATGAGTAAAGAGCTAAAAAAAAGAGGACAAAGACAGGAGCTCTTTCTCATAATTATTTAATCACACATACATTTACATCATGCAATCAATCCAAAACTGTGATCTTATGAACTTCCCGTCTCCGTCCGTTACAGAGCCCTGCTATTTGTGCCCCAGTTCTCCAGGAATGATCCAGTACCTCGTCCACGGATGGATCCTCAAAACTGTCCGTTTAAAATTGACCGACTATTACACAGTAATAAAAAAAGTGGCTACACTTTGTTTTTAATTTAGAATTAATGCAAAAAAAGAAAAAGAATCTCATTTCTGTGATCAGCACAAATATTCTTTGTCGTTTTTGAATCAACTATTTTCTTCCTCATTTCATTTCCAGTTTTGGTGGAAGGTCAAAGGTGAACATTTTGAGGTCCATGCTGCAAAGTCTAAAGATTACACAGAGGGAATAAACCGCCTCCATAAACACCAAACACTGTCCTGTCATAGATACAGGGGAGCTACTCCTCCCTACAACCTTTACAAAGTGATTATAATTATTATTATTATTATTAATATTAATATGACTTAATTTATGTGTCCACAGACAGTTGGATTTACACGCCGCCGCCGCCGCCTCCTCCTGCGCTCAGGAACAGCCACGTATGAAGTGTTTTTGTGAGTGAAGAAGTGCTTTGAAATGAACGTTCCTGCAGCAGAGATGACAGGTGGAGAAAGCCGAGATCTCGCCCTCGCTTCGGCGCTCGATCTTCTGACCCGATCTGATCACAAACTTCGTTTTCTAAAGCGTCTCTGGCGGAGGATGAGACTCTGTTTCTGCACCTGCCTGTCACCCACTGATATACAGTGTATTTTACAGTATATTGCACTTTGCACAATATGTTAGTGTTCTCTCTCGCTGGGGTTACAATCTTCACGAGCTCTTTGCCAACGCACCAGGGGGGCTTCATCACAGGGTTTAAACAAATAAACCAACGAAAAACCGAACAAGCCGTCATGGGAAAATGAAAAAAAACACTAAAAATACGAGAAAAAAGACGAGAAAACACAAAGAAATCCTAAACACCCCTGACTACAGTGAGCTGAAAAACCTCCTCCAGACCATGACAGAAGATTGTTGTGCAATGTGAGACCCTGCTCTCCTGATTGGTTGATCAGCAGCAGCTAAGGGTCCGAGCCAACAGCCTGCAGCTCCCCCTTCTTCAAATCTACACCAAAACAAAAAAAAACAAAAATACAGTACAGAAAGAAACCCAGCAAATAATACACTTGAACGCTTTTCTGCAAATGTACAACCAAAAGGGGCACGAAGGGTCCGATCTAAAGGGTGAGGGGGTCAAAATCAAAGCGAGGCACCCTTGAATCATGATACAGGGATCAAACCACTAAGGAGGGGTGGGGGAGTGAGAGCGACCCGGCTAGGACAGGACAGGACCGCCTGGTTCTAACGTGCTCCACTGTGCAGAAGACAGATATAAATATATGAACCACTGAGAGAGTAAAAACCACGACACTCAGCTACGGCGCTACAAAGAGGTGGAAGTCTGTTCTGTCTACATTCGGAGTTCAATCCTCTTCATGACGTCGTCGCCGAGAAAAACCAGTTTAGGTTTTTCTTTAACTTAATAACGATAAAAACAGTCGGCCTCCACAGGGATTTCTTCAGTTCAATACATCCACAGAGCGCGGCTGCACCTCTCTCCTCCTCCTCCTCCTCCCTCTGTGTGTGTGTGTGTGTGTGCGCGTAGTCGTGCCAGTTTGACATCTGTACAATAACCGGGACAGAACAGTCGTGCTCCACGCCATCTAGTCAGCTCGATAAACCAACACGGAGTCTTTTTTGTCTTTTTTTGTCTTTTAAGAAGCATGTAAAATCTAGTCAGAGAAAGAAGTGTGGTTAACAACCCATAATAGTCATGAGGAAATGTACAGAGGTTAGCCTATAGGTGGAGCTATTTCTCCTGGGAGAAAGGGGTTTCTCCTTTTACGATCTCTTTTTTTTTTGGTCTTTTTAGTTTAACGTTGAGTTTTTTTGTCTTTTTTTTTGGATCTTTCTACCGTTACATTCAGCTTGGCACAGTGCAGAACTACTCGCACGACGACGACAGATGACCACGGACTGTGCAGGACATTAAAACCCGAGCTACGCGTACGCGGAGGCGCGCCCCGTTCGGCTGGTTCGGCCGAGCCGGCGCTCAAGACTGCGTTTGGTTGGTGGAGAAGAATATCTTTTTGTAAATTCATCTTCTATTATATTCAGTAGGAGAAAAAGAGATAAGTCATGATGAGGGGGTGAGGGAGGGAGGGAGAGAGGGAGGGAGGAAGGGGGTGGAGGTGAGGGGGCGGAGCTGTACAGGCCAGGAATATTTATATATATATATTTATAATCAGAAACTCCTTCGAGGCTCCAAAGCAGCGACATGGAGCCGATCGCTGTTATGGAATGACAGGATGTCGGGGGGAGCAGGGGGTGATGTCGGCTTCTTCTTCTTCAGTGGTGTCGTCCTTCGAAAGCGCCGATCTTCAGCTGCACAGAAAAAAAAAAACACAAAGAAGAGAAAACGAGACTTTCTTTACAGACTGTTTTAACTTTAACGGATGAAACGAACAGGAGAGACACTCAAGGTGAAACAACGATCGCCCGACCGATTTATCGGCGATAAATCGACCAATTTTAGCCCGTTTGAGACTTATCAGCCAAAACTCGCCGATTTTTGCTGATATTTTTAGAAATAAAATGCGGAGAATAAGATTCGGTTTCACTTCGAAAATGTTCTGCCATTTGAAAAGTTCCCTGACTTATCCTGTAGATGGCGCAGTGAGTTGAAAATGCTACTAAAAAACACCTGAATACTGTCTGATAAATGATAAAAATGTCCTTCTAGTTTATTAGTTTCCAAAAACATCTAATTTATCAAACAAGATCAATAAATATATTTGTTAAATTTTAAGGACATTTGGATTTTTTTTGGTTTCAGCTCCAAAAAAACTGAATTTTCTGGCCTTAATTTGTGATTTCAGGGATTAAAAGAGTTACTAAAAGTCAAGAGTTCTTGATCTGGAGACATCAACCCTTTGTGATAAACCTCCTTTTCCACCATCAGAGCCGCCGTCTCTCCTCTCTCCTCCTCTCTGACTCCTCCCCTCCTGTGAGGTCAGAGCGGCGGCGGCGGCGGTTAAACTCACTTCTTGTCGGGCTTGGCGGGGCCTCCTCCCCTGATGGACACGGTCTGGCTGTTCTGGTAGAAGCCCCCTCCGCTGCGGTTGATGTTGGGGTGGGTGGGAGACGCCACCGGCTGCTGCCCGGGCCTGATGGGCTTGGCTGTGGAGAGGAGAGATTCAGGATGAAGAGGCGAGTAAAGATCTGAACGAGAGCGAATCGATTTGTTGACATGAAGAAGTCGGCGGTAAAAGTTTCAGCGATCTTTCTTACCGATCTGGGCGGAGTGCCCCCTCCTGGCCATGTTCTTGGCCCTGACGGCCTCCTTGATGCGGTCCACCTCCTGCTGGTAGCGCTTGCGGTCGCGGGCGGCGTTCTCCTTGGCCTCCTTCAGAGCAGACTCCAGGGCCTTGACCCGCTCAGCCGTAGCACGAAGGCGCTTTTCCAGTTTAGGAAGCTCACAGCGCAGGTCTGCATTATCACGCACCAGCTGAGGGGAGATCGGAAAAGGTCACCGTTAAACCGTCGTCTACGGGGGCGGACACAAACACGCCGACCAAGAGGAGGAGGAGACCTCACCTGTTTGTGAACTTTGGTGAGCTGCTCAAGATTGTTCTCAAGAAAGGAAATTTTCTGCTTCTGAGCTGCACTCCCACCCGTGTCGTCTGAGTCCATCTCAGCGCTCTGCGTGACCCGGAAAAGAAAAGAGTTTTTAACTTCAATCATGAGCAGAAACAAGATTCCTCTCAGAGATAACAGACTCTTGGAGGATTCTCAGACCTTCTTCACTCGGGTGGCCAGGTCCTGGACGAAGAGCTTCCTCAGGTTGTGCAGCGTCTGCAGCTCCTTCGCCTTGAGAGGAAGAAAAAAAAACACAAATTCAAAATCTGAAGACGAACGCAGACGGGAAACAGACTCTGGATTACAGGATTAACTTCAACTTTACGATCAAACTACGACTCTGTCAAACCGTCAAGATCGATGACGGAGAATCACGAACTCACCACTGTCTCCTCCAGACCCTTCAGGTCCTGTCTGGCCTGCTCTCTCCGGTCCTGCATCACCCTGAAGAACGAAACCAGAACAGAGTGTGAGACCACCAAACCCAACACCTTTGTGTGTGCGTGTGTGTGTGTGTGTGTGTGTGTTTGAACGTACGTGAGCTCGTGCAGCTTGCGGCTCTTCTCCTGGTCGGTGGATTTGAGTTTCTCGTGCTCCACTCTGAGTCTCTCCTGCTCCAACATGATCTTCTGGTTCAGACTGAGAGACAGAAACACAGATTAGTTAGGATCGGTTTTCTCTCATGTTCGTGAGAAGTCCAAGTATCTCCACTCCTCCTCCTCCTCCTCATCTTCATCTCTTACTCCTGCAGCTCGGTGATGAGCTTCTCCTTGTTGTCCAGCTCGTCTCTCAGGCTGCTGATCTGCTTCTGATGAGCTTCACGGTGGGAGTGGATCTGCTTCTCAACCGCCTCCTGAAAATGAACATCCAGAATATTTCAGAAACATTCCTGAAGATGTTTTGGTGTAGAAACCTTCAGCTCGCTCACAGTTCCTCTCTTTGGTGGACGTACCTTGACTTCGTTGGCGGTCTGGATCTCGTTCTCCTTCTCCATGGCGTGGACTTTCTCTGCAAACACAAACAGAGAGGTTTCATCAGAACCAAAGTCATGTCAGAGGAGAACTTTCTGTGTCAGGTCAGAGATGAAGGTGTGGAGCTGATCTTCTAACAGGCTCTTCAGGTTGGACTAGTCCGTGGAGGTTCACAGGACCAGCGGACCTTCAGAGCCCTGGTGTCACTCTAACAGACTCGTACCCTGAGCGCTGAGCTTGACCAGCTCCTCGTTGAGAGAGTCCATGTTCTCCTCCAGCTGTCTCTTCTTCTGCTCCACGTTCTGCAGGTACTCGGTCAGGGACTTGATCTTGGCCTCATGCTGCAGACAGACAGAAGAACCAGTGAAGATGTTTATTGGAGGAGCCTATGTCTCTCTCGTCCAATCAGAAAGCTCGTTGGACGTACCTGAGAGATGCGCAGCTGACAGGCGGCCAGCTCCTTCTCGTTCTCGTCCATCTTCTTGTTGCTCTCAGACTGGGTGCTCTCCAGCTGCTTGCAGCGCTTCACCATGGTCTTCACCTCGGACTTCATCTTACTGATGTAGAGACGGGCCACTGTGAACTCCTCGTCGATCATGCCGCTGCCGCCCTCGTGCTGCTGCGGGACGAGAAAAGGAAGAAATGAGCACAAGAGGAAGAGAAGAGCTCATCTATGAAAACCATCTCTGTGTTTGAAGACCTTCCCAAAGATCTACAGGGTTTTAGATCTTCAGTTTCTGCAGAGGACGCCTCAGTACCTTGATGTCGTTGCTGCCGACAGCGATGCCGATCTCAGCCAGGTCTTTGAGCAGTGAGGACATCATCTCCGTCACCCTCTTCTTCTGGTGGTTGGACATCTCCTTCAGCTTCTGGAGCTCAGAGTCCAGAGACGACAGGATGGACTGAGAAGACAGAGAGGAAGTGTTCAGTGTGGTCCTGATTCTGATCCCTCACAGGGGCCGAAATCGTTCATCTGTGGTTTTTCTCAGACTCACAGATTTCTGGCTCAGCTCCTCGCTGATGGCCTCAAACTCCTTGGTCTTGTCCTCCACCTCCTGGCTCTTCTGGTCGTAGTTGACGGCCAGCTCCTCCAGAGCCTGAAGCACCTCCTTCACCTCGTCCTTGGAGGCTTCGTTCTCGGCCTGCAGGCGGTTCAGCTCCGCCTGGAGGTTCTCGTGATCGCGGCGGGAGGAGGCCAGAAGCTGCAAGAGGAAGATTGTTCAGAGATCTTCTGGACATTTTTGAAGGACTTTATCTGATTAACTCAAACAGAAGGTTAGAGCTCCACCTGAAGTCACTCTACAAGATCAGATCTAGTTTAAATACCTCCTGAAAACCTCAAAGTTACTAAACTATAAACACAAAGAGCCTCCTCTCCACCTTCTGGACCTGCTGCACTCACCTCCTCCTGGTCCAACATCTGCTGCTTCAGCTTCTCAGTCAGCTGGCTCTGCTGGTTGATCTCCTCGTCCTGTAAAGTTCAGGAAACAAAGACACGTCAGAATAAAACCACCTCAGAGTTTTGATTGGTTCTCAGGACTCCTGTAAAGAGTTCCTATGTTCTCCTGGTTCTTCTCACCTTGTCGTCCAGCTGTTTGTAGAGCTTGGCCAGCTCAGCCTCACACTTGTCCTTCTCCACGTCGGTCAGGCGGACTCCGGGCATGTTGGGCGTGGACGCCGGCTTGTCGTTGATGATGTTGTCCAGGGCCAGAACCTCGGCGTTGGCTTTCTCTTTGTCGAACTGCTCCTCCACCGGGACGCTCTCACCTGAGGTTAGAGCGCACAAACACAGACATGAGGTCAGTGTGAAGATGGAGGTCCTGGATGTCTGAGGAGATGTTTGTTTACTTCATCTACTCCATCATCTTCTTTCAGATTTTAATACGACATGATGAAATCTTTGTGTGAGGAGAAACTCAAACGCTGCTCTCCTTCTCCTCCTGAAGAACCTGAGGAGGTCATGAACTAAAGAATCAGACTAAATCTCAGTCTCCTCCTCCTCCTCCTTCTCCTCCTCTTACCGTTCCTCCAGCGGTTGAGCTCGTTCTCCAGCCAGTTGATGGTGTTCCTCAGGGTCTTGTTCCTCTCCTTCTCCCTCTCGTACTTCTGCTTCCACTGCTCTGCCGTCAGCTCAATGTTCACAACGACCGTGTTCTTGATGGTCTTCGCTCTGAACACAGAACCAAAACCGGTTAGATCCTGGTACAGGTCTACAAAAACTCCTTCAACAAGGTTCATGGACGTGTCAGGAGTCCTAGACTTTGGTTTTGTTTGAGGTAAATCAACTTTAAGAGGGTCCACTGACCTTTGTCCGAACATGAGGGTGGATTTGGTTTCACACTCGTTGTAGGAGGACGGCGAGCAGCAGATAACGATGGTGGTCCGACAGTTACCGCCCAGAGAGTCCTGCAGGATACGGGTCATCTTGCTGTCTCGGTACGGGATGTAGGCCTTTAAGATGTTAACAGAGATGAGGAGTTAAACCTAAGACACGTTCAGATGTCTGATCTTTAAGTCTGTGGATCTGTAAATGTGTGAGGAACGACCTAAAGATCCGGTCTGCTCTAACTCTGCAGACACCTCTACGCTCGCTCACTCGGACTGATCTATCCGAGAACAAACGCTCGTTTGTTTCAGATAATCACAAAAACATCAGCGGCTGTCCGCCCCAGGTTGTTTATAGAGCGAGCGGTCCGGGAACAAAGCGGCTGTTGATGAATGTGAGGAGCGTAAAACCGCTGAGGAGCAGGAAAACACAAACTTAGCTCGGAGGAGTTTGGAGCAGCGAAAGAGTCGACTCTGCAGCACAGAGGACTGGTAGATGTTTGGAAACGCTCTAATGTTGGTTTTCTGGGCGCACACCTCGCTCCGGGCAGGAGAGATGGTGAACAGTTAGAGCTCTGTGTCTGCAACATCACTGCTGATATCTGAGGAGGCTTTTTTCTGCTGTGAGTGATCACCTGAGGTTACAGCAGATCTGTCATCTTCAAAAAACTACAAGAATCAGACTCATGAAGAGACCAGGAGAACAGCTTCACTGACTCTGCGTGAGGTCCAGATCTCCTGGTGAGGAAACAGAACCAAAGACCAGGGCTGGGAGTCAACTAAAGAAATTAATCTAATCAATCAGAGGATTTGTGATTAATTAATCGCAATTTGATCGCATATAAATATTTGACCTGAGAACTTTTTTTTTCATAGATTACACAAGACTTTATTTTTTTATCCAGGCTTCCATCCATCTCTTTTTTTTTAAACCAAAATTTCCCATCCACGTCGGAGCCAATCAAATCACACTCATCCGCGACTTCGTTCATTTTTCTTGCCCTGGGTGGGACTGGAATCACTGCTGCACTCACTCACATTGGGGTGCGCCGATATAAGCGATAAACCTGAAACTCGTCCAGTGAGAAACGTCCCGTGGTGCAAAAATACAGCAGGTGCGATTAAGAGTCACTGCTTTTAATTTACGTCTTAAAACTTATTTTTATAGACTTGCTTTTATGTGCTTTTGTCTTCTTTAAAACCTTTTACTTTTCTTATTCCTGTTTTATAATCGTCCCCTTGGTCTCAGGTTCCTGTGGTGGCCGGGTATCATGGGCTCCTATAAAGTCTTTGTTTTAATGACGTCTCAGCTCATGTGACATTCATCAAAGCTTTCATGTCTCCCAACAATTTTTTATCTTATTTTATCTTATTTCTTATTGCCAGTAATGTGTCGTTTCCTCGAAGTGTTCTCTTGTTGTTATGTTTTTTATGTTCTTTGTTTTTCTGCATGTTACAACTCATGCTTTTAAAATTGCTATATAAATAAAGTAATTATTATTATTATTAATAGGCGTTAATATTTTTAACTTGATAATATTTTTAACTTGATAATGTTTCTGTAATTACTTAATTGCAATTATCGTGTTAAAGTCCCGGCCCGACCAAAGACAGAAGAGGTTGACACTGACCGTTCCTTCAGCCAGAGCTGAGATGACGTTTCCCAGAGACGACAGGGACTTGTTGATGTTCTTGGCCTCGTCCAGCACGGCTCCCTCTGCTCCTGTTTTACTGACCTGGAAACCCCAAAGACAACAACCTTTAAAAAACCAAACACAGGACTAGACTCTGATCAGATCCGGACCCAACCTAAGCACACAGCAGAAAGAAAACAGGTCAACTCAGTGACGCCCTTCGGCTCCTTTCACCTTTTCACTTCCTGCCAGATCCACCAGGTAAAGCTTTCCGCTGAGCTTCTGCTCCGTCTGAGTGTTCTCCTGTTTGACGTTGATCAGGAAGATGCTGTGACTCCTGGAGCTGTGCTCGTTCATGTCTGAGGGAGGAGACCACCGTCGACGGGGTTACAACAACGACAGAAATGATCAAAGACTAGATCTAAGAGGAAGGAGAGGACGGCGTCTTACTTGTGACTGCTACATGTCTGTTTGATTTGCCTTCATCAATGGTGTCCATGACCTCCTCTGGGCTGCAGACGAACCTCTCAGTGCAGCCCTGAAGAGAGAGAGAGAGAGAGAGAGAGAGAGAGAGAGAGAGAGAGAGAGAGAGAGAGAGAGAGAGAGAGAGAGAGAGAGAGAGAGAGAGAGAGAGAGAGAGGGGTCAGACTTTTACAGACCACTGTAAATCTAAAGGTGTGTCAGGAGCTCAGGTCTCACCTTGACGTAGGGTACTCTGTTTTTGTCTTCATGCACTGACAGATTGGTCTTTGACACTGAAACAGGAAGATAACAGAGTCACAAATATGACAGAGACGAACTTTAATGTTACAGACAAAAACATCTATTTTTTCATCTTCAAACTTTAGAAAACGCTCATCTATGACCACATGTGTGCTCCGTGGGTTTAAAGCTCCGCCCCCTCCGTCACACAGGGGGGTGTTAATCACCTCGGTATTTCACAGCCTTTTAACAGCATGTCTGTGGACCCTGTGAGGGTCACAGCTGTCACTCACCGTCCAACAGGTCCCGGATCTTGTCTAAGTAGATTTCAAAATATGAAACCTGCGAGAAAAGAGAGAAAGACGATCAGGGCGCCGCGATAGAAACACAAAAACAGAGTTAAAACGTGAAATTCTACAAGAATTAAGAGACAGAAATGGGGTTAGATTTAACAAACATGATGTAAATCCTTCATGAAACTTTAAAAACTTATTTTAAATGATCTGATGAAGTCTGTCAGCGATTCAGATGACTTGATTTAGTCTCTTGCTTTACTAGTTCAGCTCTTAGATTTCCTCTTAAACGTCTTTATTCGGCTTCCTGACGACCACACAAATACAGAGGCTGGTCCATAGACTGGATCCATCATCAGTTGGGTCTTCCCTCTTACTTTGATATGGAACTCCAGGTTCTCGTCCATGGAGTAGATATAGTTGAAGATATCCTGGACTATCCTGGGGATGATGCCCATTGCGTCTGTGTCATGGAGGTTCCCCTGCAAACAAACAAACAAACAGAGAGAGTTAGTTCGGTCAAAGTTAACGCTCTAAAGTGATTAATCCCATTTTTAAAAACTCCTCCAAACATCTCACCTCCATGGTGTGTGTTTTTCCAGATGATGTCTGCCCGTATGCAAAAATCGTCCCGTTGTATCCCTCCAGAACATCTGAAACAGGAAGTAGAAACGTCTGAACTTCATGACCTCTGAGTTTGGGCTGAACCCGTCCTCTAAATACAGCTGATACGGCTCAGTAGAAATGAGACCTCACCTTTAACGATCTTCTGGGCGCAGGCGTTGTAGACTTGCTCCTGTGTTGTACTTGACTGGAAGACTCTGTCGAACATGTACGGTTTACCCTGAAGAAACGCAGAGAAGAAGGAGGTTTCATAAAGATACCCGACACTGAGGACTCTCCTCCTGTTCTCTCTCTCTCTTTGTTTATTTGTCCTTATCGTGTTCCTCACAGCAGTAAACACTACGACTGTTTACAAGCTTCTCCTCTACAACTCTACTCGCTGTTTTCACTCCACTCAGTCTTTGCACGTGTTCGCCTACTTCGCCTTAAACCTGATTCTGATCCTGCCGCACTCTGACCCCTCAAACACTCGACCTCTGGTTCCCATAATTCACATAAAGACAGCTGCGCTCGGCCTTCACAGGAGGAAACAACAAAAACACACAAAAACATTCAAATGAGATCCACAAATCCACGAGGACATGTGGAGATCTCAACCAGAACAGACAGAACACCTTTCAAAGTAAAAGTCCTGTTTATTATTCTTCTGTTTCAGCACATGCTTTTATTTTGAAGGTGAGTTTAGTACAGTTGCTCTTTATTCAAATCTTTTTAAATGGCGTTGGCTGCAGGTTCGCTCAGTTAGAGGAAATACTTCATCACGAGTGATCTCAATCTCAGATACTGAACTGTTCTCTGTAAATAAACCGGGTCAGAACTGAACCTGATGATTTCAGGGGTTTAGGAGTGAACTCAGTAAATACCTGACTCCAGGACTCAGGACCAGACGAACTGGTCTGAGGAGGACTGCAGTTTTTCTGGGTCATGTGAGTAAACACTCTGAGGTCACTATTTCTGGGAGAGCTGGAGCAGGATGTGTGTCACTGAACTGACGGAGAGTTCCACTTTTTGGTGTCAGCTGAGTTGACTTATAGACCGAGGTGGAGGCGCCGAATGAAAACTGAGAGGAGGAGAAACATCCCGAACCCCTCAGCCTGACACTGACTGTCCTCTAACAGGTCCTCTCGTCTCATTCAGACTTCTGACAAATAAAAATCAGACTTTTTATGACTTAAGACTTTGAGACTTTTTTTTCAGAGATCTGCAGAGAGCGTGCGATGACGTTTCCAGCTTTTCTAGCCAATCAGAGGTGAAGGAGGCGGGACAAAGTCTTCCCGGGATGCGTCTTTTCCCCCCCGGAAAGTCACAAAATCACATCGGGCTTGATGTGTATAGTCAGGCATGTCATAATTCACCTCAGAACATTCGGTAATTTTGCGTTCTGTATTCGCCTCGACCTGAAGTCTAAGTACTGCACTGTAAAAAATACAGTGTTTGCCAGTTATGATGATTTATAGTTTGATTACACACGGACAGCAGAGAGGGTCCCGAACATGAGTGAAGAATGATGATTGATAATTAATCAATATTGGTCAAAATAACCATGATCAGCTGTGATCGTTCAGCCTCAGTGCAAACTAATCTTTGAGTTCTGTGTCAGGTTCTGATCGCCCGTCCAAACTCCACAGCACGACTCCACTGAGATAGAAATCAATAAGTGGATCTGCAGGGTCAGAAAACTGATGCTCGGAGCAGATCTGAGGTCCAACACGCCGTCTTCAGAGGCGTCACGTCCCTGTTGACTCACCTCCTCTGCAGCCTGATGGGCGGGGCTCTCCCTGAGGTGAAGGAGGAGGAGTTTAAAAACAAAACAGCCTCGTTCAGCGGTGATACCTCAGGCTCTCCTCCTCCTCCTCCTCCTCAGTGACAGCTCAGTGTTAACACCTGCAGTATCAGAGCGAGGTTGAGGATGCTGAAGAGCAGCCGGCCTCACCTGATTAAAGCTTTAACCACATTCAGACCTGAAGGTGACGACACACACCTACTCCAGGACTTCCTCAGGCCTCCTCTCCGTTTGCTCTCTAAGACATAATCCTCTCTTCTTCTTCTTCCTCCTGACTGACACTCACAGCTCTCTGCTAAATCTTCATACGTAGATAATTCACTGCAGTCGGACACATCCCGCCAATTAACCCTGCCCACAACACGAGCGCTGAGCCGCTATCAGGCCCGCCAGGCGCTGTGGGCAAACAATGGTCCAGGCCCGGTTTAAAGTCCTCATTGTTGCTGCTGCTGCTGCTGCCCTGGTTACCTCCACTCCTCCTCTCTAATGGGATTACAGTCTGAAAATGTAATTACTGTGGAAACTGCAGAGTAATAAGACCAAGAGCTGCTGCTGCTGTGTCACATTTATGATATTTCTCTCATTCATTCATTCACACGTCAAGGTTCTTCTTCTTCTTCAGGCTCGTGGTTACTCCTGAATGATGGAGGAGGAACCGAACTGGGCAGATGGTGGAGACAGGTCGGCTGCATTAATCTGGTGTTACTGGGTTTTAGCGTCCTTCTTGGAACACAGCTGGCTGGTTGTCAGGAGTAAACAGGTGTCAATAGCTCCTCTGTAGTCTGTTTGTTTGAAGGCAGTAGGCGCACTTTCACTTATCTCTCTAATCCTTTTCTTTTTTTGATCTCTCACGCACCTCCACCACTACACCGGCTAAAAGTAGATCTGCAGAGTTCTTCCAGGGCGTCGTCCCAGGGCGCCGCTCGCGCATAAACCGTGTGGCAGGAGAGCGAAGAGCTGATCTTTTATGAGCAAAACTGACAGTCGAGTACAAGACGCATGAATAATTGACCTGCTGCTGTACACTCATACAACACTTACAAACCTCACTGGTTACAACACCTGAACATCCTCTGAGAAAAACCCTCAAGTTCACCAGAGATGAGACGAACACTGACAGAATATGGTCGATAAAATCTACTGTTTTGGTGCGTCCATGTGCAAAACTCACAGTGCAGATTATGCACTTTTATTAAAGGTGTTGTAGTCAGGATCTGAGTTAGTTCCAGTTTTTAGGAGAAATGTTAAATGTAAACTCTACCCCTCCCAACCAGTTTTCCCCTCAGCTCCTCCTCTCCCTCAAGCCCCGCCCACAAACAGACGCTCCTGCTCGCTCGTATCGTTCCAATTAAATTCAGATATAATGCAGATAAATCCTTCAGATCATTACAAATGGGGCCCAGTCAAGGTGAAAGTCAAAAGCATTGGTGCTACTGTAGATGCCAACAGACTACCAGCAAACACAATGTTTGCAGGACTTCTACAACGAGGATAAAGTGACATAGTCCAGGACCCGAGGGAGGACAGTTTAGCGATGGCGCTACAACACGCTACAGCAGGTCCGTTTGACAAGAAACACTTCTGTTACAGACACTTTGACTGCTCGTTTTCTATCCAATAGTGCGCCCGGCTCCACTAGAGGCATGTTTGGAGCGGCACCAGACCAGATCAGCCGGACTCACAGGATCACAGAACCATACAAGAGCTCCACAGGATTGTCCAACAACTCCACGTCGCCCCCTGTCAGTCCTTTCTCTTAGGTTAGTGATTGAGCACATAGCAGATAGATTAATCATGGATTAATGTTAGCACGGTAGCATTAAATCCCCTAGCATTAGCCACAGTTAGTTTGAGTGGCTCTGCTCCAGGGATAAGACAACAACACGGAACAAGCAGCAGCAGCAGTATTTCCTCCTCCATTTTATCTGATGTGCAGGTGAGAGTCAGTCCAGGCATGCTGTTTTCCTCTGAAACAGTTTTGAATGTTCCATTGTCTGACCTCCCCTCATCCAGGTTAACCTAAACTGAACATGATGGTAAACAGAGCCAGCTTCAGTGGAGCAGAGCAGGGTGGAGCTGAGATGGCGTGGATCGGCTCTGGTGGTGTGTGGCGCTGACAAACATGATGGATCATCTTCCTGTGGAGCCTCCGAGTCCTCAGAGCGATCGAAGTTTGAAACACTTATCAGACTAAAACTACAGGAACGGATCTTTATATAAATGTGAGGATTTCAGAGTAATGTCTGATTATATGTAACAGAGACGGTAATTTCTATAATAGGATTAATAAAAGAACATGATGTTCAGTATCTATTTAATCACATCAGGACTCCACAGTACGACCATTACACTCACATTTACGACTTACAATAGATGTGTGCGAATTATAAAATGTATTTAGGGTCACATGTACGCATAAAAAAAAAAACAACAAATGTTTTTTTTTCCTGTAAATACAGCAGTGAAGTTAGTTTTAGGTTGGATATATTTTCCTGTAAATTCAGCGGTGAAGTTAGTTTTAGGTTGCATATATTTTCCTGTAAATACGGCGGTGAAGTTAGTTTTAGGTTGGATATATTTTCCTGTAAATACGGCGGTGAAGTTAGTTTCAGGTTGGATATATTTTCCTGTAAATACAGCGGTGAAGTTAGTTTCAGGTTGGATATATTTTCCTGTAAATACGGCGGTGAAGTTAGTTTTAGGTTGGATATATTTTCCCGTAAATACGGCGGTGAAGTTAGTTTCAGGTTGGATATATTTTCCCGTAAATACAGCGGTGAAGTTAGTTTTAGGTTGGATATATTTTCCTGTAAATACGGCGGTGAAGTTAGTTTTAGGTTGGATATATTTTCCTGTAAATACGGCGGTGAAGTTAGTTTTAGGTTGGATATATTTTCCTGTAAATACGGCGGTGAAGTTAGTTTCAGGTTGGATATATTTTCCTGTAAATACAGCGGTGAAGTTAGTTTCAGGTTGGATATATTTTCCTGTAAATACGGCGGTGAAGTTAGTTTCAGGTTGGATATATTTTCCTGTAAATACGGCGGTGAAGTTAGTTTCAGGTTGGATATATTCTCCTGTAAATACGGCGGTGAAGTTAGTTTTAGGTTGGATATATTGTCCTGTAAATACGGCGGTGAAGTTAGTTTCAGGTTGGATATATTTTCCTGTAAATACGGCGGTGAAGTTAGTTTCAGGTTGGATATCTGACGGACATTCTCTGAGGATCTACCGGTGTCTTCTCACTCTCCATAACCGGGAATAACAACAGCAGCGCGGTTAAATCTACTCGACACCCTCACTGTCAACGTCGGTGTTGAATAAGGGACCGTCAATAAATTACCGGTTGATGTTCTCAGAAAAGGCTGTTTTCCTTCAATAGCTTCACTGTCATGTGACCAAAAGACCTAAAATTGATTCCAAATAATAGTACTAAGGTCGGACAATAAGACAAACATTATTTGATCAGTTTTTATTGTGCCCCTAAAGTTCTTTGTGAGCTCTTAGTTAGTTTCAAGCCCTGTCTAAATTAATATAGGAACATGACGTTTAGTTAATATTTAATCACATCTAGAGTCAGAATCATTGAGCGGCAGAGGGATGAGGAAGACTTACTTATGGAGGAGATTAGACCTTTAAATCATGGACATCATTTGAACTATATTACAATATAAAGTTAGAGTCTGAACTCGGACGACAAACTGAAAACTTCACTATTAAAAAAGCAGAAATTACATTGTCATTTATCGGACACCCTGCAGCCCTGATGTTTTCTCTAAATGCACAATCACTAGTGTGTTCTTGTTGTGTATTTTTGTATAATGCCTTGTGGTCAGCTTCACGCCTGTCAGTCAGTCAGTCAGCGCTCTGATCGGCGGTCTGCTCCACGCCCTTCACTCTTTAAAGTGGATCAAAAAAAAACAGGAGCTAAGTGAGTCAGTCACCCCGGATAAGAGCATCTGCAAAACAAAGTCCATCACCGCGATAATTACCCTCCCCACCCCGCCGAGAGATTGCCCAGCGCCCGCCCAGCTGCCTGCTCTGATTGGTCCAACAGCTGGTTACCAGGAGAGAAAACACAGGGGGATTACCCATGAGGCCGAGCTGCTGCTGCTGTTGCTGATGGGTACAGTAAGTGGTGTACTTCTGTGAGCAGGAGCTCCAGGCAGGGCTGCTGGACTCTCTGGCTCGCAACACTTGTGTCCTTCACAATGTGCCCTGGTATTCTGGCACTCTGAACTGGGCAGGGCCGCGCCGGGCCGCGCCTGGAGGGTACACACAGTTCAGTCGCACTTCTGCGCCTGAAGTCAGTGTCAGCAAAACGGCTCAGAAGTAACCACAGACACAACGGCCTCCTCAGTTTAGGGACGGAAAATGAACAGTCCTGTCGAGTTCATCATCACCTACTTCAGCGGGTCAACTCTAACCAGGATGTGAGTCATATCTGCTGAACCGCTTCATGAACAAGACTCATGATCAGTTTCTATTACCCGGCAAACTCTCATAAAGCAGCAGGGAAAGACGCCAAAGTCCACCAGGAACACCAGAGTTCGTTCAGCAGAAGACCTAATGTTTAACCGGGACCGTGGGCCGTAAGATTATGAACATTTGTTAGCGTGTTCAAACCTGAGATGTCAGCAGCAGAGCTTTCATGAGGTTGTTTTGTTTAATTACTGAGACCCATCCTTCTCCTTTTGTGATCTTCAATTCTAAAGAGACACGCAACAACATGAACGCTGGTTAAGTCAACATAAACACTAACCTGACTCCTGTACCTGAGAAGAAAATGTCTGTAATTTGATATTAATCTTTAGGAGAAATGTAATAGTTTAACTCCACTACAGCTCAAAGACACATTTCCTACTACTAAGTCTCTATTTTGGCACTAAAGTCAGCAGATTATGTCTGTTTTTGATGCTCCAGATATAAATAACACATTAAAAAATAACCACTACGGTGCCCCTCACATGGAAATGACATGAAAATGTGTCTCAGCAGCTGCTCTTCTACAGACTCAAACATCAGAAAGAGACGTCTGGATGTCTTTCCAGTACAGATATCATAAAAAAACTGCCCTTTAGATGTCATTCCAGTTTATGAAAATCCACTCCCAATAACAATAAACTAGGTTAGAGTATTTCCGTGTGTGGTTTGTCTCAGTGGTGTTGCCGTAGAGTAAACGTTTATCTCCATGTTTGAGGTTTTTAAAAGATTAATATTCTGATAGTTTTAAATATTTGCTGTTTTCCAGGTTAATGAAGCATGTATCTGCATGTTGGTTATTTTCAATCCGACTGTTTATGCTTGGATTTACTTGTTTGTTGTATATTTTGTTGTTGTTGTTATTATGTTGATTACTGTTGTTGAACTGAACTCATTTTGAGACTTTCTAAAAATCTGTTGTGTACTTTAGTGTCCTGAACAACTTTCAGTCGAGTTTGAGTGTCTTTACTTTGACTCACATAATGAAGTCGACGTGTACTTTGTCCACAGTACAGGACTGTATATGTGTAGAGTGACGAAGCCTGGAGCGCACAGCAGTAGTAAACTAACCTCTGGGTAGTTTCTCTGTTGATTCAGAGCTTTAGTTTAGCTATTTCCTTCTTTTGTTGATGTTATCCTTATCAAGGGGAAGGGTCTGAGTCACTAAAGGGCTGAATAAGCAGCAAAGGTTGGTTTAATATCACAATTAAAGTCTTAATTAAAAGGAAATACACCAACCGGACTCAACATGTCTCATGTCATGGTTATCCATTTCTTTCTTTAACGCTTCAAACTCCGCTGGATCTCCGGCGGTCCCACATGACACCATCAATATAGTTTACAGTTTCTCAGGAACTATACCGTCTATCTCTACGGGATGAAAAGTGTTTAAAAGTTTACCCTTTTGGTAATCTATCGAGGGTTTCCAGACATTTCTACACCTGCCACAAGGTTTACAATCCAGCCACAAAAACAGGTGTTTGATCAGAGACGTTTGACGGTTAATCCGCAGTGACACACCGGTGAAAACTGGATTATTTATCAGATTGTTGTGATAAAAAAGATTACTGTTGCTAAATGCTGCTAATGTCTTTCGGGTTTGATAAGCTGTTTTGATGATGAATGTTTGAGAACAAGCGAAGAAGAGATTCTGAGCAGTATGATGTGGTCCTCTGTCTCATGGCAGAAACAACTGTAAATAGTAAAATACACCTGGAAGAATGAGTGTAAATATGTCAATAGTTTCTGTTGTGAGTTTGTTCCAATCCCAATATTTCTTCTCCTGATAGACAAGACTTGAGAGAATGATGTTCAGGTGAGAAAAGGCTTGGTCACTGTAGATTGAGCACAGTACTGCTAGGATCAATTTCTGTTTTTGTTTTGTGGTTGACTTTGATAGTTCTGAATCTACTGTCACTCTCATTTACAGAATATTTGCTCCATAAACTGACAGCTGAGGTTGTCCTGAAAAAATAAAGATGTGTATATTTGCTGTGATCAAAAGGATCGAGTTGATACAGAGATTTTTACATTAAAAAAAGTAAAATATAGCTGGAAGTTCTAAGAGTTAATGGGCAGATGGACTTACACTCAACATTTGTGCAATTTTAATATGAGTTTAATGGTTTGTTATTGTATATTTAGTCGTTCTAGAATCTTCTGTAAGTGTCCAGTCACTGAAGACGATCAGAGTCCTACTGTCCCACCTAAACTGACCGTTCCCACAGCTGTTACTTCATCGATATGACAGTCTGAGGTCTTTATTCTATACTGGAAACATCTGACTTCCTTAACCCTTAGTAATACAAGATAAGCTGGTCAGGTTAATGTTGGTTTAATTTCACAATAAAAGTCTTTATTATTACTATTAAAAGGAAATACACCGACTAGATTCAACATGTCTCATGTCATACTTATCCAATTCTTTGTTTAAAGGGCAGATGGACTTAAACTCAGTTTAATATGAGTTTAATGGTTTGTTTTTATTATTAAATCTTTCTAGAAATTTCTATTATAGTCCAGTCACTGAAGGCGATCAGAGTCCTACTGTCCCTCCTATACTGACCGTTCCCACAGCTGTTATTTCATCGATATGTCAGTCTGAAGTCTCTGTTCTTCACTGGAAACATCTGCTTTACCTCCTTTAACCCTCAGTAACACAACACCTGGTCCAGATAAGATCTGGTTCTGCAGTCAGCTGCTCAGGTAAATGTTGGCTTTAATTAAACAACAGCATTAAAAGCAGACAGCAGCTAACCAAGGCCGGCTAATCTGTCAGCTCCCAGCTGGCCCCGGCCTCCTGCTATCACCGACCTCAGCCTGTTAGCCACCATTCAGTCCCAGAGACTGGTCCCCATTAACAGATTTGTTATTACACAGATATATAAGGATGATAAGGCGGCAGCAGCAGCAGATATGGAGCAGGATTTAAAGGCTAACATTGGAGACACCTGAGCCACCCTCACAGGGTTTGTTGAATGACAGGGCAACTACGAAGACACATATTTCACACCAACACCCTTCACTCTGACTTTATAATGAGTTAAAATGTCTCAAACAGCCGTTAGAGCACAAAATAGACCCTAAAAGCTGAAAAAAGTAGGTGTCATTGTGTGTTTTTGAGGTTGTAGCTGGAGGCCAAAGCAGCGGTGAGCAGCTAACGTTAGCTAACAGGCTAACCGTTTCAAACAATCAAAAATGGCGGAGAGCGGAGCGGGGCCTCCGGGCCGAGTCAGCCCGGCGGCGGCGGAGCTCATCTACTCACCCCGATGATCACCGTGTCCTCCCCCTGAAACTTGGGAATGTATCTGTCCCCTCGGGTCACCTCGGAGCTGTTCAGGGGCCGAAAACGGCACATCACTTTGATGGTGCACTCCGCCGGGTCGGCCATCTTCCACGGTTCACGAACGGAAATTCACCGACACACGAAAATCACCACGACTCTGAGTCCGAGGGCCGGCCGAGCCCCTCTGTCCCGATCTCAGGTTCTCGAAGGGTCGATAATCGAACCGGGCATTCAACAAAAATCCGTGTTTTTTCCTCTCAATCACGTCCCCCCCTCCTGTTAGGAAGCCATGATGATACCGGTGGATCAGCGGCGAGCCACCTCACCCCCCCTCCTCCTGTGGATGTGGTTCACGGTGACGTCACCCCGGCGCTCCCCTCTCTCCCCACGGACCGTGTTATTGTTAATAAAACACTCAATTAGAGGAGGGTACCCACGATTACAGCACACACATCCACCCCTCAGAAAGAGTCAGGGTCCGAGTGACTAACGAGGGGCCCGGGGTAACTGCTGTCAAACTAACACAACTACTTCTACAGGTTTACTATTAACACAGCCCAAATATACGGGGGCCGAGAACTGCCACTGCTGCGAAAAAAAAAAAAAAAAAAAATGCAAGGGAAAAAAAGAACGCCACTACAGAAAATGAAAAAGAATAAAAAACAAAAAAAGAACAGTACTGCAAGAAATTAAAAACAAATACAAAAAAAAGTCACAACAGAAGTTAACGCACTGGTGCATCATCATTATTGGTCCCTGCAGCTCACTGCTGCTGCTGGGAAAATGTCTTCTGAATGCTCCCCCACTATAAAAAAAAAGTAATATATAATTAGCCAGTTGTTTATCTTAATCTCACTGTCCTACATCTTTTTTTTTAAAAAAAACAGTGTTGACTCCATTGCCATGTCATCTTTCTTCTTCTTTGAATCTGTTTAGTGGCCTATAACGTCCTCTATATTACCTTTTATAAACTGTGAAACAAATAAAAGTGCCCACTGACTGCACTTCCATGAGACAAAACATCAAAAAATGCCCTTTACATAGTCTTTTAAACATCAGTAGAAGGTTCCCTCTGGACATCTTTCCAATGTGAAAATAAAATGGAAATTTAATAATTAAGGAAAAGACCTTCAGGTGAATAAAATACAAACAAACATTGCCCTCTGGATGTCCTTCCAATGTATAAAATCTAAACAAAGTGCCTTCTGGATTCTTCCTCATAATATAAAATGTAACAAGTGCCCTCTGGATGTTCCCTCAGTGCATTAGATACAAACAAAGTTCACTTTTATGCCTCAGTGGTATATGGGGAAAGTGTTCTCTGGATGCTCTTCCGTGGGCCAAAACATAAACATGCCCTCACGATGCCCTTTTGGCAACTAAAATGTTAAGTGTCCTCTGGAGGCCTTAAAAGTATATAAAACATGTAAAAGTGCCATCTGAATGTCCCTCCAGTGCATTTACTGTGAACAAAGTACACCTTAAATGCCTCAGTGGTAAATGGAAAAAGTGCCCCCTGGATGCTCTTCCATGGACCAAAACATAAACATGTCCTCTGGATGCCCTTTTGGCAAGATAAATGTTCAGTGTCCTCTGGACGCTTTAAAAGTATATAAAACATACAATAGTGCCCTCTGGATTCTCCTCCAATGGACAGTACATAAAATAATGCTACCTACATGTTCTTAAGAGAGTTCCCTCTGGATGTGCTTCCTGTACATAAAATAAGTTCCCCTCTGGCTGCCTTTTTAGTAAGTATAATTAAAAGAAAAGACAGGTGCCCCTTTCTGGCCTGCAAGTGTACTAAAAGGTCATACAAGGAAAAGTTCCCCTTTGATGCCCCTCCATAGGATACGTTTTTAAAAAGTTACCTCTGGATGCTCTTCCAGTCTGAGAAAAAGTGCACTCTTAATTAAACCCTATTTACAAAAAAACTTTTTTTTTAGTAGACCTGGAAGGTTTTTAGCTATGTTTTAAACTCCAGGGTGACTCGATGATACTTTATATGTTATTTTAAATAAATATCTGTTTTTCAGAGCATCAATGGGGGAAAAACTTATTTTATTCAAACACTGACTCAAGAACTGTTTTACCAGAGACATGTCATCAGTGCTGCTGTCATCTCTGTGTCCAGAAGTGGATATTACAGTATAGTTTATGACTCAGCTGCTCTTAAACGTGGTCTGCTGGTGGAGCTGCAGCTCTGGACCCTCCTCCTGAATTAAAACACATCATGTCTGAGCTCATGCAACAGTGGCTTTAATGGAGCACAAAAACCACCAGAGTCTGAACACAGTCTCCAGCCGCTCCCAGTAAGAGTGAAGGATATCCTTTTTCGTGTTAGCTAATCCAAATACCAGTCGGACTGGCCCAGCTGTGTGTTCAGGGAGGAAGTTAAAGGGCGTGGTGCTGAGCGCGGTGTGAGCTAACAGGGCAGTCTGCTACTCAATGAGTGAGTCCCCAAAGACCACATTGTCTACTGCTCAGTATCTTTAGGAATGGGAGGGTTCGTCAGTAACATGATCTGCTTTTGTGCCCTTTCTTTGGACATTATGAGGACAAAAAAACAATCTCCTCAGGCTTCATTTATTACAGCTGTGTTTATTTCAGAGCACAACCTGTGAACCAAAGCGCTCAGCAGCCTCTATCTAAGCCAATTAAGTGACATCTGTCTGGGTTATTAGAGTCTTGTAGTGTGAAGATTTACTGTCATTGTTTCCGAGTGGGACCGCAGGCGTGAATGTGCTCCAGGACAAAACCATCCCATGAATCTGAACGGGCTGTAAACGCTGGATTTAAACTCACAAACGAGGCGATAATCATTAAAGTTACACAAAACAACAACATTCAGTCATTTAATATGGAAAATACAGAGACAGTGATAAACTCTTTATGAAGTAAAGCTCCCAGGAGGGCTCGGAGATAATCGATCAGATGTAACTGTGTAATTATTGAACATTTAACAGCAAGTTTCTCCTGATGGAGCTCCTCTGAACTACGCGTTTTCATCTGTAATAAAGGGGAAAAACTGAAAACCAAAACTGGTCGACTGTGATTTCAGTCCACAGCATTACAAACAGACATGACTCTGTAGTAGAGGTCACCGCATGGACTCAAAATCACATCCAAAAGTGACTGTCTGTGAATGCAAATCATCTCTGCGTCCACAAATGAGGTTCAAACTTGTGTATCCTGTGAAAAACGTAGATTCACACGTTAATTTACTCAGTATTCATTGTAAATATGTATTCTTTAACTTTATCACAAACATATAAATGAGAATCAGTCTTCTACTCTTAAAGGGATACTTCTGCGTAAAATTACTTAGGGTCAAAAACACCGTAACACAGAGTTAGACCCCCCCTCCAGAGATGAATGTTGCTGACCGCTTGCGCTCAACCAAAACGCCACTCTATAGCCACAAATAATGCTCAGAACAGCACCTAACTTCATCAACAGGACATATAGGGTCACAGACATAGTACTAGACACCAAACATCTTTTTAACTTTGACCTCAGGCCAGTCCATTATGGACTACAGCGGGGTTTCGCAGCTCAAGGAAGAACATTTATGATCATTTCTTCATGGAAATACAATCAGACCGAGACGCTAAGACAGAAGAACTACAGCGTCTGTAAAATGATTAATATGGTGATTAATACTTCAAGGAAATGATGAAGAAAAGTCAGTCTTTGTCTCTTAAGCACAGGTCCAGATGAATGAATGAACACCCCTGTTTTTCACCTTCAGGATTCATGCATTCATGTTTCTGTCACATGTCAAACAACCTGCTGATTATGTCAATTTTTATATGTATGTTTTTTGAGCCCCTACTGATTAGTAAAAAATCTTGGTGATGATAAAAATCTTTGCAGATTCCTCATTTTTGAGAAATAAGACACAGCCGTAATGTTGTCGGTATCTAGATGACTTTTTCTGTTGTTGTCATTCACTGTCATTGTAAGTGTGTGTAGTTCAAAATGCACCAAATGAACTTTGGATTATTGTTATTAGATATGGAGATTTGTTAATTAAACATGTCTGTTTTTAACTAACAATGTAAACTTATCTCCTAAAAAATTATTTAAAATATTTATTAATGGATTCACGATGTTCTGGATTTCTCTTCTGGACATGTGGGTATTACTGTAAGTGTTTGGTTAAATTACCCAATGATGATGAGTTTGTCCCTCTGTGTTTGGTCATGGAGAAACGACCGCTCTCTATTTAAGATAGCTGCTCTTGAACAAAAACTGTTTGCCTGATGAAGGTCTAGAACCGAAACGTTGCAAGTAAATGATTGATTGAAAGTTGGACAGTGTTCGGGAATCCCTTTACTACATTTTGGTCTTTTTTCTCCAACACACCTGTCTTGTTTTATAGATGTGCGAAGTGCTTCCTTTGTTTACATGTCAAACAACTAAAATAACGTTATTTTAAACACACACTCCTCTTTTCTTTCAGGTTTTAATATTTATTATTTGAACAGGTAACAGAAGTACAAAGTTAAAGTTTGCCACTGTGTGTCTGTGTGGGTAGAGTCCTTAAGTTTCTGCTCGTCCTCCATCACTTCTTCTGGAAAAATCCCATAATAGACGCTTGTTTCCCTCCTTTATTGGCACTAAGTGCAGATTTTTTCTGACTTTTCTTCTCCTCTTGTTTGTGACTCGGCGGTTTTGCAGGAGCGGGATCTTTCGGAGCTTGTTTGGCGGTCTTGGAGTTATCTTCTGATTCAGAGTAGGATTCGCTCTCGTAGCCTTTCTCCGTCACTGTGGGAGGAAAAGATCACCTCTGTGACTGAGCGTTCAACGACGAGGAGAAATGGAAACTGGAGCAACAAAACTGTGAGTTTAACGATAAAACTTCATCCTAATCTGATTACAGCGCAGCGCTCCTGATGATTCCTGATGTTTTTAGTCACAGGTCTGCTCTACTTACCGATGCATCCTTCTTCATCCACGAATGTTCGGGATTTCAGGACTCGTCTCCTCTTCCTGGTCTTTGCCTCAGAGTTTCCCTGCAGCAGATTCAGTGGAAGAAGAAACATCGATCAGCTGATCAGAGAATGATTCATCAGAGTCTAATGAAGGAGTAACAAGATGTCCTCTCCCTTCACCCTGCAGGCTGAATATCAGGAACAGGTTCGATCACTTACATGAGAGTGTGAAACCGGCTCGGCTGCCTTCTTCGGACTCGGTGATCGTTCTTTTTTTTCTACCGGCTGAGGAGAATCTGGAATAACTGGAGACACGAACAAATACGGCGACAAAGATCAGCTGAATCATGTTCCTCTAAAGTTTAACAGATGTTTTCAGCTTCATGTCAGTATCGGTGAAAATCTTTTGTTTCAGGTTTTCAGTCCAACGTTTTTCCTTTTTTTTGTTAAAGTTTCAGCTCAAACATCCTGAAGGGAAATCAAAGTGACAGTCGGTCACTCACCATCTTCATCGCTGCTGTCTGGTTCTGGCTTCCTGATCCTTCGCCTCTTTTTCTTCTCCATTTGTTCCTCCTCGCTGTCAGAGTCCTCGATTCGTTTGGTTTTACTTTCACAAGGGAGAGAAAGAAAAAGACTTCTGTATGAATTTATATCACAGCTATTAAGATAAGAAGAACTTTATTTATCATGAAGGAAAATTCAGGGAAATTCAAATTCAAATTCCTACGACTGCTGACGATATGAAAGAAAAGCCGAAGCTGCAAATGAGACTTTTTGTGTTTAGTGTTGTGCCTTCATGCTTTTTCATCCCTTGTGCACATACAGGGCGTCTGCTGTTCATGAGGTCGTTTCGGCCTTTGCAGCACTTTTGTACTTCTGCTCGTGTCTGAGTTCGGCCATCAGGTGACTTCTACCTCATAAAAGTGTCCGCTCTGAATCAACAGTCTGCAGAATTAGCTTGGCAGCATTAGACAGACAGAAAACAAACACATGAGCATCAGATACAGAAATCAGAGACACGTGATTTTCTAAAGAGCAGACGTCTGTCAACACGGGAAACATCAGCTGATCGAGGCTGCAGAAAAACACCTGTGCATGTTCACACACAGTACAGACTTTTAAGTGTTATAATCAAACACACACACACACACACACACACACACACACACACACACACACACACACACACACAGACACACACACCTCCCAGAGTCCTTCTTGGAGACCTTAGGTTGCTCCACTGCGGCAGCTTCTTGTCTCTTCTGGCTCTGTGAACTCTGATGTTGCTGCCGCTCCTCCACTGCCGCTGTGGTTGAAGACTGAGCTGCTTCCTCTTTCTCCTCCTTCACTGGTTTCTCTGGTTTCTCTAAAGACGTTTATAGATTAGAAGAACTTTAATGACTCCAGGTTCTTGTCTGAATGCTTGAAAAGGACCAAAACATGATGATGGTGAACGTTTGTTCTATGTCGATGTTTAACTTCATGTTAAAACTGCAGAGCTCGTGTTTTTACTGTATGTATGAGATCAAACTTTGCTGTTTTATGATAAATAAGAGGAAGATAGTTAACTCTTTTATTTCTAACGTAGACTATCTGGATTTATTGATAATTACTGCGTTATAATAGGTTAAAAATCAATATAATAAAACATTCACACACAATTTAAAAACACTGAAATAATCACAGGAGGAACGACTCACTTGTTTGATTCCCAAAGAAGTTCATCATTGGATTGACTTTAGCAGCTGGTTTACTTTTGGGAACATCGACCTGGAAATGAAAATTTAAGAAGAGAGAAAAAAAAACAAAATCTAAAAATCACTCAAAATCTTTTTTATCTCAGTGAGGAGGCGTGGTCGACCCTGGTTGTTAGGAGGTCTTTTCAGAGCTTAAATGTTTTATAAATAACTTTTATCTTTAGAAAGATTGATTCTGAACTCTAAAGGAGGGGTCTTTATTTATTTCTGTGTATAATGAAGTCCATCACACTAATACAAAGATAATAAACCCACCACAGGTGCGTCTTCCTTCTGCTCTGATTTCCCGTCTTTGCTGCTGTCTTGGTTCTTTGGAGCTGGTTTACTTGCAAACATTCCCATGATGCCTTTCTGCGGCTTGGCGGGAGGTTTCGAGGTCCCGTTAACCACATTTCCATTCATGCCCGGTTTCTTGTGTTCAGGTTCTGGTGCAGAGGCCCGCTGGATCTCTCTGGCCTGCTGCAGCTCCACAGACGACATGGGGACCGCACTGGGACAGGAGATCGCACTGAACCTGCAGAGACCAGAGATTCAGAGGCGACCTGGAACTAAAACTAAAGTAGTGACTCTTTGGTTTGGGTTCAGATACATTAAAAATGATAAGCTGTGGGTGAATAAGATGAACTTACTTGCTGCAGTTCCTCAGATTGTCTTTCACAGCGTCATAGTCGACGCTGTAGAGCGGACCGCTGTCTTTCAACAAGGCCTTCTGTACGCTGTAGACGTGGACGCTGACGATCAGACTCATCTTTGCTTTGAAATCTGCAGAAATACACTTCAAGTTAAACGCTGTCTTTAAAACATAAAAATACAACAAACACTTTCAGATATATTTACACACCTTCCAGCTGCTCCTCTCTGACCACAGATACTTTGTGACTCTGAAAAAACAGCACGGTGACAACATAGATGAGTAAAAATAGAGATTCATGTACAGAATTCAGTGAACATCCAAAAAAGACTTGTTGTGTTTTCTCACCGCTTGCCCATTATCAACAAACTTCCCCGACACCAGATAGGTGGCGTGAAGCTGAGCTGAACTCTCCTTCCTCTTGTGATCCAGATAATGGTAGAGCATCCTGAAACCAAGACAGACAGTTAAAAAACAGATGTGGTGTTATGGTGTTCAGATTCATTACAGAAGTGACACAAGACAAAATCAAGCAACAAATTTCACAACAATCAAGCTCTTTGTTTATTTTAAAAAATGACAAAAAGTGAATCTCCAGAGGATTCCAAGTCCTCACTGAGACGTCCTTGTCAGCCTCACTGACATTAATAACATCAAACTAGAGTTAACTACTATTAGGCCTGCTGACTGTAATCACATTAATTCAACATTGTCCATAATCACTCCTATCCTAACCCTGTAAACTGAATTTAATCTGTCTCACCATTACATGAGCTATTGTTGTTGTTGTTACCTATTCTCTCTCTCCTTCCTTCTATCTTGTTCTGTCTCTCTCTCTCTCTGTATTCCTCCCCAACCCAGCAGCGACCTGGTGGCTGTCTAACATGAGTCTGGTCCTCTCCAAAGTTTCTGCCTGTTAAAGGAAGTCTTTCTTTCCTCGCCACTGTCACTCATGTTAGATGAGATGAGTTATATCCCATCTTAGGTTGGTTCTTGATAATTCATCAAACAATGAGCGTGGTCTAGACCTGCTCTTGTTCTTTGGAAAGCGTCTTGGGATAACAACTGTTGTGAGTTGTCGCTATATAAATAAAATTTGATTTGACACAGAGATCAAAACGTCCGCACTGGACCCCAGAGGGACAGGTACTGTTAAACATGACGATAAATCCTCATGAAGTGACTTTTCTTCATCATGACTTGATCTTATTCCTTCATAGTTTTGTTGTAGATCTGGATAAAGACTCACTGTTTGGCTGTGTTCACATGGACCCCCAGAGTTAGACTCAACCATTTATAGGTGACCTGTGAGACAGAGACACAATCAGACAAAAGCAGAAGAAACCAGGAGAATTTAACGTTTGTCTTAAACTGCAGACTATTACAGGACAGATTATTACAGGACAGTTTGATTAATCGACGTTACACTGATGTTATATTGTTTTCTTTATCCTGTTTTGTTTTTCACACCTGTACCAAACCTCATACTGATAAATATAACATTTAATCTGCTGTAGTTAGTCGTTTTAATTCCTCTTCTCTTGTCTTCTGAAAAACGATGAACTCACCACCTGCTACTGAAAACACTCAGCTATAAAAATGTTTTTTTCTTAATTTTAAAGGACATTCCTGATATCATTTTTAGCCGAATTATCCAGAAACTAAAATAGAGAATAAAAACGTACAAATCGTCTAATTTGATAAGAGCAAATATCACTTTTTCCGACAGCAGATATTAAACATGTAGATTTTTAAACGCAGTTCAACGGCTAACTCATTATTGAGCATTTCCACACTAAATACCGCTTTTGTTGAGACAATAATGGTTTCAAAGATTAAACTCACTATCTTGTTATGGTCGTTGACATATTCGTCGATGTTATCCAGGTACAGCTCGTCCATTTTTGAAAGATTATCGATTAAATTCGATCTCCCGTTTAACCGGCCAAACTGCGCGGGAATGCCGTTTATTTACTTCCTGTTGAACGTCACATGGGCCTAATCTTCTTCTGTGGTGTGAGGATGTGCTGCATGCTGCTCTCTACAGGCGAAGGCTAGTTACTACAGCTGCCATTCACTAAGGGAGAGAAAAAAGCAAAACAAGACAAAATAAAATAAAGTTAAATAAAACAAAACAAAATAAAATGAAGTTAAATAAAAAAAATAAAATGAACTTAAATAAACAAAACAAAAAAAAAATGAAATAAAACAAAACAAAATAAATCAAAACAAAAATAAATAAATAAAACAAAACAAAACAAAATAGAATAAAATAAAATAAAATAAAAATAAAACAAAATAAAATAAAAAAAATCAAAATAAAATAAAACAAAATAAAATTAAATAACCTTGCTTCCTTTATTCCTTTACCTGTCAAGCTTAATATCCTCTTGACATTTTTTGGATGTTTTGTCTCCTTATTTGAAATAAGTGGGACATTTGTAGAGATGAAATTGGAGCAGATGAAAAAAAAAATCAACCAAAGATTAAAGTAAAATCACCAGAAGAGGACAGGGGCTTTAAATAAGTGAGGACACAAAAGTAGAGCAGAAAATCAATGAATTACGGATACATGAATTAGACACTATTTAGAATAGAATAGAACATAATAGATCAGATGGACCTATCTGCATTTTTCCCCAGATAAATCGAGGATAATGAGTCGCTCTGTATGTTTGTAAGGATAAGTTAAACTGGCGGCTCTTTTACAGCTGATGTGCAAACACCTCTAAATGGCCTGAAAGCTGTTTTCTCGGGTGTGAGATGAAGGTGTGATAAATGTGAGCAGAGTGTGAACACTTTCTACTTTGATATCTCTGCTTTCTCACCTCTGTTAACACGTTACACATGATGACAGCCGCTGCTCTGGACCCAGCTCATGAACACGCTCTCTTTAAGGATCCTAAACTCGGCTTTTATCGAGATTAGAGGAAAAACATTGCTCACCTTCATGAACCTGGACTTCAGACTTAAGACCAGGTTTTTCTTGGTCGTTCTCAGGCACAAGTTCACTTGCTATTTACACAACGTGGGAATAAAAAAAATGCTTTTCTGCACAACTGCATCCATCCCTGACTCTGATGCTTGTCAAACATCAGCATGATGTGGCCTCCGCTGTTTGCAAACTCTAAATCTGACTCTGTGGTTGTGCAGCGGCTGGAAAGACTTGATTAAAATGCAAACAGGCTCCTTTTCAAAAGGAATAAGCCGATGGTGTTGAATGTATTATCATATAATGGTTATTGGATGAGAACCACTGCTTTTAATTTGCTCTAAATGGAGAAACCAACTGGCCAGAAAATGGAAATAAGTGGTGGCACAGCAGCAGCAGCAGTAAGTGAGCGCTCATACAAATGGAGAGAAAGAGCAGCTGCAGGAGGAGATGAGCATCAGCGATTAGTGCATCACGACGACGCCGACACAGTCAATATACATCTGAATTATAATGAGCCGCTGTGAGCGAGAGATTCTGATGAACGAAACCATCGCCGAGCTCTTCATCAGCTGTGAGTTTGAACACCAGGTCAGCATCCTCCCAGCTTCAGCATCAGGCTGCAGTTTTCTGTAAAAATGCACCATCATGCAGGCGTAGATTTAAGTCATCATTTACACTAAAGAGAGCGCCATCAAGATCCTCCAGAATCCAGCTCAGGAAACAACAATCTGCGATCGTCTACAGAGTCAGACACTTCAAACGCTGATAAATAAAGTTTTCCTTCTTCTTCTGATCCACCATTTCACAAATAAAGTATCTGTTAAAGGTGAGGTAGGAAGGAATCCGTTAAAGAAGCATCTTTTTTCGTGGTTAGTCAATAGTTATTAGTTATTGATGACATTTGGTAATATATCGATATCTCTGTGTTCTCTTATGTCTGTGTCGTCAACATTTGAACACTTTCGAGCGGTCCGCTCTTTCTGACTGTAAACAAAGCCGTTCTCCACCTCCTCTAACCTGATTGGTTGTGAGGCAGACGCTGCTCCCCCGTGTCGTTCAGGAGCCCAAACAAAGTTAGCGTGCTACAATATCGGACAGTAGAAACCAACCAGAAAGTTCGGAAAATTGTCTGAATCCTCCTTTGGCCACGACTGCCGACACAAGCAAGAAAACACTCAAACATAAACAGTCAGCAAGAAAACAGTCAGCAAGAAAACAGTCAACACCAAACCGGTCAACAGGAAAACGGTCAACACCAAAACAGTCAGCAAGAAAACAGTCAGCAAGAAAACAGTCAACATCAAAACAGTCAGCAAGAAAACAGTCAGCAAGAAAACAGTCAACATCAAAACAGTCAGCAAGAAAACAGTCAACAAGTAAACAGTCAGCAAGAAAACAGTCAACATCAAAACAGTCAACCATAAACAGTCAACAAGAAAACAGTCAGCAAGAAAACAGTCAACATCAAAACAGTCAACCATAAACAGTCAACACCAAAACAGTCAACAAGAAAACAGTCAGCAAGAAAACACTCAAACATAAACAGTCAACACCAAAACAGTCAACAAGAAAACAGTCAACAAGAAAACAGTCAGCAAGAAAACACTCAAACATAAACAGTCAACACCAAAACAGTCAACAAGAAAACAGTCAGCAAGAAAACACTCAAACATAAACAGTCAACCATAAACAGTCAGCAAGAAAACAGTCAGCAAGAAAACAGTCAGCAAGAAAATGCCCCCCCCCCGTGTCGTTCAGGAGCCCAAACAAAGTTAGCGTGCTACAATATCAGACAGTAGAAACCAACCAGAAAGTTCGGAAAATTGTCTGAATCCTCCTTTGGCCACGACTGCCGACACAAGCAAGAAAACAAAGTAAATACCGGAGACTCTGGAGGAATAACGGGCGCTTAAAACGGAGGTAGACCGGACAAGAGCTAAAAAGCCGGGTCAACATAAACGATGGGGGACGCTTGGGGATCTTGGTGACCCTGTAACCTTTCTGCTGGACAGGTAAACCGCTTTAACAAAGTAAGACAAGTGTCTGTAACAGAAGTGTTTCTTGTCAAACGGGACCTGCTGTGTGTTGTAGCGCCGCTAAACTGTCCTCCCTCGGGTCCTGGACTATGTCCCTTTATCCTAGTTGTAGAAGTCCTGCAAACATTGTGTTTGCTGGTAGTCTGTTGGCATCTACAGTAGCACCAATGCATAAAACTGGTTGGAGAGTTTACATTCAAGATTTCTCCTAAAAACTAGAACTTCCTCAGATCCTGACCACCCCTCCTTTAACAGCTAAATATCCAGTCAGTCAGGCCTGAAGGTCAGATCTGGGAACATGATGATAATATTAGAAATCAAAATGATGCAGGGTCTCAGGGGTCCATTAATGCCGCCTGTTATTACTGTAAAAATACAGCCGTCGTTCTTCCCCTCCCCGCAGGAGGTCCGGGTTTGATTCCAGGAAAATGTAATAACCTTTTCAACCTCAATCCCATCTGAGAATAATAATAACAGCTGCCCTTTCAACCACAGCATGTCATCGATCGCTCAGCGGGAAGCCTCACACCTTCCAGCTGGGGGTCTGTGTGCCATTTCTGACCCCAGCAATAATGCAGCTGCTGTTAAATTAAAGGCGAATGAAAAGGTCGGTGCTTAGCATTGATGGCTCAGTGGTCTATTTCACACCGGGGACATCATCACCACTCCGAAAGAAAAAGAAGATATAAGGTCCAAAATATGAACAACACCATCAGGACTCCACGCAGGGGGTGGAAGCGGTCCGTATGAGGGTCACAGGAGTTATAAACCGACATGTAGATTCATCGTGTTTAGGATTAATGAAGCAGCAGAGACAGTTTCAGGAGCATGGAGAGAAAAACGAGGAGACCTACAAGTGAATAAAAACACCAACAATGGAAAATGGATGAAACACCAACAGATGAACCGCCTGTGACACGTTCAAGTCCTCCAGAGCCAAACCTGTAGTCGGACTAAGGTGTTTACATGCTCTTCAGTGGTCCGGTCTTAATCGGAGTAAGGCGATGAATCAGTTTTCTCGAGTGTCATGAAAACAGACTGAGTGAGAAGGACTAGGAGCAGATGTAGTCACTGATCTGGTTCTACCCAGAAAAGATTAAGAGACTCGATACAGTCTCTTTGGATCCTTCGCGTCTCGCTGTTCCCAGATTAAAACTCTAATCTGGTCTCATCAGTTCTCATCTGAACATGCCGATTGTTTGTTTCGACCTGTTTTTAAACTGAAATCAAACATCATTTTGGTTGTTTGTCTGATTCTGTATCAGGAGATTTGAGAAAAACAGACTCATGACTTTTCTGATGCTGCTGGGAAAACGTCTAATGATTGATTCATCGGTTAAAAAATCTCAAAATTACGAACCATAACTCTCCGAAAGTCTCTTCAGATGTTCTTTGATGAGTGACTAACTTCTGAAAAGTTCGTTTGGGGACACAATAAAACACACCCTGACAGTTTGATATCACTTTTTCAAAGTTGGTAACGACCCGAAAGTTCTGAATGTTTGAGATTTACGGCGTGTGACATTTCCCTCTGGATGTGAGCGGAGGATTTCCACACGCTCAGGTGTGAACAGTTCCTCCAACACTGTCTTTATATATCCGAAAGTGACACCTGCAGGTATCGCTGACACTCATCAGCACGTCGAGATCGGAGGAAGGAGAGAGAAGTTGTTTTTTAAGTTTGGGATCTTCAGCTCCGTCTGATTCTTCTGCAGATTTTACACCTTAAATTAAATTTCATATCCAGTCAGGTAGGATCTGTTCCCTGAAGGTGTTTCTACAAAGTTCTTCTCCACGATCAGAAACTTTACTCTGCACATGGATCATGATCGTTACCAAACACCAGCTCTTAATTTCTGCAGAAGCATTACCGAGCTGGAGTCTCCCATGGGCACCGATCAGAAGTGTCTTCTTCTTCTTCTTCTTCTTCTCTGCGGTCACAGCGGAGGATTCTTTTTCCACCATTAGGTCAAACCTGAGAGGCTGCAGAGCTCACCAGAGGGGCCGGAGCGGCGGGTTCGAGTTCCTCTGTGGTTCGAGGGTGGTGGGTTCGGGGTTCAGGGGGAGTTCACTGACTCAGTTTACAGTAAATCAAATATCCTGGAGCGATGATCCTGATCCTGGAGATTTACACGGAAACACACCGACGCTCTTTAAGAGCCGATTGGAAAACTATTAATCAGAGGGAGAGAGAGAGAGAGAGGGAGAGAGAGGGAGAGAGAGAGAGAGAGAGAGAGAGAGAGAGAGAGAGAGAGAGAGAGAGAGAGAGAGAGCGAGGGAGAGCCTGCAGAAAAAAAACAACATTCAATCACGCTACGGTAAAGTACTGCAGATGCCCTCAAGATTAGATTAGATTCAACTTTATTGAAATGACACTTGTTCAGAACAACGCAACAAATGCAGTTTAGCATCTAACCCGAAGTGCAATAGCGCAAGTATCCGATAATGTTTACAACCTACAGATACAGACAATGGAAACTGACGGTTAAGGAGGAACCGGAGGAACCATCATGGGAGGAAGAACCCCTGCATGGGATGTACCACCGACAGAAAGCTGAACCGGCTGATATGAGCAAATCCGACCAATGGCTGGAGAGGGCTGGACTCATCATGGCGGCACAAGAACAGGCCTTTAGCACCAGAGCAATAGAGGCGCAGATCTACCAAACCAGACCAGATCCCAGGTGCAGACTGAGCAAAGAGGGCCTGAAACAGTCCAACACCTAACAGCAGGATGGAAGATGCTGGCAGGAAAAGCAAACATGGAAACCAAGTAGGCGGTACAGCGTACAGGAACACCTGAGCAGAATATGGACTGGAAACCCCGAGGTCAAACTGGGAAGAACCGCCCAAGGTGATGGAGAATGACCGAGCCAAGATCCTGTGGGACTCCCGGATACAGACCGACAGAACGGTAATCGCGGACCGACCGGACACTGTAATCGTAGACAAACAGCAGAGGTAAGCCGTTGTGGTAGAAGTCGCCATCCTGAGCGATACCAACATCATCTTCACCCTCGAACTTTGAGAATCACTCCAGCGTCTTATTTCCACAGAAATCGTTTTTACTTTTCCTGCTCGCCGCTCTCTTTGAGTCCAGATTTTCTTCGCCTCTCACAGTTTGTCCTTTAAATTTGTGAGTCCTCCTCCTCCTCGTCTTTTCATGTTGTCGTCCGTCTTTGTGTGTTTTCTCTATTTATTTCTCGTCTCATTGAAGCAGAGAGAAACAGGGGCAGCATGGCGGCCCTCTAAAAGCAACATCTAATAGTTTTACTGACAGTGATCTCTGCGGCTCTCTGTGGAGCTGGCAACACGATCCATCATCCGCACACACACACACACACACACAGATTGATTGTTTGTGGGTGTAATGTCAGACTTCTGTGTATTTTTGTTCTATAATACGATGATCTTTGCACACGTCTCTGTTTTTCTACAAACCTGAAGTCACATTAAAGCTAACCTCAGTGTTTTTCTAACTTCGCTCAGACTGAAACCTTTTACTGGAGGTGACCACGATGCGTTCAGCTCAGATTCACCTACGTCTTCAGTCTCTGATGAATCTGGATCAGTTCGGCTCTCCTCTGAAATTAAACCTCCTGTGCTTGGCTTGTTGGAGGACGTGTGTTTAGATCCTCCTGAGCTGCAGACTGACCAGTTTGAAAACGAGGCTTTAAGATCCTCTCAGATGAAAACTATGATGACTTTAGGAGATTAAAAATACACAAAAATAAAGCGTAACTCTGCCTGAACAAGGTTAAAGATCACCGACGGCTCTATAAACTGATACTGGTGATGTCTGAAAAATAACCCCACTGTGGAAGAGCCCACTGAGTTACACCTGAGGAGAACAGCCTCTCTGAAAATGTTTGTTCATAGCTGATGTTCTCAAAGGTTAGACATGAAAAAGTGATCTCTGGATATCCCTCCAACAGATTTAACATTAAGAAGTCGGAGTGTCCCGATACAACTTCTTTTCTTTTTACCTTCCGATATGATACCGATATTGTAGATGTCGTAGATGTCGCCATCTTGTTTCCACCTCCGATTTTGCTTTTTTCCGACTTGGTAACCAAAATGCTGGGAACTCGGGTGTGACGTCATTTTCAGCACCTGACTTCTGAGGGAACTCAAACGCAGCATTATTACACACTGTTGTCATGGTTACGTGGACTCTGTATGCTGGATCAGGGCGCTGCTAGCTAGAGGTGGTGGAGTGGAGTCTGGAATGGACTGCTTGTATCGGAGAGCTGATATCGGAGGTTTACCGATATTATCTGATATTCGTTTTTTTTTTGCTGATATCGGACCGATATCAATATCATATCAGGACACCCCCATTAAAAAGTTCCCTCTGTAAATCCTTTCTTAAAATAAAAAAGTACTAATTATATTGTATTTTTTTTACCTTTTCTTTCTTTTCATCTTCGTCACCTTTTTCCATCACCTTCATCTTCCTCCTCTTACTTGTTTTTTTGTCACCTCTCTTATTCGTCGCCCTTATCTTGTTTTCTTTTCTCCCTCTTTTTCATGTTCTGATTCTTTTTGTCTTTTGACCTTTTTACTCTTCGTCTTCTCCTCCGTTGTCTTTATTATCTTCATCACCTACCTCGTCTTCATCCTCTTCGTCTGCTTCTCCCTCGTCACTTTTGTCCTCTTCTTTTTTGTCACACCTGTCATCGTTTTATCCTCTTTGTTCTCTCTCCTTCTCTTTCTTGTTTTTGTTCCTCTTCGTCGTCTTTATCTCCCTCCTTTTTCTCACCTTTGTCTCCCCCCTCCCCTCTTTTATTCTCATTTTTCTCACCCTCTCTATCTTCCTCCCCGTCTTTGTCACCCTTCCTCATAAACCCACCTGAAGGTGAGCGCTCGGACTGAAAGATTTGGGCTTGGATCCGGATCTGCGGAGTCCCTCGGCTGAACGGACCGTCACAGCTGCGGTGGCGGCGTTCGCTGAGGCGGATCTGTGTGAAACAACATGTAGAGATCAGACAGATTGATGCAGAAACACCACAAACATGCAGGCGGAGCAGTAAACCCACGTCTGTGCATGTGTCAGACTCTCCCTCTGTCGTTGAGTTTAGTCTCAGATCTGAACCGCAGCGGTCATCAGAGCAGGTGGAGCGATACTCAGACCGTCAGAGATATCAGATCCATCATCTTTGTTTCTTATCCTCCAAATAAATAATCAAACTTTTTACAATCACCGTCAAAAATCCACTTTAAACACCTCAGACAGTTTTATATCAAGAGTTTGTTCCTTTATATAAAAGTGTTTGTGTTCGCAGAGATAAAACCGTCTTCTCAGAGCGACCTGGAGTAACCCTGACCCTCATCTAAACCTCCAACTTTGGAGTCAAACCCTCCAAACTTCAGTCTCTGTAGATTCATGAAGACTGAACATCAAAGATCCAAGTCCAGTGAGAAAAAAACTCATGAAACAAACTAATGAGAGGCTTTTCTCAACTTACACCGTCTCATGGTTCGAGATGAAGAACAACAAAGTTCAGAGAGAGAAGAGTTTTCAGAGGCCGGGTCGTCTCCTCTGTCGTCTTAATGCGCTCGATAATGAAGTGAATTCATACGATCATCCATCAGCTCTGATGAGACGATGTTCACGTGAGGAAAATGAGATTATTCAAATGAGAAAAAGCTCGTGGGTTTGATTCGACGTAGAAGCATCAATATGTCTGTGTTGTTGAGCTGTTCACACCACGATTTAATCTTCACGTAACAGAGAAAAGACGTTTCTTTTCTATGTTGTCTTCACGTTTATCTCCAACGGCAGAGTCCTCCTCGTTCCTGCTCTCGAAACTTCGGATTTGAGTCTGCTGGGAAGTTATAATATCTAATTTTCAATCTGGAAATATTAACGAGTTTAAAACGACCGTTCATGACCGTTTTAGTGTTTTATATTTCCTAACCTGGGATTTCCACCGCATCCGGAACGGCTCCGATCCAGACCGGCGATTTTCGCTTTATGCCAATTCCTACCGGATCCGTTTGTAATGAGAATTTCGTGGCGGATTACGCACACAAGGAATCGCGAGAACTCACAAGAACCTGCAGATTCACGTTCAATCGCTCGATAACAAGTTGTCTCTATAAAGACAGACACATAGATATATAAGCAGTAGATTGTGTCCTTCCAGAGGAGGAAATCTACTTCTAGACTTCTAGAATCAGCATCTCCTCATCCATGGTGTCATCGGGGTGAAATGACGTCTAAAAACCTTTCAATTGTTCGTCTCCGCAGAGGAACGGAAAGAAGTCGGTGTAAATTGACACGTTAACTTGAATAGTTACAATCAGCTACGATCTCCTGGTGCCTGCCTCTCAAACTGCCTGATAATTAATTTTTCTCTGACTGCCTCATGTCTCATTTCTTTAATTTCCTCTGATATAAACTCGGTTCGATCTAAAGTTTGAGTTGATTTCTGTCTCTGGAGTTTAATCGACGGCCGCAGACGCCACATCCCGAGGTCGCAGGTCATCCATGTCGACAGCTCCGATGATTTCTCGTCGCTCTGCAGCCATCAGGGTCATTTGGAACTCTCCCCTCTTTCCTGCCGACCATAAAAGGACGTTTCCTGTTCACATTAAAATCACATGGAGAGGCTGACACGGCTCTGCCTCAGGCCCAGCATCAGCCTCCATCAGCGGGGACAATCATTAGCCACCCCCCCCTGAGGATTGGTTCCCCTCTCAGCGCCCGCCCCTCTTCACCCTCAGCCCTTTGTGGCTCCGGCTGATAAGGCCAAACTAATATCTGCTGCGGCGCCGGCTGCTCTGGAAAATGATAAAAATGTGGCGAGCGTCCGTCCACTCCATCAAGACAATAGGAACTGGAATCCAGCCGCGGGCGATTGTCTGAGGACAAAAGAGGACGGTGTAGGTACAGGTGAAATCTGTCCAGGTGCTCGAAACAAACAAGAGACAGAGAAAAGCTGACAGGTTCACTGAGAGCGGACAATGGCGCCGCCGCCACCGCAACAATAACCCAAATGTCACGGTTTACAGAGCGCCGCCGCTGCTGCTGAGTGTGTCCAGACCGCCGCTGCTGCTGAAATGACCTCCAGAGATAATGAGACTGTTGTCAGCCGTTAAAAAACAGAGCTGAGAAAACAGTCAGTCAGAAAAAAAAACAGTCAGTCGGAAAAAAAAACAGTCAGTCAAAAAAAAAACAGTCAGTCAAAAAAAAAAAACAGTCAGAAAAAAAACAGTCAGTCGGAAAAAAAACAGTCAGTCGGAAAAAAAAACAGTCAGTCGGAAAAAAAACAGTCAGAAAAAAACAGTCAGTCAAAAAAAAACAGTCAGTCAAAAAAAAAACAGTCAGTCAGAAAAAAAACGGTCAGTCTGAAAAAAAACAGTCAGTCAGAAACAAACAGACAAAAAAAAAACAGTCTGTCAAAAAAACAGCAGCTGAGAAAAAAACAGTCATTCCAATTAAAGAACCAGTCTGTTAGTAACAGCAGCTGAGAAAAAAATCAGTCAAGGGGTCACCAAACACCAAACAAGGCGGTCAGAAACAGCATCTTAAAAATCATTTGGTCAGAAACAAACAAAAAACAGTCGGTCAGAAACAGCAGCTGACAAAAAACAGTCTGTCAGAAACAACAAAAAAGAAAACAGTCCGTCAAAAAAACAGTCGGTCAAAAACAGCAGCTTGGCAAAAAAAAACAGTCCGTAAAAGAAAACAGTCAGTCAGAAAAAAAACAGTCAGTCAACAAAAATAACAGTCGGTCAGAAACAGCAGCTGAGAAAAGAAAACAGTCAAAAAACACTCAGTCAGAAACAGCAGCTGACAGAAAAACAGTGAGTCAGTCAAAAAACAGTCAGTCAACAACAACAAAAAACAGTCGGTCAGAAACAGCAGGTGAGAAAAACAGTCAGTCAGAACAAAAGCTGAAAAAAAACAGTCAGTCAGAAACAGCTCTGCTCCACATTAACTCTACAACAATTCTGTACGACTTCAGAAAGTGGCTTTTCTTTGGAAATCATTTCAGCGAAACGTTAAAATACTGTGCAACTCAACGCCAAACTCGGCAGCTACTGAGCATGTGCAGAACTCTGACTGAGGTTTAAACACAGAAGAAAACCTCCTTCCTCCTCGGTCTGACCAAGTAAACTGGACTTTTAATTTACTTAAAGGAACATTCTGTGAAATTAAGTGAAGGGTTTGGTCCTCATGGTCTTATCAGCCTCTTTACTCGTGCACTAATCTGTTATCATACCGACTGATGCTGATTGGCTGCCTGAGGAGGATACAGATGGATGCAGAGGTGGAAAAACACCAGAGCTAACTCCAGAAGAACCACAGACCTGACTCTGGAGAGGAATCACCTGCTGAACGTTTTAATCTCTCTGATTTCAGACTCTGATGTGAAAGTTGTGAAGCAGGACTCAGACTGTAAACGAGGACATTCTGACGTTTACTTAAGCAGAAAAAAACATCGTCTGAACACGTTTGATTAGATTTTTATAGTCCTGGGAAATGATTTCTGTCGGATTTAAAGCCGATCTTCTCCTCAGGTCATTAGTCGTCGTCCCCTCAGCCGTGAAGGTTCACTCTGAATCTTCTCTGACTCATTAATAACCTCGTCTCTTCATGAACGCTGAGAGTTCCTCTAACCACTGTCTGCTCCTTTTAATGTCTCCACATTTGTTTGGATTTAATAAGAAGACATTTCATCTTCATGCTGGATGGTAAAAACACACACACACCCTCTGCAGACTGTGTGTGTGTAAGTGTGTGTATGTGGCAGGATCTCCCTCAAACACACAGAAGACCTCCTCTCTGACTCTGAGAGCAGCTCTGCATGGTAATCACACACTCTCCTTAATCGTTAAAACACAAACACACACACACACTGACTGCTGCACCAGATCTGCATGACGATGACGCTCCCCGCTGTGAGCTGCATGTCAACGCTCTGCGGCGGCGAAATCACCGGAAACATCATCAAATGAAACAGAGAGAAGCTGATACTCAGATCTGTGTGTGTGTGTGTGTGGAAGCACCATGGGAGCCCACACACACACACACACAGTTGACGGAGCTCTTCTGTGGAGTTTCCATCATGAAGGATGGAGGTTAATGACGGAGAGGAGGACGCCTACAGGGATGGATTTATATAAATGTCAGAAACTCTAATCGATATGAAAACTGAGATCTTCATGTCGGAGTGAATCTGAGGTCTGTTATCCTGAACAGATTTATTTTCTTTTCATGTTCTCAACAATAAAACCTAATTTTTTTAAAATGATTTTTAATCCTAAAACTGTTCACAACTGACCGTTAGAGCTTTAGCTGATTGGTTGATCAATATGCACTCTACGAAAGAGGATTAGGGCCGCAGGAAGAGAAAAAAATACTTACAGGAAGGAGATTAAAGTCGAAATATTGAGATTACAAAATGTCAAAATATTGTGAATAATGTCAAAAGTCGACATAAATAATGTGGAAATTTCAACTTTAAAAATTTTGACTTTAATCTCAAAATGGAAATTAAAAAAACCTCCCTCCTGTAATTATTTTTTCCTCATCTTGTGGCCCTAATCCTCTTTAGTATATATACCCTTATCAATCAATCAAATATATAAACAAATAAAGTGTCTCTAAAAAGACAGTTTTTCTCTGGTCTACGTTGACTCTGCTTCCACTTGTGTTTGGAGGTTTGCTGTAACTGTCACAGACATGTGGTTTTACGTTGTTTACTCAGTTTGGGACACTCCTGTAGTAGTTCTGAATGATTTACACCCCCCTGAATTGATCTAAAACTAGTGTCTTTGGAAAGAAAGAAGATTATGGCCACATGATAAGAAAAAAACAATTACAGAAAGGAGATTACGGTCAAAATTTCAATATCAAAAAAAACGAAATTACGTCAATCGAGTCAAAATTTCGAGATTAAAGTTGAAATTTTAAAAAGTTGAAATGACATAATATCCAAATGTCGTGATTAATGTCAAAATTTCAAGATTTAAAAAATCAAAATTTTTAGTTAAAGTCAAAATTTCAACTTTTTTTCACAACATTTCAACATTTTTATTATTTCGACTCTTTTACATTTTGACTTTAGTCTCGTAATGGAAATAAAAAAACTCTCCCTCCTTTACTTATTCTTTTCTCTTCTTGTGACACTGATCCTCCTTTGTACTTTGGAGACCCTCAATTTCGTGGGTGTTACTTTTTACACAGCTATAAACGTCCAAGCTAATCCGTTAGCATCATCTTCACTCCTCATTTAGCCTCATTACCTGCTGTGATAATGTTGTTTACAGCTGTTATGTACATGTTGATTTACTACAGTTGGAAAATGGAGATATTTACATGTATGATTATATAAACAGAATAAGCGTACATGTGTTTGTTTGAGCTGATTTTTGTGGGTGTTACTTTTACACAGCTATAAACGTCTAAGTTTAGCCGTTAGCGTCCTCTTCCCTCCTCATTATCTTCTGTGATAATAATAAATAATGTGATTTTACAGTTTTCACTCTTTTACTTTCCAGACTCTGTAACTCTGAAGTTTTATCAAACTTTTTAAAGGTCGTACCTCTTCTCTTCTCCACTTCTCCCGGTAGTTCTTGCTGAGTAGGCGGGTGGAGGTGAGGGTTTCAGTGGGTGTAGGATCCAGAGGTGGAGTTTAAGATGGTCTCCTGGAGGCAGACGGCAGCAGATCTGTCAGCCTTCAGCTTTAAACAGAATCTGAAGAAAACCACATTTATTTTAACCTCTGGAAGAACTAAACTTTTACTTTCATCTGGATTATTATTTCACAGAAACGCTGTCTAATCTGAAGATGATGAACTGAGTCTGATTTAAATTAATCCTGTCAGAGGGTTCATCTACAGAAACTGGATCAGATTTAGACCCTGTTGGTTCAGGACCTCTGCGGTAAAGTCCGTCCTCTTCAGGTTTCTCTCTAAATTCAGACTTCTTTCCTTGAAGGCCATTAGTCGCTGTGAATATTCATTTTCTTAAAGTCGAATCGACCCTGACTGAACCGACCCTGAGTCGTCTTTAAAATTCACGCTCTCCGCTCTTCTCTCTTTAATAAATGCTAATTTCATGCTCGCCGTGGCTCCGCTCGCCGGCGTTCACTGAAGTGGTCGGACGGTGAAATCCAGTGACCCCCGATTCACGGCTGACCTCTATTACCGAGAGTGTGTTGTGATTTAGACTCGGAGTCCTTTAAGTCCTCTGGAGTGGGTTTTTGTTTCCTGGTGGCTTTTATGAAAGCGAGGGGATGATCTCTATTAACACCTGAACCTTTAATTTACCCAAAAGTCAAATCAAATGTTATAATCCACCTTTCTGCTCCGTCTCAACGCTCACTCTGAATTATCCTCCTCTCATGAGTCTGGATTATAAAACTGCTTTTGTGCGCCAACAGGACAGATACAGTATCGGACTTTGACAGGCTGACAAACCAGCAGAATCATCTTCTTGAAGTGTATGAGGAGAGATTGTTTAAGAGTCGAGATTCATAACGTCATGATGGACGACTCTTCAGGCCTCACAGTGGAGCAAACGGGCAGAAACCTCGAGCAGAACCAGACTGATGTCAGAGACAGAGAGGACGACGGAGTGAAAACGGAGGTGACGGATGAATGAATCAGAAAAATTAAAGTTTAATTCTGTGTGGAACAAATAATTCATGTTTGATCAGATTATTATTTAATAGTCGGGTCGGGTTCTTCATGAAGGACGTGTGTTTTTGTTTCTGACAGTTTGGTGACACTCGCGTGATTGTCTTTAGACTTGAGGGTATTTTCAAAAACACTTTTCTATCTCGACTGAGTTTGACTTTTACACCCAAATACTCGCTGTTTTTTTTCCACATCAGTTACAGTTAAAGCTTCGATGTGAAGAAGCACAAACACTGAATTATCCTCCAAAAAAAAAAAAAAAATCTCTCCAAAATGGTGTGAATATTCGGTCTGTAGAAATCTGTGTGAAAAAAAAACCTCTCTTACATGTTAAATGCACTCTAAAGGTGTGTCCCAAATCGCATACTTCCATACTAAACACTTGGAAAAGTATGGATAGTATGTGAAAATTGAGTACGCAAAAGGACCTGGATGACGTACTCAAATCGGTCAAGATTTTGAGTATGCGACTGTGGAAACTCGCCGCACTCATTTCATCGGTAAGAATGTCTGCGGCGGCTGTGGTACCAGTGGGTCGGTGACGGTCGACCTGGGAGCTTTGTACAGACGTAAATAATACATTTACACCAAGCGCCACCAGCGTTTATCATTTTGAGTATATTTGTGGTGTAACCTGTTTTGTTTTTTACCGCGAACGGTATCACGAACAATAATGGTAGTTAGCTAGTAGCCGCCGGGTTCCAAAGCGTTACCATCAGACGATACAAACAACATCAGACAGAAACAATAAACAACCAGGAAAGTGACAGAAATGTTTGGAGGACGCACCAAAGACCAAAACCTGAATCAAATAAAAGTAGAAAACAAACTGTGAATGATCAGCTTTATCATCCTGCTCTTCTTCTAAACACTACAGCAGTTTTCTCATTTTAGACGTTTCCAGGCTGAGAGCGTCTCCTTCTTCTTCTTCTTCTTCTTCGGTGGTTCTGGATGACAGAGCTCTGACACAGATTGCCGTTAAAGAGCAGAAAATCACATCCATGCTAACATATCTCCAACACGCCGCGGGCTGCAGCTGTCTCCATCAAAGGCCAATAATGGAGCAGATTAGCATGAAGAGTCACAGAGCAGCTCTAGGATTCATCGCCACAGAAGACGGATTCACTGCAGAAGACAACACAAGGACACGCACGTCCACGCTGATCCGGGATCTTCAAGGATGAAGGTTTTTGGTTTCGGAGCAGATCCACCTAAGTCTGAAATCACTCAGAACGTTCACAGTCACAGTTTAATCGGACTAAACTTAGAATTCGTTTTTTTTTTCACTGAATCCGACTTCTCTCCTCGTCCGTGTATACATGCAGCTGGGAAAATCGAATTACTGACGTGAACGTGTCAAGAGCAGGTCGGTGTCAGACGTCAGAAGTGTCTACAACTGCCGCTGGGCATTTTGGAGAAACAAGAAGATGGAGCATCGTACAGCGTTGTTTTTGTCCGACATGATGGACGCGCTACCTTTTCTAGAGATGAGACCAACGCTACTCGCACGAACGCGCACATGCATTGTCCGATCATACTCCGACTACGCTGGCAGACAAAATCGAATTCCAAGTCAGACAAGTCTTGGTCCGACTATAATCAGAGTTTGGGAACTCCGATTAAGATGTTTACATGACCTTCAGTTGTCCGGTCTTAATCGGAATAAGGCGATAATTCGGTTTTCTTGAGTGTCATGGAAACGGACCGAGTGAGTAAATCCTGAACCAGCAGGTCTGCTTCAGATGGTCCTGATTGTTCACGCTCACTTAAATCCGACCGTAGTGTCTCGCCTGATTACTCCAAACAAGTTCCACCTTAACACCGACACCATCACAGAGATTTGGATCACAGCCGCCCTCTCTGGTTCTGCAGAATCAGCTCCATCTCTCCATTTCCTCCGACTCCAACAAAAACAGAATCAGGCCTGAAATCTGCGGCACATGTTGGCAGAGAGCGGAGGTGTTTGTGCGTAAAACTGGTTTGGCGGGACCTGCTGTGTTTCCTGCGCTAATCGCCAAAACGAGAGAAAGTGAGGGAATCCTTTTAGTGAAGAGAACCAGAACCAGAACCAGAACCAGACCGTCCTCCTGAGTTGGATGTAAATGGTTTCTATTGTGGACGGTGGTGGTGTAATTCTGCTGCTGCTGCTGATAAAGCTTTAGAAGAGTCGTCTCTCTGCTGGATTCTATCAGGAGGAGCTCAGACTCCAGTGTTGGCTCTGGAGGAGACGTCATTCCTCCTTTTGACTCCTGCTGAAACAAAAAAAACACGCAGAGAGAGAGAAGCTGCAGACGGAGACGGATACCAACACCTCGGTGTCATCATGTGGACATACTGCTACAGCTCACAGAGGGGTCAGAGAGTCGGAGTTTAGACGGGGGCCCAGGGGAGACAAAAACCACCCACTGTGGAGGAGGAGGTCCTGGACTTACTGAGCTCTGCAGGACTCCTCCACAACTTCTCTGACAGTTAACCCCTTCATCACTCAGAGTTTGAGAGACACAAGTGAGTTTGGAGAGTATAGGATTGAAGTTATCGATGAAACTTACTGACCAGGATGTGGACGTCTGTCTAAAGGTCCTTACACACCAGCTAATTTGCGGAAAAGCGAGACGAAAATGCGAATATTCGCCGGTCCGAAAAATCACTTTCGCCTATACACACCGGGCGCGAAGCGAATATGCGAATTAATAAATATACATTGTCTTTGGAGCGAGTTCTTTCGTGCCACGGAGGCGAGGAGAACAAAGAAATGGAGTCAACAACATCCTCAAGGGATGATGAGCTCGTTGTGATGCTTTTGGCAAAAAAAATAAAGAAGTGTTTGGATACATCCCATACTTACTTTGAGGAAGGAGATGGGCGATTTCCACACCACCATCCAGTGGTCCTGTACCGTAATTACAAGCCTCTCTCCCATCGTTGCTCTTGGTGCCAGTGGTGGTGTGTGTCGTGTGTGTCGTGTGAACTGCAGCCGCATGGGTCTGTGACGTCATCAACAACATGACTTTTGATTGGCCAGAGATCTAATAGCTCCAGATATTCGCCTGCCAATCTCCGAAAATTTCGACACAAGAGCGAAAAAATAAAAGACGCTTTACGCCCCGCGGAAAATCGCAGCCGGTGTGGAAGCTTGCATTGACTTTATGCTGTTTTAAAAACCGGCAAATAATTCGCCTGGCGAATTCGCGCCTGTTGTGTAAGGACCTTAAAGCCGTGAAGCCGAAACATCGAGCCGTTTACTTCCTTTAGAGGACAAACATAAAGTCTCTGAATGAAGGTGTGAGGAAGAGTTTTTCTCGACCAATCAGGATTCACTGTGACTCCAAACTAAACCTGAGGTCCTTAAATCAGCTGTCAGGATCCACGAATTTGTTTCAGGATCTAAATGATCATCAGGGTTCTCTAAAATAAAACAACCTCTCTCTCTTCCCCCGATAATCCTGTCGGTTTTCACACAGAGTCCAGTTTTTTCTCCAGTCTGGACCATCACAGGTCCTCCTGAACTTTAACAGGTGTGTGTTTTTCTGCGTCCTTATAATCCAGTTTCTGCTAATTTGATGAGAAGTAAAACAAACACACAGAGGAAAAGAGTCCAAATGAGAAACTAAAGAGTCTAATGTGCTGAAAAAAAAGAAAGTCTTTAATATACATCCTTGTCCAATTTTATTTGGGGAACAAATTAAAGACGCCGAGCTCTGAGTGTTTTTGCTTTAATCCTAATAAACCGCTGCAAACGGCCTGAAAACCTTAATAATTAAAATGCAAATGAACTAATAATTCACTACGCTAAGCCAGACATCCTCTTTAGCTCTTTATGCATGCAGTCATTTCCAACTCGGGCAGACTTTAATCAGAAAATCCGCTCTGCTAAATGGGTTTCTGTTCAGTCTGCTGAGGACGGGTTCAAGATTCTGACCGTGTGAAGGTCCGACTGTGACCTGAGGAGACGGAGGGATGGAGGGAGAGGAGACCCTGAGAGGTGAAGGAAGAAAACACAAAGAAAGGAAACACAATGAGGATGAACACAATGAAGGCTCCACGCTCTTCTATGAATGAATGAATGAATATCTCCTTTTTAAAGGTTTTCTAATAACAGTCGAATTATCACACGTGTAACACAGTCTCAGATGAGAACCGAGCCTCACAGTTCACACCTGAAGGCGATCTAATGTTCTGTACATGATGTTTAAAACCCATGAAACCACATGTGCTCAGAGACGGGTTCAAGGATGAGATGAGGTTCAGAGATGGGTGAGGAGGACGCTCTAAAACAAGCTTTAACCCTGACTGAGAAACAGAGAAATACAGTCATCTTTTCATAAACACGAGTTTACATCACATGAACTCAAGATAAAGACTTTGTATCATGTTCTCAAAGTTTAAGTATCTTCTGAAAACATACTTATATCAAATAAGAGTAAAAATCGAGAACATTTAAGGAAGGGTAGTTAGGGAACCGTTAAAGAAGCATCTTTTTTTATTAGTTATTGATGACATTTGGTAATATATCGATATCTCTGTGTTCTCTTCTGTCTGTGTCGTCAACATTTGAACATTTTTGAGCGGTCCGCTCTTTCTGACTGTAAACAAAGCCGTTCTCCACCTCCTCTAACCTGATTGGTTGTGAGGCAGACGCTGCTCCCCCGTGTCGTTCAGGAGCCCAAACAAAGTTAGCGTGCTACAATATCGGACAGTAGAAACCAACCAGAAAGTTCGGAAAATTGTCTGAATCCTCCTTTGGCCACGACTGCCGACACAAGCAAGAAAACAAAGTAAATACCGGAGACTCTGGAGGAATAACGGGCGCTTAAAACGGAGGTAGACCGGACAAGAGCTAAAAAGCCGGGTCAACATAAACGATGGGGGACGCTTGGGGATCTTCGTGACCCTGTAACCTTTCTGCTGGACAGGTAAACCGCTTTAACAAAGTAAGACAAGTGTCTGTAACAGAAGTGTTTCTTGTCAAACGGACCTGCTGTAGCGTGTTGTAGCGCCATCGCTAAACTGTCCTCCCTCGGGTCCTGGACTATGTCACTTTATCCTCGTTGTAGAAGTCCTGCAAACATTGTGTTTGCTGGTAGTCTGTTGGCATCTACAGTAGCACCAATGCTTTTGACTTTCACCTTGACTGGGCCCCATTTGTAATGATCTGAAGTATTTATCTGCATTATATCTGAATTTAACTGGAACGATACGAGCGAGCAGGAGCGTCTGTTTGTGGGCGGGGCTTGAGAGAGAGAGAGAGAGAGAGAGAGAGAGAGAGAGAGAGAGAGAGAGAGAGAGAGAGAGAGAGAGAGAGAGTGTTTCTCTGTGTTGTCCCTTTAACTCTGTGGCTCTAAAACAGTTGAAGTGTGTTTCTGCTCGATGAGGTTTCTATGAGGTGAATAAATGTTGGTTCAGTTGATCTTCAGGACGGCTGCAGCTTTAAGAACTTCTGCTTGTTGGAGTTTGAGAGTCTAAAGTTCACAGAGACGCTCCTCCTCCTGGATTGTAGACAAACTGGATCCCCCCCTCCCTCGTCTCTCTCAGCTCACTCCACTCTGCACTCTCACTTCCTTGTTCCCTCCCCTTCCATCCTCCCTCCCCCTTCAGATCTACAGTCTTGGTTGGCTGTAACCTCCGTGTGCTGAGGTCATATCCTGTTGACTCACTCATGTTGTTGAGATCAGAGCTCAGACTAGTTTCACTTCTCAGGAAATAAAACTCAGTCAGTCAGTCGTCGACAGCGAGTGTTGAAATGGCGCAGAAAGGAGTTCATCTGGACCGTGAGTCTTTCTCTTGTTCCATCTGTTTGGATCTTCTGAAGGATCCGGTGACTGTCTCCTGTGGACACAGCTTCTGCATGAGCTGTATTCAATCCCACTGGGATACTGAGGTTGAGAGGATGATCTACAGCTGTCCTCAGTGCAGAGAGACCTTCAGACCGAGGCCTGTCCTGAAGAAAAACACCATGTTAGCAGGTTTAGTGGAGGAAGTGAAGAAGAGCGGACTCCAAGCTGCTCCTGATGGTTCCTCTGAGGCTGGACCTGAAGATGTGGCCTGTGATTTCTGCAGTGGGAGAAAACTGAAAGCTGTCAAGTCCTGTCTTCAATGTCTGGTTTCTTACTGTCAGATTCACCTCCAGCCTCATTTTGAATCTCCTTCATTTAAGAAACACAAGCTGGTGGAGCCCTCCAAGACGCTCCAGGAGAACATCTGCTCTCGTCATGATGAGGTGATGAAGATCTTCTGCCGCACTGATCAGAAGTCCATCTGTTACCTCTGCTCTGTGGAACAACACAAAGGTCACGACACAGTCTCAGCTGCAGCAGAAAGGACTGAGAGGCAGAAAGATCTGGAGGAGAGTCGAGGAAACATCCAGCAGAGAATCCAGGACAGAGAAGAAGATGTGAAGCTGCTCCAACAGGAGGTGGAGGCTATCAACGGCTCTGCTGATAAAGCTGTGGACCACAGCCAGAAGATCTTCAGCCAGCTGATCCGTCTGATGGAGAAACGCCGCTCTGAGGTGGAGCAGCAGGTCAGATCCCAGCAGGAACGTGAAGTGAGTCGAGTCAAAGAGCTTCAGGAGAAGATGGAGCAGGAGATCACTGAGCTGAAGAGGAAAGACGCTGATCTGCAGAAGCTCTCACTCACAGAGGACCACAACCAGTTTCTGCACAGCTACCCCTCACTGTCAGAACCGGGTCAACCTGCAGACTCATCCAGAATCAACATCCGTCCTCAGAGATACTTTGAGGAGGTGACAGCAGCTGTGTCAGAGCTCAGAGAGAAACTCCAGGATCTTCTGACAGAGACGTGGACAAACGTCTCACAGGCAGTGACTGATGTGGATGTTTTACTGTTAGAACCACCAGAACCAGCAGAACCCAAGACCAGAGCTGGTTTCTTAAGATATTCACAAAGAATCACACTGGATCCAAACACAGTAAACAGAGAGCTGATATTATCTGATGGAAACAGAAGAGCAACAAAGACAGAAGAAGAAGAAGAAGAAGAGTCTTATCCTGATCATCCAGACAGATTCACTGGTAGGATTCAGGTCCTGAGTAGAGAGAGTCTGACTGGACGTTGTTACTGGGAGGTGGACTGGAGAGGGGACAGGGTTGATGTAGCAGTCGTATACAAGACTATCAGGAGAGACGGAGACTCAGAGGATTGTTTATTTGGATTCAATGACAAATCTTGGAGGTTAGACTGTTCTAAATCTTGTTATACATTTTGGCACAACAAAGTCTTCACTCCTGTCTCAGGTCCTCGGTCCTCCAGAGTAGGAGTGTTCCTGGATCACAGAGCAGGTATTCTGTCCTTCTACAGCGTCTCTAAAACCATGACTCTCCTCCACAGAGTCCAGACCACATTCACTGAACCTCTACATGCTGGACTGGGGTTATGGTTTGATGGAGCCTCTGCTGAGTTTATAGAAGTGAACTAAAGAGAATTTTGAGTCCATCAGACCAAAATCATGGACTGAGATCCTTGAACTCTTGAAATGTTCTGGTTTGTAAATGTTTGTGGATCAGTCTCACCAAAAACTCTGGGTTTAGTTCTTCATTTCAGCTTTTTGATTCTTTTCTAAAGATGCTGATTTGGTCGCAGCTTTAAGGACAGTGATTGTGGAGAACTTTGATTGTTTGTATTTCTCATGTTGAAAAATCTTCATCCAGTTTGATATCAACAACATCAAGATGATGGTTTGTTCAAATCACCTTCAGTTGGTGCAGATGTTGAAGGTCTGAGACTTTAGAAAAAAGTGAGGTCAAAATCACAGAAAAAGGACGACCTTATTTCCTGTCCCAAATCCAAGCGTCTAAAGTCTTTCCAGTCGTCCCCAAAAACTCTTCAGATGATCTGTTTCTTTCTCTGTTTGCTGAATATTTGTGTTCATGTGATCGATGGATATTTCTGTCTGCTTCTGTTGGATCAGTGTGTTTGTAAAGACATCTAGAATCAGACTTTGGACAGATCTACATGTTGTTATGAGCTTTTCAATCACTCTAATAATAATAATCACATTCATTAGTCCGACTGTTTGGATGTTTCTGACTCAGCTCAGATTGTGGTCAAGTCTCTGATTGTGGGTAAAAAAATCATAAAAATCCTCAAACTGAGTCACTGAAATCACCTCGTCTGTTTGTCTTTATTGTGTTTGTTTCTGCTGGATGTCATGTTACCGCTCCGTCTGGGTCATGGATCCATGTGGTCTTCCATGTCCCAGATGTGAGTCCTGCAGCTGGATCAGGTTTTCTGTAGAGGACAAAGACAGGAGGCAGGTTGTGTGTCTTTTTGATTTGATGTAACCAGACTAGTCCTGTTGAGATCATCAATCTCTTTTTCAGGGGGGGTCCTGACCAAGAATGGCAGCAAAACACAAACACACTCAGACTCACACAGATCCACATCAGCAACAAGAACTCAGTGTTCATATGAGAGAGTCCAGCTGATCTCTAGTCTAAGGACAGAAGTCTGGACCACGAGAAGAAAACCAACTTAAAGGTGAAGTAGACAGGAATCTGTTAAAGAAGCATCTTTTTATTTTGTGGTTTTTATACAAAAATCTTCTAATATCAGTCAATAGTTATTGATGACATTTGGTAATATAACTATATCTCTCTGTTCGCCCGAACAAAGTTAGCGTGCTACAATATCGGACAGTAGAAACCAACCAGAAAGTTCGGAAAATTGTCTGAATCCTCCTTTGGCCACGACTGCCGACACAAGCAAGAAAACAAAGTAAATACCGGAGACTCTGGAGGAATAACGGGCGCTTAAAACGGAGGTAGACCGGACAAAACTGGTTTCCTGCTCCTGAAGGTTGTTCAGTTTCCCTCTCTTTGGTTCTGATTTACTGATGTGTTTTCTCTGAAATAAACAACAACAGTTCGTCGGCCATGTTGTAAAATCCTCTCCTAACCTGACTCTCCTAATCTGACTCTCTCTAACCTGACTCTCTCTAATCTGACTCTCTCTAATCTGACTCTCCTAACCTGACTCTCTCTAATCTGACTCTCTATAATCTGACTCTCTAATGTGACTCTCTCTAATGTGACTCTCTCTAATCTGACTCTCTATAATTTGACTCTCTCTAATCTATCTCTCCTAATCTGACTCTCCTAATCTGACTTGCTCTAATCTGACTCGCTCTAATCTGACTCTCCTAACCTGACTCTCCTAATCTGACTCTCCTAACCCGACTCCCCTAATCTGACTCTCTCTAACCTTACTCTCCTAATCTGACTCTCCTAACCTGACTCCCCTAATCTGACTCTCCTAACCTGACTCTCCTAATCTGACTCTCTCTAACCTGACTCTCTCTAATCTGACTCTCCTAACCTGACTCTCTCTAATCTGACTCTCTATAATCTGACTCTCTCTAACCTGACTCTCCTAATCTGACTCTCTATAATTTGACTCTCTCTAATCTGACTCTCCTAATCTGACTCTCTATAATCTGACTCTCTCTAACCTGACTCTCCTAATCTGACTCCCCTAATCTGACTCTCTCTAACCTGACTCTCCTAATCTAACTCTCTTAACCTGACTCCCCTAATCTGACTCTCTCTAACCTGACTCTCCTAATCTGACTCTCTCTAACCTGACTCTCCTAACCTGACTCTCTCTAACCTGACTCTCCTAATCTGACTCTCTCTAACCTGACTCTCCTAATCTGACTCTCTCTAACCTTACTCTCCTAATGTGACTCTCTCTCTAATCTGACTCTCTCTAACCTGACTCTCTCTAATCTGACTCTCCTAACCTGACTCTCTCTTACCTGACTCTCTCTAATCTGACTCTCCTAACCTGACTCTCCTAATCTGACTCTCTCTAACCTGACTCTCCTAACCTGACTCTCTCTAACCTGACTCTCCTAACCTGACTCTCTCTAATCTGACTCTCTCTAACCTGACTCTCTCTCTAATCTGACTCTCTCTCTCTCTCTCTGTGGTGTTTCTGCAGGTTCAGCCTCCTGTGACTCCACAGTTTAAATCTTGAGTGCGCGCGTACACGTGTGTCGCTCTGAAGGTCATTCCATCACGTCGGCGCGCTTACTGAAGGCTCTCCGACACGATGACCTCGAGCAGAGCGGCGGTGAAGTGCTCTCTGCACAGATCACAGCTGCCTCTCCTGCGGTGCAGAGGCGACAATAAAAGGAGCGTATAAACAGTGTGATTGCAGATAATTAATGCACACCCATAAACACTTTCATCTCGGCGTGTAAATCACTTTAATGCCTCTGTCTCTCTCCACAGCTGCAGCAGTTCTGCTCTTTTCATTCTGAGCTCGCCGTTTGTTTCCTCGTCTCACTTCTATCTGCTGCGTTTCTGTTTTTCTGTTTATGTTCAGGCTGGATGTTGTTATACGTCTAGACGAGTAAAGCTTTACAACGTCCCCGCTGCTTCGATGAATCTGATCCTATAAAAACACGGAGGCTTTACAGATATTGGAGTAAAAGATGCAGATCTAATGTGGACTTTAAAAGTTTCTTAATCTTGGAAACAGAAAGAGAGAAAAACTCTGTGAAAGTCTGATCACGCTGAGAAAGCAGATCTAAGTTATCATGTCGACCAGAAGAGAAGAACATTTCTACTCAAAATGGACGCATAAAAGTGGGATCATCTTCAATTTGGGGTTTCAATATACTGATGAACTTTAAAATCCACTCACTCGTGAGACCGGCGGCTGTCAGGAATAAAATTGTTTGTTTCTGCAGCTCTGTGGTGTTCATCGAAACAGCTCCAATCCAGAACAGCGGCAACGTTCACTGTACGCCAATTCCTACCAGATCCGTTTGTGAGGCGAATTTCGTATCGAATTACGGACACCGGAATCGTGAGAACTCACAATAACCTGTAGATTCACGTTCAATCGCACGATAACGAGTTGTTTAAGCAGTAGATTGTGTCCTTCCAGAGGAGGAAATCTACTTCTAGAATCAGCATCTCCTCATCCATGGTGTCATCGGGGTGAAATGACGTCTAAAAACCTTTCACTTGTTTGTCTCCGCCCGTTTGCATGGTGTGAAATACGATCCTCCTGAAACACGGAGAATTTTTCCGGCATGCTCTGGCCAGCGATCCGCAGAGGAACGGAAACAAGGCGGTGGAAACTGACATGTTAACTTGAATGGTTATGATCAGCTAAAATCGGATTATACGACCTTTTTGTAGTCATTGTGGATGTGGTGGAAATTGAGGGTAACACTCTTTTGGAAAGAACTAGAAATCATAGATGCTGCATCCTCAGTTTAAAACAACATATTCATCAGGACTAGGGCTGTGAAGTCCTTGTCGGCTGGTCGACTTATTGGTAGAAGCCGGATGTTTTATTTTGTGTCTGTGCCCGACTTCCTTTCCAGCACGGGTTAATCTGTGCTGAATTTATCCGCCATGCTCCGGCGTCCAGAAAAAATAGAACTCTTGAGATCAGCTGAGGAGTCCGGCGATCTGCAGAGGAACGGAAAGAAGTCGGTGTAAATTGACACGTTAACTTGAATGGTTACGATCAGCTACGATCGGAGGATACGACATTTTAGTAGACTTTGTGGATACATTGGAAATCGGGGGTGAGATAATCTGTCCTCACTGACTCTCTTCTTCTTCTTCTTCTTGTGTTATCGGTGAAACAGTCCAGCAGACCACAGACCGTTCTTCCTACTTCAGCACCACAGACAGCGGCAGAGCTGGAACCAGCAGCTGTTAGCTGCTGCAGACACACCTGCTCCTCATTACTTGTTAACCACATAATGATGTCATTAGGGAGCGTGATCCGCCGCTAATGAAGCGTCGGCGCTCTTCAGGTACTGAATAATAATCCTGCAGCTCCGCTCTTCAAACCCTGTACAGTCGGTCTCTCTGAGGAGTCTTTGTCTGCTGAATAACCACAGAAACTCTTTACCAGTGTGAGGAAGAGGAGGAGGAGGAAGAGGAGGAGGAGGAGGAGGAGGCTTTGTGTCAAATTCTTCCAAAAACAAGCAGTCCAAGGTCACTTCATCATCACAACAACGACGACGACAAAAGGAGGTGTGTCTGTGTTTCTGTCCTCGGGGAGCCGGACTTGTTGGACGTGCGTCCTTGGCGTGACTCCAGTTTCAGCGTGAATAGACAGAAACTGTCACACAGAGAAGACTGAGAGTCTCAAGAGAGACACTCGGCGCTCAAGTGTCACTTTGACTCTGGATAAGAGGAAAATATTCAGATGAAAAATCTCTCTCTGAGCTTTCTGACTTTTTTAGTTTGAGTCTGAAGCTGAAATCACAGGGACGGTATCAGGGCCCAGACCTGCTGTCAGCATCATCCTAATGTTTGACCACGAGGGGAACTCTTTATCTCATCATTAGTTCATGTGTAAAACTGTGTCTACCACTCCTGTTATCTCCACACAGCTCCTCTCAAAGACCGATAACCCTGTGGGATTAACGTGAAGGTGCTGGAGCAACAGATCTGCGCTGGAGTCAGAGATGTTCGTTTATTCTGTTAAAGAGATCGAGCTGTTTGTAGAAAATCACAAACAAATCCAAACCTCAGAGTGTGAAATAAAAAACCTTTAACAGAGACGTTTCTGTAGGAGTTCATGACTCAGACTGATGGAGAAGGAGGGTCAGGAGCTCAATGTTCCTCCACAGTCGAGAAGGTAAAGAGGATGTCTTCTACCCAGACCACTTTTACAGACTTGAGGTCGAAGGTCAGGTTTCCTCGCTGTGATAAAATGTCACAACAGAAGTTCCACAGTAAAGTGAACAAAGTAAAGCCGCCTTCCTCCTGCTCCTGTCGGTGTTGTCCTCGCCCACGCCATGGACGGCGGTTAATTGATCCGTACAGTGAGCATCAAAGTGTCCCAGCAGCAGCAGCAGCAGACGCCGCTCTGATTAAAACACAACGTGCTGGTTAAGCTGGTTACAACATCCAAGATCAATAACAGAGGACTTCATTTCTGTCTCTGTCCTCATCCTCCTCGCTGTCACTTCACACGTCTGAAAGAAAAGAGCCGAGACTCTAATGAAGACGACGGTCCTGTCTCTGTCAGTCTGAGCTCTGATCTGGTTTCTGTCTGTCTGAACCGTGTTTGCTGATCATAATCTGACACCTGCTAAAAGGATTTCTCCATTTTCATTCGAGCGTGAGCCCCAAACACGTTCCCTCTGTCCTTCTCCTGCATGTTTACAGATTTACGTGACCCACAAACTCGACTTTTTCTGCACATGCATCAGGACTGGTCAAAACTTTGATGACTTGGTGGATTTAAGGAAAAAACTAAAAAAGGATAATTTCCAAATTTCCACCACAAGGTTTAACACGATCTTATCCTATCGAATCTTATCGTGTTGTATCGAAAATTATGGTTTCTTATTGAATGGTATTGTATTGTATCTTATTAATTCACATCTTATCATATCGAACCTTATCATATCTTATGGAATCATATTGTATTGTATCTTATTGTATCGAATCATATGGGACTTTATCATATCGTATCTTATTGTATATATTTATATTGAATCATATCGAATCGTACATTATCGTCTTATCGTATCAACATATTGTATCAAATGGTACCTTATCGTATCCAGTGGCGTCTTATTGTATCCTACATGCATGACATTTCTTTCACTTATGTATCATGCTAAGACGTACAAAAACTCCTCTTGCAGCCGTACGCTAAACCCAACAGGAAGTCCAGTATTTTATTTTGAAAGGGTGTGGCCGTGTGCTTCATAGTCAGAAGTCTTGCCATGTAACAGGAATTTGTTATTACTCCTTCATACAGTTTTTATTGATTTTTCACATAAATCATTAAAAAGTCCACCCCTAAAAAAAACCACACACTCATATCTTCACTACTGTCACAGCGCCACCATGTGGAAACACACAACACGAACTTTAACATTCAATGTTTGATCTTTTTTAAATTTCAGATGTATTATAACCATCTCAGCCAGAACTCATCTACATGTATATTTTTTTAAACCTATACTGCCACCTAGTGGACAGAAGCAGCATAAACTCCTGCATGCTAATTTAAATAAGCCTTTTTCATTCATGTGTTTCCTTTAAGATTATAACTCTGTCCAAGTTTAAGCTTCACTCTTTCACTCACTTCAAATTAAACATGCAGCACAAGGGGGCGCCGTTGCAGCTGACGCACAATCACAGTTTCTCCATACATGAAAGTTTCCACGCGCACAACGATGTACAGTCCTGATCATCACTAACTGCAGCTTTAATTTGTGATTTTTTACTTTAGTGTTTTTTATTTTGAACATGTTTGTAAAGAATTAAACTAAATTACTCTGTTTTTCTTACATGAAAACGAACTTTGACCTCGACGTGAAGAGTTTGTGGGTTGGCGTTAACTCTTCCTCCTCCTCCTCTTCCTCTGTGACATTAAAAAGTTTTGTTTTATTTTCTTGTTTGCAGACTCTAAGAAGAAGAAAAAGCTTTTTTTCTTCCTTCACTTTGTTTTAAAGCGTGTCTAAAATTGCAGCTGTCAAATCATTTATGTAGTCCGACTCTGAGTGGTGGTTAGAAATCTGCGTCGCCATAGCAACAGTCAGGAAAATAACCAAGTGACTGTAAAGATGCTCAATTATCCAAACATACAGAACGATGCAAACTAATTATTCCTGGAACATACGAGATAACAGCTTCCTCCAGAGGTCAGAGGTCGAACCAGAGGAGCTTCATGTTCTTCTGGATCCATCAGCTCGTTATGTTTGCTGACGGGCGAAATCAAATCTAAATGCATGCCCACATGTTCCATCAGCAGAGTTAAACGCTCACGTTGGGTAATGTTGTGTTTGGACCTGTGCACAACTCAGAAATGTCACAGTCTGCATGGAAATCAGGAGCGCCCACACGTAGAGAAGCTGTATCTTCTCATTAAAGGACAAACAGCAGAAAGTGTCCAAGTGAGAACCGGGGCAGCTGAGGACTCAGGAGTCAGGACTGAGGTCCAACAGGACCAGAAAAGACAGGCATTTAAAGGGATATTTCAGCGTAAAATTAATTTAGGGTCAAACACACCATAACACCAAGTCAGACACCCCCTCCAGAGATGAATGTTGCCAGAGTTGTTCTAACTCCTAAGAAAACGTAAGCGGGGGGCGTTTCTTCACTTCTGTAGTCTATAAGCTGGGCCAAGAAACTTCTACTGTAGTAAAATAAAAAGGTAAAGGTGTTTTTATTGAGCCGAATTATCAATAAAATCATGATTTTGTTAACAGGTATGGATTTATGTGCTGTCGAGTTAATATATTTGAACAAGAGCACAGTAAAGTTAAATCAGCTAATTTTCCAATGAGGTTCTGTTACTAAATGGAACTACATTATGATCTACTCAGGTTAGTACATATAGGGCCCCAGCCATAATACTAGACACTAAACATCTTTTTAACTTTGACTCATTTCTTTAGCAAAGAGACTAAACACAACTCACCTACTCTCTTCCAGCAGACGCTTGTTTGTAGTCCATTACGGACTACAGCGGGGTGCCGCAGCCCAAGGAAGAACATTTATGATCATTTCTTTATCATTTCCTTGAAGTAATAATCACCATATTAATCATTTTACAGACACGGTAGTTCTTCTGTCTTAGCGTCTCGGTCTGATTGTATTTCCATGAAGAAATTATCATAAATGTTCTTCCTTGAGCTGCGGCACCCCGCTGTAGTCCGTAATGGACTGACTTTACTGATAGAAATAAGCATAAAACTAACGTCTGTTTCCATCTCTTTATAAAGAAATAAATTAATTTTGTTGGATCAAAGTTTTTTTTGCAATGGTTATTGACAGACGAAGCCCTAGTGTTTTTTTTTTCCACTGCTTTAAAGGGCGATTACAAACTTTTTAATGAGATACAAAGAGGAGCAGAAGAGTTGAAGTTTCAGAGTCACGAGGCCGCCCTGAAGTCATCGTGGTTCATACAGAAGAAGAAAACAAAACCGCTCCTCCATTTTAAATTAAGAAAGAGAGAAAACAACGAGAAAAACAGGGAAGGTCACAAACCTTCAGAGACGACAAGAAAAGAAAGGAAATGAGGAGGAGAGAGGACAAAAGAGCAGCGAGGAAGGAGGGATGATGGCGTGGTCTTCAGCCCTCTCATTATAAAGGTCATTAGTGTTTCCTCTCTCCTCTGGGCGCTGATTAATAACATCATTTAACAACGACCCTCCGTTTCAAAGTTTGGAGGAAATAAGGTCATCAGAGAGGAAGTTCACGCCGCAGTAAACAACCGACATAAATATCAGGACGATTTTTAACCCTCTGAATGAGAGAAAAGGAAAAGTCAGACCTGGATCATGGTCTTTGAGAAACCAGCTCCTCGCTCTCTAGATCTGGTGAGGAGTCGCAGAAATCTACATTCACAGATTTCAGTTTGATTATTCGTCCTTGTGGTTAATTTCATAAACCTGGCGGCGTATTCAGCTCTCGTTCGGCGGTACACCTGGCCCCGTTTAAATTTTAATTCCTCCTCTCGGCGCCGTTCATTATGTCTGTAATTGTCCTGTTTCTTTAGCGGCTGACTTTGCCTGCAGCTCAGAGAGTCCAGGGCTGCAGAAACACAGTTAATGACGGACCGAAGGTTCAGCAAATTCACCGACTCGGACTCTTATACGGCGTGTTTTTACAGGCCAAAACTGATGGTTCCCAGTTCCTCCTGGATGATCCAAACCACAACCTGGAGAGGATTTTACACTGAAGGATGCCCGGACTAAAACTGGAACACTGAGGAGTGATGTTACTGCTTTAGTAAAATCAATAAAGACAATATTTATCCGGACATGATGCAGATTTCTGCAGAAAAGTAGAGAGCTGAATGCGTGACTTTACGTCTATTGATGCAGAGCTTAGATGTATTTGGTTAAAATCTTGGTTAATTTTTTAAAACTCTGCGCTGAAGGATATTTTTTCTGGTTTTTCCAACATTTATGAGCATAAAGAACCAAAGTGAGGCGCTGAGAAACTGGACGTTCTTGAATTTGCCCACTATCCTGGCAGTACATACTGATTTACCCAAAATGTAGAATACAGTATTCGGTAGGTGAACAAATGTGAAATTTGTAGTTTGCCAAAGATACCCGGATGACGAACTGATTCTGGAAAATTTCACAGTATGCATCGGGCCAGTCTGCTTCACCTACTGTTACCCACAATGCAAAGCACCTAGTGGAGAGCAGCGAAACTTTTCACCGGTGCGTTCATTTTCTAAGAAGATTTTTCCTTCTGACAGCCTGTCTTCTTCTTCTTCTCCTCCTTCTTTAAAACCACTGACAGGAATGTTCTCTTATCATACCTCTGCAAACATGAGCGTGTGTTTTAGAGCTGCCACCTCTGACCCGTGTATGTATCTGTTATGGAGAGGGTGGTATCGTCTGCAAAGAGAGGAACATTGTTTTAGTTTTTCCAACAACATCATTCATTTTCATAAAAAAGATAAGTGGGCCAAGACCAGATCCCTGAGGTCCTCCTGCAGGCTGACAGCTTGTTGATAAACAGAGTGAAGGGAAATCTCAGAGGTGGAGTTTAGATGTAGCTCAGTTATCTTTTCACTTAAGCAGATGGGACCTGAATCGCTCCTGAACCTGAACCTCCGCTCTAAAAAGATAAGGTGTTGAGACGCTGTAAATCTGGAAGTGTTAAAAACCTGAAACTAAAGCTTGGATCGAAGAGAGGAGAGTGAGAAACAGAGAGCATGTGGAGCAGCAGGTGGAGGGAAACACTTGGTATTAGCAGCAGCGGTTCAGCCCCGCTTTCTGTCTCCACCTGGGATTCCCGCCTTTCCCCAACACTCTGTTTAACGCCTCAACAGTTATCCGATCCTTAATCAAGCCTGCATCAAATCTACTCCCACAGAGCTCTGTTCCTGTGTGTGTAAGTGTGTGTTTAAGTGTGTGTGTTAAAGTGTGTGCCCTGCAGCGCTAACTCACAATAAGGTCTCTGTGTTGAGTTTTAGCGTTAAACCCGCGCTGATAGAGAGCTCGACGTCTCCGTGGGGGAAATGTTGTTAAATGATTTTACTCTGTGCGTTGAATTAAACATGACAGGACTCCCCTTCCTGAATACATAACAACAACAACAACAACAACAAACAGCTACACATCCTCTTCACCGCTGCTGCTGCTGCTGCAGAGGCTGCTGTAGACAAAGTCAAAGCTGCTGAACTGAAGTGCTGCCGGCAAAATAGAAACTCCTCCTCTAAAATTTACTCTGATGTTTGTGTTTCACTTGATTTTTCTCCAGCTTCTTCCTCCGTCTGAACATCCAACCTGACAATTTCCAAATTTGTTTTACTGGAACGAAGTGTCGTTTTTATGTTGGCACATGTATACATGATGTTTTTGTAGCTCCAGTTTCTTCCTCCGTCTGAACATCCAAGCTGACAATTTACAGATTTGTTTTACTGGAACGAAATGTCGTTTTTATGTTGGCACATGTTTGTGAGGCAAATTTTGTGGCGGGTTACAGACAGCAGGAATCGTGAGAACTCACAAGAACCTGCGAATTCTGGCGATCCGCAGAGGAACGGAAAGAAGTCGGTGTAAATTGACACGTTAACTTGAATGGTTACGATCAGCTACGATTGGAGGATACGACCTTTTCGTAGATGTTCACATCCGGAACTGCAGCGATTTTTGCTCACCGTTATATACCAATCTGGATACGTCCATGCTTCGCGTTCCTTTCGTCCGTATTTCTGCGAGTATCCTTGAAGTTTATGGATACAGGCCAGACGGCGCAGTACACCGGAAACCATGGGGGCAGTGTTGCTCCTGTCACTACCTGATACGCATCTCTAAAGAGAAACGAGAAAGACAATGGCGGGGCTTTTTGAGGATTGTTGTCAATTTCTCTCATCGGTACGACTAGAAAAAAGAATTCTCCGTCCTCCAACAGCGAGGCATTTATTCGCCTGACCGACCACCGCCTCCTCCTACGCTGCCCTCGTTTCTGTGTCCTCTATTATCATTAGCCTCTCCACAGTCGCCATGTTTCTTTTTGTTTGTTGTTGTCAGAAATTTTGACTCCGGCCTGCCCCCTGGTGGATGCAAAGCACGCATGGAAGTATGTGGGCAGTGACGGAACCATTGTTTGAAACGGACGCGTACATTTTCATACGTATGTCGAGCATAAATGAGCCTGAAGAGTTAGCCAGGAGGGGGACTTGGTAAGGACAGTATTTCAGGGCTTTTCTGGATCTCAGGATACCAGCGGGCAGTGTTGCTCCTGTCACTGGCAGAGTTCCTGTCTCACTGAATCCTACCTGCTGAGTTACTCACTTTCTTCAGATATCAGAGGTTAAATACACCTAAACAAGAGTCTTTTATTGGTTTGATTACACAGTAGAGTTGACTCCATCTTTAACGGTCAATATTCCAGCTGCAGGTTTCGGATTAGATCCCTGGACACTCCCCTGTAGATGCTGCACCTGTATGTTTTGCTGATCCCCTCTCGTCCTCGGAAAACCTCGCCTCATTTACCCGTTTCTCTACGGCTAAATCCTTTCCTGTGCACTCGACTGGGTTTGAGAAGTACAGTTATTTGTTAAACAAACTTTTCCAGCTCCTGTTTACTTCCTAATGATCCTCTGACACGGTGAAATACCACAAGCAGTCATCTGTCTGCGTTATAATTAACCAGAGAGCCAAATGTGAGACGACGGGAGGGATATGGATGTGAATATCTGACAACGTTACGGCTTGTTTCCAGAGCTAAACCAGAGGGAATGAGACCCACTGTTACAGCTGATGGTTTGTGTGCTCCACCGGGGCCGCGATTATGTGTGTAAGTGTGTTCAAGTGTGTGTGTGTGCTGAAAGTGTCATCCTTCAACAAACCGCACCGAGAATCTGTCAACATGACAGTAAAGCGGAGCTCAAACTGAAACATCTGTCAACACGCCGTAAACAAACTCCCCCTCCCTCCTGTTTCAGCGTCAGCTCAGGCTGGATAATGTGCCGAACAAGACGTTAAAAAGGAAGATGATTACAAGCTCCGGAGGAATAACAGACGCGCTGGATCTCAGGCTAATAAAAGGAAATAATGAGACTTCAGATTCTCTCAATCTGCAGATTTGACCGAAGGAATCCGTTTTTAGATCCATAATCTGATCAGATATCCAAGACCTCTTTCAGAAACTGAAGAAATCTGCCTCCATCATCACATTAGACAAAATGAGAGACAGAAATAATCTGAAAAACAGATTCAAGTCTCCTACAGTGACCTTTAGACAAGTAACAAGCCGAGCATTTACAGAGCGAGAAGATATTAAACAGACTGAGAGACAAAATGTTCCTGCTCCTCAGTCTGTTTGTCACCCAGTCCTCATGCTGAGGAAATGGATGTAAATAGGCCAATTAGAGCTATTTATGTGGAACAGGTCTTTAAATGTCTGAGGGGGGTGAAGAAGTGAGTGTCTGTGTGCATCTGCAGCACTTTAAGGGTTTTAGAGTCCTTTAGCCGAAGTACACAACCAATCTGCAGAGGAAAACAACTCCATTTAAGAGGCCAAGGACCAAACGCTGGGAGAGGACCACGAGGACCTCCGGAGTCTCAGGTGGTCCGCTGGTTTGTTGGTTTGATGTTTGGTTTACTGGTTATTTGATTGGTTGGTTCATTAGTGACTTGATTGGTTTGTTGATTGGGTTGGTTGGTTCATTGGGAAGTTAATTGGTTGGCTGGTTTGTTGTTTGCTTTATTAGTTATTTGATTGTTCGTTCCATTAGTGAGTTATATGATTGGCTGGTTGTTTGGTTAATTAGTGAGTTAGTTTGGTTTTATAACTTGGTTCGGATGTTTGTTGGTTGATTAGTTTGTCTGATTTTTGATTTGTTGTTTGATTTACTAGTTATTTGATTGGTTGTTCCATTAGTAAGTTTATCAGTTGGCTGGTTGGTTTGTTGGTTAGTTGTTTGCTTTATTCGTTAGTTGGTTGGTTAGTTCAATAGTTTCTTGGTTGTCTGATTGGTTGGTTGCTTCATTAATAAGTTGGTCGATTTGTTGCTTGGTTCGTATGTTTATTGGTTGGTTCGTTAGTAACTTAGTTGGTTGGCTGATTGGTTGGTTTAGTTGGTTCGTTAGTGAGTTGGTTAGTTTGTGGCTTGGTTTGTAAGTTTGTTGGTTCATTAGATTTTTGATCGGTTGCTTTGTTGTTTGCTTTATTAGTAAGTTAGTTTCTTGGTTGCTTCATAATTAGTTGTTTGGTTTGTTGTTTGGTTCGTATGTTCGTTGGTTAGTTTGTTTTTTTCTTGATTGGTTGATTTGTTTGTTTCTTTGGCTGACTGATTCTAGATTTCGAGGCCCTATCATGACCCAAAAACTCACCTTTTCTTATACTGAGTCGTGTACAAATATCTCTGAAGCGCCATTTTTATTTCAAGTATTTATAGATTCAGTCAAGCCAACAGAGTTTAGAAAGCATGTTCCATTAACTAATGACAAACAGCAAAATGCACATTAAATATCTGATATTATATCCCTTTAAAGTTTAGTTCGTGTGAGTCTGTGTGAATTTGGAGATGTGCTGGGTTGATGGTTTGGTTTGAGTTTGTTTGGCAGAAGAATCAGGAACTCTCGAGTTAGCTGGATTCTCATGAAGTTAAACTCTTCACCTTACACTATAACCCTCATGTTTTTAAAGTCTAAACATTGATCCTGGTTGTAAAATAAACCAGGACCATATCTCTCCCCCCAGCTGTGACGCGGTCCTGTATCTCGACTCCGATCTCAGGGCTGGTTTTTCTCTCCGGCACAATGACTTCTTTACTCCCGTGTTCATCGGTGGCTCATCAAAAGGATTCGATGACTGAGCTTCGACCTCCATGAACGTGAGAGAGTAAATGTGTGTGCGCTGGATCTCCCTGAGGAGCTCCATTCAGGGAGGCGAACACTCGGCTCAGTGTCCCGCTCCGTTCATTGACCTCCTGCCAGCCGATGGGACCTGCTCGCTCTTTTATTTTCTCGCAGACACAAAAACACGCTTTCTTCTTCCTCTCCTTCTATCTGCAGGTTTATCCTCTCTCCATATTGGAATACGTTTTCTTTGACTCTCTTTCTCTTCTTACCCTCCTCCTCCTCCTCTCTTTCTTTCTTTTGATCCTTTTGCTTCAATCGTTCCCTTTGTGCCGAGACACATTACTCTGCCGACAGAGCCCTGAATCCTCGAAAAGATCCGATCTATCTCTGAGGGTCTGGGGTCCTTTAGGGCTGGACACAGGAGGGACCAGATAAACCTTCAAACACACTAAAGTAAACAGACGGTTTCTGCACATGAGCTAAAAGCATCATGGGAAAGTTTCTCCACGGTCATGGTTAATGAAGCAGCAGCAGCTCTGATGAAGATCAGCTGATCAAACCGGTCTGTGAAGGTCCAGGACTCTGATGAGATCTCAGTTCTCAGTTTTCTCTTTCACAAAGACCAGGAAACAGAAACAGAAGAAACGAGGACCTGAGGGATCCTGAGAGACCAAGTCTGAGGACGCTTTTACTTTCCTTTATCTCCTTCTTCTTCTTTCCTCCTCCCTATCTCTTCTTTCCTTCCCCTTTCTCCTACTTCTCTCCTCTCTTCTTCTTCTTTCTTAATTTCATTCTTTTCTTCCTTACTCCCTCTCTTTTCCTTCTTACTTCCTTTCCTTTTTTTTCTCATTTACTTTTTCTCTTCCTTAATTCCTACTTCCTCATCTTCTTTTCTTTCTCTCCTTCCCTCCTTACTTCTTTCTTTACCTCCTCCTTTCTCTCCTGTCTCTTCTTCTTCTCCTCTTTCTTCTTCCTACTTTCTTCTCTTCTTCACTTTCTCTCCCTTTCCTTCCTTCCTTCCTTTCTCTCATTCTTACTTCCTTTTCTTTATTTTCCCCCTTTTCTTTCTTTCCTTTCTCTCCTTCGTCCTTCCTTTTCTTTCTCTCCTTCCCTCCCTCCTTCCTTCCATCTATCCTTTTCTTCCTTCCTTCCTTCCTTCCTTCCCTCCTCCCTCATCTCCCTCCTCCCTTCCTCCTCCCTCCTTTGTCATCATTGATTTTCTTTATGTGGCCCCCTCACTCAATTCCTATTTTTTTTTTTAAATACTATTACCTACCGGGTCATACACACAGTATTTTGCATGGGAGAGGAATTGGTGATGCTACAAAATATAAACCAGGGAATTGTGTGATGTGTCTGTATGAGTGTTAACTCCCATGCATGTCTTAAGATAGCCCCCCAAATGTGCACAACATCAATCAACAGGAACTACACGTTTAAATTCACAAATATTCACAGGATAAAGAAATCAGATAAGAGAAGAAAAAAATAGTTCTTAATACCCGGGATTTTATAAATCAGTCTGTGGTACCACGTACGTTGGCGCGCTGTTGGAGCTCTTGTGTGGGTGTGATTTCCAAGTCGTTTGTACTCACGGTCCCTTGCAAATTTAGTGTGTTGTTATAACCATCATGGACGCACAGAATGGAAGAAGGAGAAAGTCGGTCCGCGTGCCGAAGTCCCTGGGCGCGGGATCTCTACTGCCGCAGCAGGAGTGGCCAGTATCCGAAGTTCACTGACAGCACAAAAAACAAAACTTCACATACACGTACTCACTGACAACGTGCCTGAGATAACAATAAGCAGTCTGATACTCACTCAGGAACCTGAAATTAACACCCGACCTCGCACGTGCATCCTGACTCCAGTCTTCCTCTGCTCCTTCACCGTCGATGCTAGTCAGCTAACAATTTAGCATATTTACGAACCTCGCCGAATCTACCAACAACACTCACCCGCACGTCTCGAAACAACCACACACCCCCGCCACGAGCCAACACACCGAGCCTCAATCCTGTTGGGTCTTCGTTTAACACTTAACAAACGAAAGAACAAACTTTCACACGATTATTTCGCCTTTTCTCGGCATCGCTGGAGCATTTTTTCCGCTCTGTCAATCACCGCTCTCTCTTACCGAGATGAAAACCCCGCCTTCCCAAAATCTGACAGGTCCCACTCCTCACCCAAACTTGACAATGATTGGCGATTCGCTCGTGACGCCTGTCAATCACGCAATACAGGGACAACCGGACATGAGGCGTTCAAGGTCTGCCTTAACCGCGGGATATTTGGAAAACTTTAACAAAAAAATTACATTCCTGAGATTATGAGGCGATATCTTACATAATCAACAAGAAAAATAAGAGCTATCACAGAATCAAACAACTTTAAGAATGAACTCAAATTACTAGGGCACTACATTTAAGACCTACAGAAACGCTCTCGAACCCGTCCTTCAAACCCAACAGGAAGTCGGCCATTTTTAATATGAGTTATAATTGAACGAATGTCATCAGATCAAGTGAACCCCTGAACACATCTATGTACCTATATCTAGATATAGATTATGGAGCAGGAGTCTAGTTTGTGAATGTCTATACTGAGGAAAGTCAAAGTCAAACCGTGGGACTGTCAGGATGTGGGTTCCTCTTCAGTCACAGACCAGTTCCTGCTGAAGTCCCAGTTTAAAGTTCTTAATAAGAAGGAGGACGATGTCTGTAAACCCGACTCTGCTCCGTCTCTTCTTCACCACGAGGAAAACTTCTAATCGGCTCTCTTTTCCCGACAGACAGATGGCACTGTGTGGGCTGGAGGCGGCGCGGAAAGGTCACGGCGAGAGGAAGACGAAATGATTTTGTTTTTTCTTTTTCTCTGAAATGTCGTCTGCTCGTCTGATTTTTATTTTAACTCCCTCCCACAGAAAGTTGTCTGTCTCTGTGGCGCTGCAGGAAACTCTTCGGAGGTTTAATTAAGAAGATAGAAACATAAACCCGACAAAGAGTCAGTGAAATCGCTGAATAACCTTTATGAACTGTGGCGTCTGGCTGAATAATACGTCTGCGTCTCTTTAAATTAAGTACACTGACGTTTCCTTTGACTTTACATTTGTTTACATCATGTCAGCTGGACGAGATTCAATTAGCGCCTTTTTCCCAGAGTGAACCCGTTGACAGTGAGATGAGTCTGAACCTGGAGGACCGGCGTTTTAATGTCAGTAACAGCTCTGTCTGCGGCGGTGATGATGGCGTCTCATAAACACGGATGTTGTTCTGATGGTGTGAGGTCTGCTGGGAAACTTTCTGACTCATTAGATCCTTTTCTATGTGACCGTCGTCTCTGCTTACCTCAGCCTGGAGCTTTCTGAGGAGGTCGTGTTGAAGGCCAACTTCTTCTGCAGATGATTTCTTTAAGGTCACGATGGTGGACGTACGCCGCAGGTGTAGATGCTGAAAGTAAAGAATAAAGTCAGCAGGTATGGAGATCAAAAGCATGAAGCAGACCGCCAAAGTGAAACCTGAGCTCCTATCTGTGGTTATCTGACCGTCATCTGTCTCAGACATGATCATTTTATTATTGTAATGAAGTGACGGTCATTAGTGGAGTCTAACCCTAAATTTCCACTGCATGCGGAATGATGGCGATTGTTGCCTTTCACCAATTTCTACCAGATGCGTTTGTGACGCTAATTTCAGACAATGGAATCGTGAGAACTCACAAGAACCCCCGAATTCACGTTCAATCATGCGATAACAAGTTGTCTCTATAAAGACAGACACATAGACATATAAGCAGTAGATTGTGTCCTTCCAGAGGAGGAAATCTACTCTCTCCAGACCTGTAGATCTAGGGTGACCATAATTTGAATCCCACTATGATGCGGGGTGGAGTCACGGAGTTGCACATAGTAAATTTTGAGAGTTTTTCAGGTCGGGTCAAGTGTTTTTTTTTTTACACACTTCTAACTCAACACAAACTCAACACTTTCATACAAAACCGCAGACATTTGAAGGATTTTATAAACTCCCCGGACAGGCCGGACAACCCCCCAAAAAAGAGGACATGTCAAAATAAAAGAGGACGCACGGTCACTCTAGTAGATCAGACACTTTAGGATTTAGGATTGGGAATTAACCATAGTTAAGTTAAGTTAAATATTTATCACTATCGAGTGTTTTATTTTGAAAAAAAGCCGGATGTTTTATTTTGTGTCTGTGCCCGACTTCCTTTCCAGCACGGGTTAATCTGTGCTGAATTTATCCGCCATGCTCCGGCGTCCAGAAAAAATAGAACTCTTGTGATCAGCTGAGGAGTCCGGCGATCCGCAGAGGAACGGAAAGAAGTCGGTGTAAATTGACTAGTTAACTGGAATAGAAACGATCAGTGGTGATTAGCGCTGATGACCTTTTCGCCACTTTTCTGTATGTGGTGGAAATTTGGGGTAACCGAGAGATTCCACTGGATCCGGAACAAACAAAGTTTTTGCAAGATTACCAATATTTCTTGTGAGACTGGACGCGATCTCATGAGATCTTGCGTGTTTGCCCTTGAGACACTGAATGAGATCCACCGATCGGGGTTTATAAACACCCACCTCCTACAACTCTGGAATCCCCTATCATCAAGTTAAGAACAGTTCAATGTATTGACTTTATTTTGCAATTAACCTGATATTTCACTTTATAGCCGCATGAGGTGATGCGCCGTGCTCCGGCGTCCAGCAAAAGTAGAAGACTTGTGTATCTGATCTGCTAGAGTCGATCCACAGCGGAGCCGGACAGCGGACAGATTGTGTTGAATGACACACATTGATTATAATGCTTGTGTATTTGATCAGACCGCCGTTCTGGATCCTGTGGGTTTCAGCCGTAAACTGTATTACAGCCGCTTACATCACCTGAGAGACGACAGATTGTGGCGCAGGTTTTAATCCAGAAAATGAAGGTAAATCTGAGTGTCGGTAAAAGCAGCACAGGTATGAGGACGCTCAGGCTCTGCTGGTGTTCGACACAGACCTGTTGATCTGCAGACTTCTGCGTTCATGACCGTGTCTGAGTCTGTTAGTGAATCCTCGATTTGAAACGTTTTTTTAAACAGTTTTTACGTGTTTATCTTCTAATATCAGCGTCCTCCATCATCATCTTTCATCCTTTCTCTCCTTTTTGCTAATTTCGTCTTTATTTCCAGCCAAGCGCTCTTGAATGCGCGCCATGACAAAGTTATGATTTCCAATCTGCGCAGCTGAAGTTTGTGAGATACAATTAGCCAGCAGGGCCATTAGCCTGCCAGTCAGGCCCCGACCAGGCGAGTCCACGGGGGCCTCTGGCTGTTATTTCTCTGCGGGGACTAATGAGGCACGTCAGAGCCAAGAGCGGCGCCGCTGACAGCCAACGCCACACGATTCATTTCTTTGAACGTAGAGACAGGGACGACAAATCATCTGTGGGGATGATTACAGTCATGATGAAGACGGCGGGTATTTCCCTCATCTTTTAGTGGTCTTTAAAGGTCTTCATTAGAAAAACAGCCCTCTGGATCCAGAGAGGAAATTAATCGACACCTCTCCTCCACAAAAACCGAGCAGAGCAGCTATTTTTAAAAACACGTCTCTCAACCTTCAGAGCCAAAACAGCCCCGGCAATTAACACGCTTTCCTTCAGCCTCTTCAAAAGGGATTTAGTCTCTTTTGTCAGATTTCAGCCTTTGGACTGAGCTGAAATGAAGGGATTGGGTTTAATTTACAAGGATGTCTTTGTGTGTTTTGGATTAGCATATTTGAGGAAGGTCAGGGCTGAAGAGGACGTTTGAAAGGCCTGATCTCTGCGCTCTCTTGATCAGGGGCTCTGTAAACAGGATGTGATGACAAACGGCTCGACTCGACCCTTAATATCAGACGACGAGATTCCCATGAGCTGCAAACGAGTCGACCCAAACATCTACAGAAAAACACGAGGGGCGGATTCTCAAAGACGAGGAACCAACAGATGATTACTGAGTTCTTACAGCTCAGAGAGGACGTCGACAGGAGGACAGGTGTTCAGAGTTCACTCAGGTACAAGATCCAGGTCCACTGAGATCCAAGTGTTTCTATCTTACCCGGACTAATTTTATCTGATTTTATCTGCTGACTGTTTTTTTATTGTTTTGCCTTGTTGCTTGGTTTTTACTGTTATTGTTGTCTTTTTGTGCACTTTGAGATTTGTTTTTAAATGTAAAGTGCGTTACAAATAAAATCTATTATTATTATTATTATTATCTTCTTCATTGATATTCCAGATCAGACGCTCAGACTGCGTCAAATGAGGGATAATGACACTAAACTGTGAAACATAGAGATACTGTCCTGTTCGAGCTGCTGCAGGATTTTAGCCAAAAATAAAGACCTGATTCTTTTCTCTGAAAACTTGATTTTCGATTTTTTATATCATGACAACTTCACCAAACTTCACTTTAATAAAAATAAAAAGTTTTTCTATCGTCTCTCTAAACCAAACCACTGAAAACCATGTAGTGTATATGCTGAGCCAGTAAGAGGCGCTGTAACGCTGCAGAGGAAATGCACAAAAGACAGAAGAAGAGTACAGAGCATGTGTATAAAAGTTGTTTTGGCGCCATAAAAGAGTAACCCCCGATCTCCACCTTCATCCTGATCGTCTCCTAAAAGGTCGTATCCTCCGATCGTAGCTGATCGTAACCATTCAAGTTAACGTGTCAATTTACACCGACTTCTTTCCGTTCCTCTGTGGATCGCCGGACTCCTCAGCTGATCACAAGAGTTCAATTTTTTCTGGACGCCGGAGCATGGCGGATAAATTCAGCACAGATTAACCCGTGCTGGAAAGGAAGTCGGGCGCAGACACAAAATAAAACATCCGGCAAAAATCGCTGCTGTTCTGGATCGGAGCCGTTCCGTATGCGGTGAAATTTGGGGGTTACTCTGTGTGTCACATGATCGTTTCCAGAGATGCAGATAGACATCCACACGGAGATGAAATGGTCGTCGTTTACAGATTTATTCACTCTCTGACCTGTTTTCAAAAAGTACCGTTTACAGTCACCTGAAACGCTGATACAACAAAAACTTTGCGTTTCCTCCTGAATTTGTTTCCGTGGTGACGGGTTCATACCGCCTTCAGACAGACTTTACAGCGGGGAGTGGTTTACTCTTCATCTGAAACTGTGAAGTCGTACCAATTCAACACGACTGACTCGCTCTTGTCCTATTTAACCACGAAATTATCGCCTTCTTTAACAAACGCCATGTTTGTTTACACTGGTGAGTGTGGGAAGGGGGAGTCTACGGTGGCCTGGAGGTGCGAGACATGATAGAGAGGAAAATCGATTTGAGGATTTTAACTTTTCTAACATCGTCATAATTAAATAATCTGATTAAAATCGATGAATCGTGCAGCTCTATGTCCCATCACTGCTGAGTTTAAACATGTGAAAATATTAAAACATGACTTTGAAAATGAGCTCACTGACTTCAGATGTTAACTACAGATACAACAATCCACTGGAGAGACCTCCAAAAGGTGGAGGGTGGGTGGGGTTTGTTTATTTTGGGGGTAAATGACGGATATGGGACTGAAAACCAAATCACTGTGTTAGTCCTGACTTTATAAATGATGATTGAGAAAATGTTTTTGTTTTCTTTCATTTAGTTGAACTGCCCCTTTAATCTTGTTGAATTCTTTCCCTTTAACAGTCCCGGACACTCTCCATCTGAATGATATTACCTTAATTAATGGTTAATTACAGTAAATAGCAGCCGTTTAATCATAATTAGGATCCTGAACTGTTGAATGTCAACATAGCGGTGTCACTTCTCATTTCTCTGTTTATTCATTACAAGAGAGAAAAAAAGAAAAGGACGGATGACGGAGGGCGAGTGTTTCTCTCTCTGTGGTCGGGTCAGGGCATTAATTAATCCCACCGTGACAAGAGAGGGAATATTAAGCAGCTCATTAGACCTGACGGGACATAAACGAGTGTGAGGAGGAATAAATGAGCGTCTCTGCAACACCTTTGAGGAGAATTCAAGATGTGTGTTTTTCTGCTTCAGAGAGGAAAGAAGAGGAAGTGATGATGAAGAAACAGAGAGAAGAAGAACAAACGCTGACTTTTTTCACTGTTTGCCTTCGTGGGCCTAAAGCTGAAATCACCCATTAACCTTTTGAACCTGCAGCCGCCGGAGCACAAACAGCTCGGCTCTGATTCACTGCAGTCATTAGCGTCTCCATTAATTCCTCAGTCTGAGTCCAGATCCAGCAGTTTACACAGACTGAATCAGCAGGAGTCCAGGAGCGGAGAACCCGGATCCTCCAGAGATCCAGTCTCGGTCCAGGTCAAACATTTAGACGGTGAATCAACAGACGATTGGTGACATTTTGAAGGTGAGCGCTCATACACTCGGAGCTCGGAGGACTGCTGCAGCCCGGCTATAAAAATGCTGAATTGCTGGATGATTGCTTGACCTTTGCAGCAAAGAGCTGATGGGAAATGAGGCGTTAAACTTATTCTGTGTCGGTCTGAGCATTAGTGTCCCCGCAGACCCGGTTAGACCTTTGACAGGACTGAGCGAGAACCTCTCAGGCTGTAAAAATGATCTGACAGTTTTACGCTCAGGTGTCGGCGCGGCGTGCTCCTGTTTGTCAAGGAAACTGCCGTTCGTTGTGTCATCATCCAAGGCTTCATTAAATCACGCTCAGAACGATGTCACACACGCCGTAAAGATGGACGACATGACGGCTGTAAAGACAGGAAACACCGAAGCGGCGGAGGATGAGGAGAGGTTTTCATCAGCAGAGTCTCGTCTTTGTTTGTCCTGATCGTGATCCTTCATTTTCACCTCTCTCTGCTGATGATGTTGTTCTGTTCTTCGGACTAGGATTTGGCAGTTTAAAGAGATATTCCGGCGTAAAATGAATTTAGGCTCTAAGTTAGACCCCCTCCCCCAGAGATGAATGTTGTCGACCGCTTACTTCTCTAGTTATACCAACTTTAGTAACGACCGCAGGATAGCAATACAGAGAGACACGCACTCAACCAAAACGCCACTCTATAGCCACAAATAATGCTCAGAACAGCACCTAACTTCATCAACAGGACATATAGGGTCACAGACATAGTACTATATTCAGAGTTGTTCTAACTCCTAAGAAAACATGAACTTAAGCGGGGGCGTTTCTCCACTTCTGTAGTCTGTAAGCTGGACCAAAAACTTCTACTGTAGTAAAATGAAAAGGTAAAGGTGTTTTTATTGAGCCGAATTATCAATAAAATCATGATTTTGTTAACAGGTATGGATTTATGTGCTGTTGAGTTAATATATTTGAACAAGAGCACAGTAAAGTTAAATCAGCTAATTTTCCAATGAGGTTCTGTTACTGAACGGAACTACATCATGATCTACTGAGGTTAGTACATATAGGGTCACAGACATAGTACTAGACACCAAACATCTTTTTAACTTTAGCAAAGAGACTAAACACAACTCACCTACTCTCTTCCAGCAGACGCTTGTTTGTAGAGAGACCTCAGGCCAGTCCATTACAGACTACAGCGGGGTGCTGCAGCTCAAGGAAGAACATTTATGATCATTTCTTCATGGAAATGCAATCAGACCGAGACGCTAAGACAGAAGAACTACCGCGTCTGTAAAATGATTAATATGGTGATTATTACTTCAAGGAAATGATAAAGAAATGATCATAAATGTTCTTCCTTGAGCTGCGGCACCCCGCTGTAGTCCGTAATGGACTGGCCTGAGGTCTCACTACAAACAAGCGTCTGCTGGAAGAGAGTAGGTGAATGTTTCAGTTAAGCGTGGCTCTAAGTATTACTGTCCTACAGTTGTTACTTAAGTTGGTATAACTAGAGAAGCAAGCGGTCGACAACATTCATCTCTGGAGGGGGGGTCTAACTCAGTGTTACGGTGGGTTTGACTCTACATCAATTTTACAGCGGAATGTCCCTTTAAGAGGTTCTGATCCGTTCCCTGTTTATCCACCGGTGTGTTTAAGGTGAAAACATGAATCAAAGTGTGTCTGTTTTCAGTCTGTTTAAAAGTCAGACGTTCCTTCAGGCAGTTGTTTTATTAAATTTACATTTCAGACCTTTTGATTAAATTCTGTGTAAATGTGAGAGTGTGCATGATGGAGAGCTGGGTGACGGTTTTCTGGGTATAACCAAGAGTGTGGAGGTCACAGGTTCATTTTGGTTGAAAAACTCTAATGTAGTGGTTTTTATTTATCTACGCCCACTTCCCCTAAAAGATCAGCAAACAGAGACAGAAATATCTACAGTGCAGGACAGATAAAAGTAAATAAATGAAGTACTCACTGGACAGGTTTCAGCAGGACTTAGTCTGGCAGACGGTCACCATGATCCCAGGAGGCCAACAGGTTCCTCTGTATGATCAGACGTCCCCTTATATACCCCTAAGCCCCGCCCCTGGACAAACCCATAAACTAATTATCAGGGTTAAAGGCTTAATTATTGGCACAATCAAACACCAAACTCATAAATCAGTGATAAATGATAAAGAATTAAAGGAACTTGATTAAAGCCCTCCATGCAGCTGTGACCTGATTCACTCAAAACATAATAAACCAAAGAAATAAAACACAAATGAACATTAATGGTTTAGTCCGTGGTCACATGACTCCAAGAAACGCGCCAACAAACGCTTTTTACGTTCTGACCAGGAAGTGTCCCGGTTTGGCTCATGAAGACAGCAGCGACCAGTGTGTGTGTGTGTGTGAGGCGCGCAGGCCCCGAGTGTGGACCCTCGAACCTACAGAACAGAGTCCAGGTAGGAACCAGTTTGAAGGAGTACAGGGCTGCGGGAAACACTTTAATGGAGTTTGATTTCGCGGGAAATGTGAGCGCACCGAGCGCGCCAAAACCCTGGGCCAAAAGAGAGAGGGAGGGCCGCGCGCCGGTCGGGGTTGACGGGGCGTTTAGAGCCGCTCTGTCGCGGTGCATGATGGAGATCTGTGTGGTGGTCTCAGTCTGGATGTTTGAGTCATGAAGGTTTGAGGTGAAGCAGGTCTGTGACATTCAGAGTGTCAGTTCTGCTGTGCGTAACTGTGCGTAAAATCAGACACCGCACCATGGAGTCCAGAGTTCAGACCAGGTTCTGGTCGGTTTTAGTCCAGTTCAGAGCTTTATGTGGGGTCTTCAGTTGGTGGTTCATTGACTCCAAACCAGATCATACCTGCCAACACTCCCGTTTTCCCCGGACTCTCCCGTATCTCTGACCTCTCTCCCGCCCTCCTCCCGTTTTCTCGTTTCTCCCGAAGTTTGATGGTCCACCTTCATTCATGGATCTGATCACTGGATGTGTTTCTGCTGAGCCTCACAGACTCTGAACTGATCCTTCACAGTTTGGGATGATTCAGCTCGGTTTAAGCTGTAAACTATATTTAAAGAGTGTTTGTAGTAAAATGAAACAAACCTGAGACATAATATTTACGTTGATAGGAGTGATGCGTTCAGGGCAGCCTCAGATAACAGAGTGCTGTATTTCACACACAGATGTTCAGAGAGAAACATATGAGGACTTTAATATAAGTGGACTAAATAAGTTCACAGCATATCATAGATATTATTTTTTATTACCTTTTGTTATTGTTAAAACATAAAGTGTGCAGCTTCACTTTGACTTATTTAGATAAGAAACTTAATTATAAACACTCTCATAATTCGCTCAGATCCATCAGACAAGGGAACCTCAAAACTGACCGGCACTCGCCGCAAAAATCTCCCAGATTTTATAACCGATATGTTTGCAGGTGTGAGGTGATGGGTGAGGAAAGGAGAAGAGGAGTGGAGGGTGAGGAAGAGCGTGTGAGTGTGTGTGTGTGTGTGTGTGTTTGACAGTGCTTTGCTTATTTCTATCCTGAGCAGGTTTCCAGTTGTCGTTGATGGCTGCTGATTGTTTGATGAAGAACATGTCGAAATGTTTAGATATCAGTCAGTTTTATCTGGAGGAACCCTCAGTGCTGAGAGTATGTCGAGTGTGTGTCTTTGTGTGCATGTGTGTGTGCTTGTGTGTTTATGTATCCACAGAGTCCACCAAAGTCAGAGGAAGTTCATTTTGTTCTGATGTTGTTTTCAAACCTTCATCCATCTTGGTTTTCAATAATCAGCATCAGTTCTCATGTTTTGCTGTCATATAAAGTTCCTTTAGTGTTTCTGTAGGTTAAGTAATAAAAGTCTGCCGATGTTTTCTACCTAAAGAAGCAAAACTCACAGATTTATGTCGTGAAAGAAACTGATGCAGTAGAGCCTGTAAGACCCCTCAGCCTCAGGACCGACCATGATCCTGATTCCAGCGAGGTTTGATGGATAAAAACAACGATTTTATTTCTGTCATCTTCACGTTTTCTCCTCCTGCACCTGTCTGCCGGTGGAGCCGTGTTTGTAACCGAGCTGCTCTGAAATCTCCTCACCTGCTTTAGAATTGGGGTCAAAGTTTTCACCGCTCTTGTTTTGTTCAGGATATCTGAAACACATCAGCTGTGGACGCTCCGACATCGGGCAGCATCCTCCTCCTCTCTCCTCCTCCTCCTCCTCCTTGGCGGTCAGTAATCGATGTTTACACGGGAGGAGAAATAGTTTGCTCAGATCAGACGTGCCGCTGTCAGCAGGAGACGTGAGGAGGAGGAGGAGGAAGAAGTGTGTCAGCTGTGAGGGGGGAGAAACCCTGCAGAGGAAATGAGTGAGTCTGACAGGAGAGAGAGGAGAAGATGGACAGGAAAAGACATGAGCAGAGAGAGAGAGAGAGAGAGAGAGAGAGAGGAAAACATACGTGAGGGGGGGAATTAATGGAAATAGAGAGAGTGGCCTGAGGCAGAGCTAAATGCATTAAGAGTTAGTGAAGAGCAGGAAATGATGTTATTACTGAGGAGTGTGGAGGAGCAGGTTATTAGAAATGAAGAATTGTCCAAACGTCTGTGAGCAGAAATGTTCTTTTTGCAGCTCAGAGCTGAGAGAGAAACCCCAGAACTGGTTCATCAGGAACCAGGACCACCTTTACTGGGATCTGACCAGAATAACTCGAGATAACTTCACATTAGGACTTTTCTTCTTTCTTTTCAACACATAATGAACATTTCCAACGCTCTCTTTAAAGGGATATTCAGGCGTAAAATTAATTTAGGGTCAAACACACTGTAACACCGAGTTAGACCCCCCCTCCAGAGATGAATGTTGTCGACCGCTTCCTTCTCTAGTTATACCAACTTTAGTAACAACCGCAGGATAGAAATACAGAGAGACACGCCCTCAACCAAAACGCCAACAAAAAGAGACTAAACACAACTCACCTACTCTCTTCCAGCAGACGCTTGTTTGTAGTGAGACCTCAGACCAGTCCATTACAGACTACAGTGGGGTGCCGCAGCTCAAGGAAGAACATTTATGATCATTACTTCATCATTTCCTTGAAGTAATAATCACCATATTGATCATGTAATCATCAGTTCTTCTGTCTTAGCGTCTCGGTCTGATTGTATTTCCATGTAGAAATGTATGGTCAGTGTGTACTAAAGGGTCAGAAGATGATTTCGAGATGTTACCACCACTTAACCGAGTCCGTCTGATTTAGTACCTCATTGGAGGAACAAACTATTAAACATTTAATTCCTTCCATAATGAAAAGTCTCTCTTGGCCCACTTTCCTTTCCACAAACTGCAACTGCACAGAGTCAACAACAAAACCGTCGTTCGCACAATGGTAGGTGATCACACACAAACACGTCTGCCTTTCTCTCACACACACACTCACCCTTAAACAAATTATTATGTACTGAGGTCCTGCATCAAATACACTTGGTTCAGTGGTGGTAACATCTTGAAATCATCTTCTGACCAGACAGTGTTTTCGTACGGGTCAAGTCCACTAATGTCCATAATTCAGCTCAGGTAACGCTCTCTTTCTTTGTTCAGCTCGTTCCTGTACGGTCTGTTGAGTCCAAGTTTTGTTCTCTCCATTCTGTTCTCCGTTACTGTGTAGTCAGATAATAAATAGTTGGTTTTTAAAACCTAACGTCATCATCTTAGTGTTGTTATGTCTGTTAAAATGGCCGCACTGGCACGTTACGCACCACGCGCCCCCGTGCTGACGTCGGCGCTGCTACACTCCATAGAGTGGCGTTTTGGTTGAGGGCGTGTCTCTCTGTATTTCTATCCTGCAGTCGTTACTAAAGTTGGTATAACTAGAGAAGAAAGCGGTCGACAACATTCATCTCTGGAGGCGGGGTCTAACTCGGTGTTACGGTGTGTTTGACTCTAACTTATATTTAAGTTCACACCATCTTCATCCTGAATCCTCATCCTGAGTGTCCGTGTCTGAACCTGCAGCCTCCCTCCAAACGTTTCAATATTCTGACAGACAATAACAGTCAAAACTCTCAGCACCTGAGGATTACCTCCATCTCTCTCTCCATCTCTCTCTCTCTCTTTCTCTCTCTCGCTCTCTCTCTCTCCATCTCTCTCTCTCTCTCTCTCTCTCTCTCTCTCTCTCTCTCTCAGTGAAAATTCCTGTTTTGGACTCGGTTGTAGATTTGTTCGAGCGGATAAACAGCTCACTTCTTTTTGACACGCCGGGTTTTAAAGCTGTACTTTTTAATCGGTTCCTGTCAGATTCAGACGGGCGCTGATTGAGTCGGAGGTAATGAAATGAGTAATTATGCACATTATAAAACAGGAGTGAAGCGTTTAACCAGTTTATAAAATATGATGCATGCTTTAAAATGTCACGCATATTCAGTCCTAAAGGCAGCGGGTGAAAAAGTAAAGTGGAGTTTACAGCGTGGGAGTTTTTCTGAAACAACAAGAACGACAAAGAAGGAGCGATTGAGTCGAAGGGATTTCAGTCTGTGAAATTAACTTCTGTGAGATCCCCAGTGTGGAGGGCCCCCACGAGGAAACTCTGGAGCTAAAAAGACTAGGACATAGAAGGAATTAAAATAATGTTAAAATATCTAAGTGACGTAAAAATGTGATAAAAGTAAAGGATAAAATAAACTAAAACTAAATTAAAATAATGTTAAAATATCTAAGTGACATAAAAATGTGATAAAAGTAAAGGATAAAATAAACTAAAACTAAATTAAAATAATGTTAAAATATCTAAGTGACATAAAAATGTGATAAAAGTAAAGGATAAAATAAGCTAAAACTAAATTAAAATAATGTTAAAATATCTAAGTGACATAAAAATGTGATAAAAGTAAAGGATAAAATAAGCTAAAACTAAATTAAAATAATGTTAAAATATCTAAGTGACATAAAAATGTGATAAAAGTAAAGGATAAAATAAACTAAAACTAAATTAAAATAATGTTAAAATATCTAAGTGACATAAAAATGTGATAAAAGTAAAGGATAAAATAAACTAAAACTAAATTAAAATAATGTTAAAATATCTAAGTGACATAAAAATGTGATAAAAGTAAAGGATAAAATAAACTAAAACTAAATTAAAAATAATGTTAAAATATCTAAGTGACATAAAAATGTGATAAAAGTAAAGGATAAAATAAACTAAAACTAAATTAAAATAATGTTAAAATATCTAAGTGACATAAAAATGTGATAAAAGTAAAGGATAAAATAAACTAAAACTAAATTAAAATAATGTTAAAATATCTAAGTGACATAAAAATGTGATAAAAGTAAAGGATAAAATAAACTAAAACTAAATTAAAATAATGTTAAAATATCTAAGTGACATAAAAATGTGATAAAAGTAAAGGATAAGATAAACTAAAACTAAATTAAAATAATGTTAAAATATCTAAGTGACATAAAAATGTGATAAAAGTAAAGGATAAAATAACCTAAACCAGTTAAATCAGCTAAAAGCTAAACTAAAAAGGTCACGTTCTGGTCCTAAACGGGTTCTCAGTGCTGCGTGTAAACCCCGGGTCTTCATTTATCAACGGAGCGTAGGAAAGGTTCTAAATGAAATATCGAATCTGCGTTAGAACAAAAAATACGTATTTCTCACGTGGACACGGTCGTACTCAAACTAGTCAGTCATGGTTAGGGTCATTAACATTAGACACGCCTCCAACTGACCATATATGGTATCAACTATCCCTTTAAAAATGCCTGAATGGATTTTCCCCCTCGCTGAAATCATGGAGGTGCACGCTCACAGTCGTGCGTTCCTCCAACCTGTAACAGATCCATATGATCATCTCAGATTATTGATCATTGATTGAATGAAATCCTTGAATTTATCCTGTGAAGGTGCTTTTATCACGATGTGGCGTGAAATCCTGGTTTTATTCCGGCGTGTTGCTGACGTGTGTTCGAGAACTGGATGTAAGTCGAGGTCAGAGAAATTATTGATCAACTCTGCCGACATGATTCTGTTAGCGTTGTCTGTGAAATGTCGTCTTCGTCTCCGATCTCAGGCTGAAATGTTCAGGTTAGGGTGGACAGGAGCTGGATGGTCACCGGGATGATGGCGTCGATGCGTTTTGTACAGAGGGAACAGAGAATATGTGTGAAGTTTGAGATTGCTAAACGCTGTGACTCCTTTAATGGTTCTAGTTGTAGTTTCACTGTTCGACCACTAGGGTTTGTGTGTACTCATGCTCAGAGTTCCTAAGAACAAGTTCAGGTTGGAAATGTTCGTTCACACGGTCGATAAACGAGACTCCTGAACAATAAGAGTAAAGTTTCTGCACACGTGCGTGAACCTCTTGACCCGTTGAAAACGGCGTTTTATAAGGAGGTCAGTTTTCTCTGTGTGAGTCTTCCTGTGTCAGAAACCTCCTGACCTTTGACCTCTGTCCGAACTCCATGATGTTGTTGATCTCCTCGCTGATGTCTGCAGCTGTCTGACAGGCTGATGAACTCGCTCTGCCCCGGGGTTCTGACAGTGAGCCGGAGCGTGACATTCGCCCACAGCTCCTCTGCAGGACCGACCCGCCGCCCCCGCCGCCGCCGCCTTTCTGTGTGTTTGACTGACTGATTCTCTGAGGTTTGTATTCAGCTCCAGGATCCTGAGGAGGGTTATGAAGCGTGATATTAGACCCGCAGCTTCACAGCAGGAGACTCCAGAGTCCTAACAACCTGTGAGTATCTTCAACCCGTCAGCTGTGACTGACAGACGAACTCATCTGGAAAAGAAAGAGCAGCTGGAGGAGGAGGAGGAGGAGGAGGAGGAGACTGAAGCTGCTGTCCACAGATGATCGGAGGAGGACTCTGACCAAGAACTGAACCTCATACAGACCAGAGAGTCCCTCAGAGCAGATCCACAGACTCTCCGGACAGAAACATGAATTTCTCTTCTCTACTTTTTCTGCTGCTTCTTCATCCTGTAAGTGTTTAAAGTGGGTTTGATCGTTCGCTGAGTCCACCTGAGTCCACCTCTGAGATGATCCTGTAATGAGCTCATCCAGGGAGGAACCAGGTTTTCATTAAACCTGAAAATAGATTTTCTGCTCATTAAAGATGTTGTTCAAAGGAAATTCATCAGAACCAGAACCTCCGTTAGAGCGGACCGGAGAGGAAATTAATCTGCTGGATCATAATTACCACCACGGCTGTGTGTGTGTGTGTGTGTGTGTGTGTGTGTGTGTGTGTGTGTGTGTGTGTTCAGGGTGTCAGTGTGAGGTTAGCAGACATGCAGCAGTCTTCATTCATTCATTCAGCTCCTGATAGGGTCTCATCATGACCGACAGAGTTCAGATGAAGCCTCAGTAGGGCTGGGCGATACGGGAAAAAGTTTATCATGATATATATATATATATATATATATATATATATATATATATATATATATATATATATATATATATATATATATATATATATATATATATATATATATATATATATATATATATATATATATATATATATATATATATATATATATATATATATAAGAGACGTGACATTGTTGTTGGTTTTCTTTTCTTCCTGATTTGTATTTTACTGTCTTATTTGATTAAATAATGTTCCAAATAAAATTAAAAAAATAAATAAATAAAAAAAAAATATATATATATATATATATATATATATATATATATATATATATATATATACATACGGGAAAAAGTTTATCATGATATATATATATATACTTATATATATATATATATATATATGTAACGTATGTAATATATAACGTCTCTTTAAAGATAAGAGTCGGAGAAGAAGCTCCGACTCTGTGGAGGATTTACACGATCTGCTGAAATCAGCTGATCTGAGAGTTTGGGTGAAACGTCATGATGATCTGAGGGTGAATTTGAAAAGGATCCAGACTGTAGAGGTTCAGTTTGAGAGGTTTCTTTAATCAGCCGTGAGTCAGTAATGTGAAGGCAGGATCGATTCAGAGAGACGCTCTGGTGTTCACCTGGAGATGTTTCCTCCTGTGATAGTTTGACAGGGTTTCATGAACACTGAGGAGAGTTTCAGGAGCTGGATGAAAGGGTGAGGAGAGGTCTGATGGAGGAACATGGTGCTGTAGATTCAGAGGAGTCATGGAGAAGTCACAGCGCCACCTTCAGGACTAACGTTAATGTCGTGACTGGGGGGACACTTAATTTATGAAATATTGATAAAGTTTTAACAGTAAACGTTGATAGTGTTGTTTCTTGTTGCTGGTTTTTGTTTTAAAACAGAGGATGAAGAAGCAGCAGCAGCTGCTGGTGAGTTCGCTGTAGCTCACTGACGTTTAAAGGATCACTGTGAATCTAAAGTCTCTTCAGGTTACTCATAATTTAAACTGTCAAACTTTCTAACCACAGACCAGAAAACGCTCATACTTCAAAATAAAAGCATGGTTTTACAACATTAGACATAAAACAACCTAAATGTAAGATAGAGTAGATATCAAAATAAGAGTCAAACCCAGTTCAGGACTCGACGGTGCGACTGTTTCACTCAGATTTACAACTAAAAGTAGATGTTTGTGAATTGTAAAATGTATTTAGGGTCACATGTGGGAATAAAAAAATCAACAAATGTTTTTTCCTGTAAATACGGCGGTGAAGTTAGTTTCAGGTTGGATATATTTTGCTGGTAGTAAGTCAGACTCTGAGGATGTGGTCTTGTTGGACCTTCAGTTCTCGAGTGTGAGGCGGCTGGGATGAGAATCAGAACCTCCAAGTCAAGAGAATCTGTTGCCATGGAGACGTAACCACCTCTGGAACTGGAGCGACTCTCAATCCTTCATCAGTTCGTCTTTAAAGTGATGGAGTAGTTTCTGATAAACTGGTGTTCAGTTGTGAGGACTTTTATTTTGAAAGAACATCGTTGTCGTCGTTGTTGTTGTTGTTAGTTTTGTCTCTCTGTTAATCTGCAGAGTGTTTTCTGTGTAATCCAGTGGTGAGCGTCTGAACTCTGGTGGAGCTGCAGTAAACCAACAGCTCATCCAGGAGTCTGATCGTCTTTGTTCTGAAACAACAAAAACGTTCAGGAGAAAGCTCCAGGATTAGTGGAGCTGCTGTCCAACATCAGCGTTCAAGGAGAAAACAGAGGAAAAGTTCGACTCGGAGAACTTTAAATACAGTTCGGGTCTCTTTGTTCTCTGACCGAGCTTCATAAATCCTGGATTATCAAACACCTGGAGGCTGTTTTTAACTCTCACTGAGGAGTAAAACATTCATATTTATAGTATGAGCCAGGAGGAGAGGTTTGAAGGTGAGAGGAGATCAGGTGAGCGAGCGGTGTGGCCTCACCTGACTTATAGATCTAATGAGAAGAGAGATAATCTGTGTCTTTAACAGACTCCTGAATGTCTGTCAGTTCTGTGGAAAGAGAGAAAAGCTTAAAAAAAAGATTTTCACATCGATAAGTTTATGCATGAAAGAAAATCACAAGAGTGAGACGTACTGTGAAGAAAGTGTCTCCAAACGATGATAGATGTCTTCATTTTGTTCTCACAGAAGAACAGCAGAGCAGAGAGAGTCTGAACCTTCAGAACAAACTAAATAATGAATCTTTAAAAACACATCTTAACCTTCACCCGCTCTGTTAAAGCTCTTATATATGTGTGTGTTTTATTTACTGGCAGCATGAAGACGTACAGACGTCAGTCAGAAGTCCACCCAGCAGGAGCTTCTCTGCGGCGATCTTCATCATCATGATCTGAGTGACGGCCTGCAGGCATTTCACACCGACTGTCAGGTAAAGATCACACAACAACACACACAGACACACATCTGTGTGTGATCTACCTGCAGACACACACCTGTCAGAGAAAAGGAGGTCTTAAATAATACAGAAACATCTTCATGAAAGTTCTGACCGAGGCCAAAAGAAGTTCTAGAGAGTCTAACTCAGACCGGGTTTCATCTGTTCGGGTCTGGAGGAGGTTTGATTTGGATCATGTGAGTCTGAAGGATTGACAGATTATAACGAGATTAATGAGAATTATGAGAATAATTAAAATAATGAAGAATTATGATGAATAGTGAGGATAATAAGAATAATAAGAAAAACGAGAATATGATAATTATAAGAATAATGAGGATTAGTGTTTTAATAAGACTTTAGATTTCAGCACTAATAAGAAAAACTCTGACAGATTTGTGTTTGTCTCTCTCTGGAGAAGAAACTTGTTTGATTTTCTGTTGGTATCAGTTCAGATCAGGAGCGCCGCCTCGTCTCTAAACCCGCTAAAAAAACCTGGACCAGGTTTTTGTCCACAAACTCAGAGACTATTCCGCTCCATGTGTGTCACTCCGCTGTCGTGACTGAAATCCTGTCTGAGTGTTTTTCAGAGTCCGTCTGTTTAACCAACAGTCATACATATAAACATGTGTGTGTGTGTGTGTGTGTGTGTGTGTGTGTGTGTGTGTCAGTGTTGACTGTCTGTCAGAGCGTTTTCTTCACGGCAGATTTAACACGTCACTCTGCAGCACGTCTCAGAGTCTGACAGGATCTAGTTAGTGTAGCTCTATACCTGCTGCTGCTGCTGCTGAACACAAGAGCCCACAGACTCACAAGAGCCCACAGACTCACAAGAGCCCACAGACCCGCTCCTACAGACTCACTCCTACAGACTCCCCAGAGTGTGTGAGTTTTCATCGCTATGGTGGGAATAAACAGTGCACATTGGATTATAATAATAAAAATAATAACAATTTAATAATAATAATAATAATAATAATAATAATAATAAAATAATAACAATTAAAGATAAATAATAATAATAATAATAATAATAATAATAATAAAATTAAAGGATAAATAATAATAATAATAATAATAATAATAATAATAATTATTATTATTATAATCATCATCATCATTATCATCATAATGGTTATGATAATTATGATAATGATAATAAAAACAATAACAATAATAATATTAAAAAAAAAAAATAATAATAATAATAGTAATTATAATAAAATAATAATAATAAACATTAACTCTCTTTTTTATTTCCCACATGCTGTAAAAAAAACTATAAATCCTCCGATAAATAAATAAATAGATAAATAAATAAAGGCTGTGTCCTTTGGTCTCGTCTGCTGCTGAAGGCAGATCTTCACATCATGATTGTTCCTGCAGCAGTTCAGACCCAGAATCCTGATTACAGAGACCCACATGGTTTCCTCGCCCCGCTGAGTCCAAACAGACCCGCTCTAACTTCCTCAGCATGAGCCAAGGGTTAAATCAGGGGGGGAATCCTGAGTGGACTGGGTCCACCGTTGGCACCGCCATCTTAGAGGAGGGAGGAAGCTGATATAGTGATGGAATTTTGTCTGAATTTACTCCATTAAACCTAAAATCAGTGACCTTTGACCTTTTTTGGGTTTTATGTTCGGTCTGCTGTGAGGCGGTGAACTTAGACAAAGTGAGCAGAGAGAGAGAGAGAGAGAGAGAGAGAGAGAGAGAGAGAGAGAGAGAGAGAGAGTGTGTGTGTGTGTGTGTGTGTGTGTGTGTGTGTGTGTGTGTGTGTGTGTGTGTGTGTGTGTGTGTGTGTGTGTGTGTGTGTGTGTGTGTGAGCACCTGAGCAGGAGGTTGATGCCTGCCAGATCGCACTGAGGGAACAAAAGAACAGGAATTACACGCCTCCTGTTTCCTGACTGCTGCAGCTTTTCTCTGTCCTTATAAATAAGAAACAAACAGACTTCATTTCCCATAATGCAGCACTCTACGGTTTCTCCCCTCTTCTCCTGTTTCAGCTCGATCTCTGCTCTCTCAGAAACTCTGAGCGTCTTTTTCTGGCCGGCTGGTTGGTCGTTCGTTCGGTGGGTCGGTGGGTCGGTCGGTGGGTGGAGCAGCAGGCCTCCAGCCGTCTGCAGCTGCTGCTCCGAATATAAACAGAGCTGGAGAGCGTCCATCAGCAGCTCGCTCCATCTGCTCGTTTACATGAATATGAGCGCCGACTACACTGATGTTTCAGAACCTTTAACACGTCTGTGAACTCCTCAGACTACAACCTGCAGCTCTGACCCTCAACGCTGATTTTACCGCTGCAGAGATCGTCTCTGAAAAAACACGTCAAACTTGGTCGAAACAGAAGAAAAACATAATAATCCGTGTTTGTCAACTCGAGCAGCGAGCGCCTTTCTTCATTATTAACCAAAAACACGATCAGAGAGGACGCCGCCGTGAGCAAACGCAAACAAAACGCCTCGGTTTGTGATCGTATTTATCAAACAGATTCACGGACAAATCCAGAGTCAATGTTTCCTCAGTTTGGTCATGAATATTCAGACTTTGGACGGGAAACGGAGAAAACAGGTCTTTGATTTTAAAGGTGAGGGGACAAAAAAACACGTTACTCTGGAACTCACCGCATCTGGAACAGCGGCAAGTCCGCGATTCCTGCCGCATCCGTTTGTGAGGCAAATTTCGTGGCGGATTACGAACAGCCGGAATCGCTAGAACTCACAAGAACCCGCGGATTCACGTTCAATCACGTGATAACGAGTTATCTCTATAGAGACAGACACATAGACATATAAGCAGTAGATTGTGTCCTTCCAGAGGAGGAAATCTACTTCTAGACTTCTAGAATCAGCATCTCCTCATCCATGGTGTCATCGGGGTGAAATGACGTCTAAAAACCTTTCACTTGTTCGTCTCCGCCCGTTTGCATGGTGTGAAATACGATCCTGACTTCCTTTCCAGCACGGGTTAATCTGTGCTGAATTTGTGTCTGTGCCCGAAAGAAGTCGGTGTAAATTGACACGTTAACTTGAATGTTTACGATCAGCTACGATCGGAGGATACGACCTTTTAGGAGATGATCAGGATGAAGGTGGAGGTTGGGGGTTACTGCAGAATAAACCCACCCTCGCTCTGAAAAGACGTGGCTAACCTGCAGTCAGGGGGAGAGAGGGGAGCGGAGTGGTCCTAATTTTTTAGGGATGGACCGAATGGGAAAATCTTGGCCGAAACCGAATACCGAATATAAGAAACACTTGGCCGAATAACCGAATACCGAATAGCCGAATATGATCAATAAATATGTATATAAATTCTGAATTTTTATCACCAAGCATTTGTTTTAAAGCTACCTGATTATGGCAAAACCTGGCAAACTTAAATATTAATCACTTTATGTTTGAATCCCTATAATTTTTGTTGACCGCCTCACAGAGAATCTCTTGGCGTTCGTTTGCCGTTTTGTTTGTTCCTGCTGTATTTCCAAAGGAGTCCTGAGTCTATGGATATCGTGACACTTGACCCACAACTTCCTCTCAAGCGACAAGGTTGGTCTTCAGAGTCGCTACAAGAGTAGTTCATGTTTCGTTCATTGTTTCATCATATTTATGAGTTTAAACTTTCTGAACCACGTCGTTACCATAGAAACAGACTTCCTCCTGTGTTTGGGTGTTAAAGTTTGTCAAATATTCAACCAGAGTTAAAATATTATCTGTATGAGTGTTTCTCAGTTTTCTCAGCTGCAGATTTTTTCAACGTTGGATCAATAAAACTTTTTTAAATTTGACTTTTTTATCGGGGGGTAAAAAGTCTTCAGGATGTTGATGATAAACGTGGATTTGAGTCGGTCCACCTCTCTTAGACGTCCTCTGACAGGGGTTTGTCTCTAAACGGTGGTCCACCGTGGACGGTCTATAAGATCAGATCCTGCTGTCACTGAGACCGGCTCTTTTAAGCTCTGACCCGGCTCCCTGAGGTCCAGCCCGGTCGCTCTGAAGGTATTTTATCTGGAGCGCAGATATCTGTGATCTTATCTCAGAGCTCAGGACCTTACTTTGTGAATCCGCTCCCTCCTGACCTCAGGGATCTGAACGCTGATCCACCTGTCCATCTCAGACCTCCTGAAAAGAGCAGGAGGATCATCGAGCTCCTTTATTCGTGGACTGAGATCATTCTGCGTCTTTCTCTCCTCAATCAGGAGTTTCTAGGTTTCTTTTAAAACATTACCTCGAGGTCTACAGCCCGACAAACCCTCCAAACACTTTTCATTACTCTCCCATTTTGCACATTTCGGTGAAAAGCACACACTCCTCTTTGAAATGAAACAAATTGCTTTCCTCACATCTCCCATTGTGGCCCAGTTTCGCTCACGGCTGCCAAGAGATTTTATCAAACCTCTGAGACGCCTCAACAAGTAATCTTCGCAACAACACGGAGAGAGAGAGAGAGAGAGACAGAGAGAGAGAGAGAGAGAGAGAGAGAGAGAGAGAGAGAGAGAGAGAGAGAGAGAGAGAGAGAGAGAGAGAGAGAGAGAGAGAGAGAGAGAGAGAGAGAGAGAGAGAGAGAGAGAGAGAGAGAGAGAGAGAGAGAGAGAGAGAGAGAGAGAGAGAGACAGAGAGACAGAGAGAGAGAGAGAGAGAGAGAGAGAGAGAGAGAGAGAGAGAGAGAGAGAGAGGCTTTCTGCTTCTTCTACAGCAGGTGAAGGTAAGAAAGATTTCAGCAACAATGAAAGAGAAGAAGAGGAGAGGGAGAACAAACCCAAAGTTTTAGAGCCATCGTTGTTAAACCGTCAGCTGGTTTCTGAGGTGTGTGTGTGTGTGTGTGTGTGTGTGTGTGTCATGTTGAGCGTGATCTCTTGTTCCTGCTCTCTCTGTTATCTGATCCCCCTCTGTGTTTGCCCTCAACAGGTTTTTTTATCCCCTGATTCCCCCGCTGTCTGGTTTTCATTATCAGACTCCCCCGCTGCCTCTCTCTGCACGCCGTCCTCTCTGCTCGCCGTTTTCAGGGTTTTTACTTTGACACACAGACCCTGATGAATACAACTAAGACCCCCCCCTCCCCTTTATGTGGGTTTACAGATACCTCTACAATCACCTGACAGGCTGTATAAATCCCTGAAATGGTCCCACTCTCACTTTTTTTGGTTGCTAGCTACGGTAACCATGGTAACTACAGGTGCTACCAAAAGCTGCGCTGTTCTAGTATCGACCCAACTATCAATGGTTGTCGGTTAGCTTAATGAGGCGCTTACAGGAGTGTCGCTGATTTTTACTGCATATGTGGGAAACGTGCGTCACTTCCTCTCTCGGCATTTCAGTTTGTTTTACGGCGGTGAGTCGTTACCTACCCGATCCGAAGTGCAAATTTACTTCACCTTAGAAACTTTATTTTAACCACCGATCGATTCAGAAACAAGCTGGCGCTGTGACGGGCTCGCTAGCCGGAGGCTCCAGAGCGAAGGCCGAGTCATTCGCCAGAGCTGCTTCCCAGAACGGTGAGACCTTTTGGGCCACAGAGAGCGCCACCACCTGGTCAAGATGATGGTTCTCTGACTTTTCAAAGTATTAAGGGATTTATTTCGTTTATTTTATAAATTAAATTGATAATAAGAAGTCTACACATTATGGACAATGAACTCCAGTGTTTTTATACAGCGTTTCAATGTCAACACTGAAATATTCACATTCATTCAAACCTTTTAAAGCTACTGGAGTAGGAACCTTTAATCGTAAATCTGGGCTTTCAGAGCAGACATTACCTACAGTCATGGTTCTAACATGAATATCACGGTGTTACATGTATTTATCTGAAGATCGGTGAGTCCAGATCTGAGCAGAATCAACCTAATCTGGGAATATTCTGCTAACATCCTCTGACTCCTATATGATAAAGTCTGAGTCCAGAGAAGGACTGAAGGGAGAGTAAAAGAGTCAAACCTGGACCCGAAGACCTGCTGTCCTCTTTCAGTCACTCTCTCTGCAGTCATTTAGACGTGTCTGCCGTGTCGGTTCAGTCTACTTTCCTCTGATCACGTGTAATAAGACAGCTCCTCGCTCTAATGACCTGGAAAGGATCCTGTAATCTCCTCTGATCTGTTCAGAGTTATGTCCTATAAAGTCTATATGATGATGATGATGATATATAAATATATATAAAGTCTGTATGATATCTGCCTCCTACTCTTTTCTATTTCCGTGTGTTTGTCTTTCACGCATCAGCTCACTCCTCTGTCAGCTCACTGTCACACATTTATTCCTGATGATCTGAGCAGATCTCACGTGTTTTTTCATCCCCCTGGAGTTACATAGACCCCCCCCCCCCCCATATCCCATATCTGTGGACTTCATAAGGATGTCACTGTCACCTGCTCTACCTGCTCTGAGCTCACACTCCTCTAATTTACCCCGCTCTAAATAGATCCCTCATAAATTGGATTTCTTATTGCTGTCATGTATCGTCGCTCTTCACTTTGAAACCTATTTAAAAATCTCTCTCCAGTATATTAAGTACTAAAAAGTGCTTTTTGAATACCCTACCAGTGTATTCAATAGAACAAGGGTTCCTTCTGGACGCCCTTCCACAGTATGAGGAATAAACAGTGACCTCTGGATACACTCTCAGGGTTAATCATGCAATAAAAGTTCCCCCTGGATGCCCTTCCATAAACTGTATGTGGAATAATGTACCCTCTGAATCCCCTCCAATTATTTTTTATTTTCCTGACTGTTGTAGAAAAGTTTTTCATGTGTTATATACTGACAGAGAAGTTTTTCCTTGTTTTTATTCTGGGAAGGTATCCAGTCTGCACAAGTTAACTTTATATACACTGAAGGGCATTAAAAATGGATTTTCTCCTACATTTGATTTACTGGAAGGACATCCAGTGGGAAGTTTTTACTTGTTCTTAAACTGGGAGGGCATTTAGGGGTCATGTTTATATATGTCATAATCTGGAAATAATATCCAGAGGACTCTGTTTTAGGTTATTTTCACCAGATGACAATTTTCCAATGTTTCATGTACAGGAAGGGCATCCAGAAGGCACTATTAAAGGCACTTATTAAGTTTTGTCCACTGCAGGGGCATTTAGTCAGTTCTTTCATTTCATACAAGGGGAAGCGTTCAGAGGACACTTGTGTTTGTTTTATTTACTGAAAGGGCATCCAGAGGGTTATTCAGGTGGCTCTTTTTAAACTTGAGATCTGCTCTGAGGGCATCCAGATGAAACTTCTTTTACATTTCCGCCATAAAAATGACTGTTTAAGATATTTAGGGAACACTGTACAAACAATCTACTGGAAGGGCATTCAGTGGACATATTTTCAGTGTTTAATATGCTTGAAGAGAATCTTTATACTGGTAAGGCATTCTGGGGGCAGATTTTAACATGTATTTTTTTAAACTAGGAAGGCATAAAGGAGGCTTTATTTTAATAAAATCCACTGGAAGGACATCCAGAGAACAATTTTTCATGTGTGTCATATACTGGAAGGACATCCAGGGGTCACTCTGTCATGGCTCATCCTTTAGAGGAGCTGCTACTCTGGCATGAAAGGTTTTTACCCTCCATGACCGTCTCCGTTTTTCTTACTTTTCTTACTGTCGTTGACACAGTTTGATGAAATAAAATCTCATTTCCATGTTTTTAAGGATTAAAGTTCAAACTCAGACTTGATCATTAAGAGTTAAATCTGCTGCCTAAAGAGTCTTCTTGGCATCGTCTCTCTTGGCCTCAGCCTCAAAGCTGCTGAATGCCTGAAAACAACAGACTTGAGCTCAGCAGACTTCATTGACCCTCCTCTCTCTCTCTCTCTCTCTCTCTCTCTCTCTCTCTCTCTCTCTCTCTCTCTCTCTCTCCTTCACTCAGCTGTGGTGTTGGAGGAGATCTCTCTCGGAGCTGGAGAGGAGAGGTCGGCCGTCTCTCTCTCTCTCTCTCTCTCTCTCTCTCTCTCTCCTCCAGTAGCTGCAGCCTCTTCTCTTCCCCCTCTTCTTCTCCTTCTTCTCCTTCATCATGGATGATCTGTGGACTAACAGGCTCTCTTGGATTATCGCTCATGTCACCTTGTTTCTCTGCAGCTCGTCCAGGACCACCGGAGAAGGTGAGCAGCTGCGCTATTTCACTTTTTACTCCCCGGAGGAGACGGAGCGAGTCCGGGCTGCGCGGACCCGAGAAGGGGGTCTCCATCCTTTAGTCACATTAACGGATTGTGGATTCATATGGAGGTTAAAATGTTGATTTAATCGGATTAAAATCTCTGGGTGGTGAAATGAGCTGTCCTCTGTTACGCACCGGCGCTCACTCGCTGTTGTCGGAGTTTTAGTGTTTTTATTTTGGTGATTCTGATCCGGGTTCAAGTTTTTTAAAGAGATCCGTGAGGTCTTTGACAGTTCCTCATGATTCCAGCTCTCAGAGCAGGTAGCAGGTTCTGTTTTCGGCCGAGGCGTGTTGTCGCATTTTGAGCTGCTGTTGAGATACTTGAGTGTTAAATTAAACAGAGAGGCTTTGTGTGTGTGTCTGCATGATGCTGCTGAGTTAGATCGACCTCCTCTCTGTGATCCAACAGAAACAAACCTGATTCTGTCATCCACACGTGTTCAGATCCGTGTGCGTAAAAATGTAGATGTGGTTTTATTTGTGAGGTCGGTGTTCAGCAGGTTTGACACTCTTGGAGGAGAGGAGGGTTTGGGGTCTTTGGAGGAACAGATTTGAGCTGAGGATGGATGCAAAGAGCGTCTTCTCCAATCACAAACACTCGCTGTAAAGATGTTTCACCCTCTGCATAAGAAGAAAAATCCTTATTAAAGGGATATTCCGGCGTAAAATTAATTTAGTGTCAACTACACCGTAACACCGAGTTAGACCCCCCCTCCAGAGATTAATGTTGTCGACCGCTTGCTTCTCTAGTTATACCAACTTTAGTAACGACCGCAGATAGCGATACAGAGAGCCACGCCCCCAACCAAAACGCCACTCTATAGCCACAAATAATGCTCAGAACAGCACCTAACTTCATCAACAGGACATATAGGGTCACAGACGTAGTACTAGACACCAAACATCTTTTTAACTTTGACTCATTTCTTTAACAAAGAGACTAAACACAACTCACCCCGACCAGTCTATTAGCGGAGTTTCGCAGCTCAAGGAAGAACATTTATGATCATTTCTTCATGGAAATACAATCAGACCGAGACACTAAGGCAGAAGAACTACCACGTCTGTAAAATGATTAATATGATGATTATTACTTCAAGGAAATGATAAAGAAATGATCATAAATGTTCTTCCCTGAGCTGTGACACCCCGCTGTAGTCTGTAATGGACTGGCCTGAGGTCTCACTACAAACAAGCGTCTGCTGGAAGAGAGTAGGTGAGTTGTGTCTAGTCTCTTTGCTAAAGTTAAAAAGATGTTTGGTGTCTAGTACTATGGCTGTGACCCTATATGTACTAACCTCAGTAGATCATGGTGTAGTTCCGTTCAGTAACAGAACCTCATTGGAAAATTAGCTGATTTAACTTTACTGTGCTCTTGTTCAAATATATTAATTCAACAGCACATAAATCCATACCTGTTAACAAAATCATGATTTTATTGATAATTCGGCTCAATAAAAACACCTTTACCTTTTCAATTTACTACAGTAGAAGTTTATTGGCCCAGCTCATAGACTACAGAAGTGGAGAAACGCCCCCGCCTAAGTTTATGTTTTCTTAGGAGTTAGAACAACTCTGAATATAGTACTATGTCTGTGACCCTATATGTCCTGTTGATGAAGTTAGGTGCTGTTCTGAGCATTATTTGTGGCTATAGAGTGGCGTTTTGGTTGGGGGCGTGGCGCTCTGTATTTCTATCCTGTTGGTATAACTAGAGAAGAAAGCGGTCGGCAACATTCATCTCCCTTCGTGTCCCTTTAAGAGATGGAGAACATCAGAGGAGGATGGATCTGAGATGAAATGGGATGAATCTCGGTGTGTAATGAGACTCGCCTGCATGTAATTGAAGCAGATGGTGGAGAGAGAAAGAGTTCCTCCATTCTTCCTCAGATTCATCCTCCTCTCTCTCTTTTTACAACTCCTGCAGGTCCAAGCGTACTCTTTCTTCGAGTCTTGTTTACCCAGGACCAGTTATCACATTCAGGCCTCAGTTTCCATCATCATGTGTTGTCAGTGTTGGACTTCTCCTGTCCTCTGAGGTGAATGAATGAGTCTCAAACAGGTTTCACTTCCACTTTTAAAACAGTAATGAGGAGCAGAGACCGAGTCTGAGGATGGATTGTCAATCTCCTGTCAGACCGAAGACCCTAATGAAAAACATTGACGCTTAAAAGTACGAAACAGGAAGTCAAATTCCATTTATGTGAGTCAATATTGACTCAGGTCATGTAACTCCAGAGACACGTTCACCACGTCTGTCCTCTTCACAGAGCGCATTATAAAGAGCAGAGAGGAGGATGAGGAGGAGGGAGAGAGGAGTGTGTGAATCCATGTGTGTCTGAAAAGCAGAGGGACAGAATGATCTATGAGAGAGGCTGGAGTGAAAGTAAACATGAGTGTAAAACTGCTCTCACCTCTTCTCTGTTTGTTCAGCAGTAAGTTTTTTTTAACAGAGTTTTTAATTGGGTTAGAAACAGAAACAGACTTTTTGATTTCTCCCTGAAGAAAAAACTCACAATGAGTCATCTGTCTTACTTTTACCCCCAATTTCCACCTCATCTTGATCGGCTACGAAAAGGCAGTATCTGCCGATCGTAACCATTCAAGTTAACGAGTCAATTTCCGCCGGACTCCACAGCTGATTGCAAGAGTTCTACATTCCACATTTCAACTGTTGTCAGAATGTGGTTTGGGATCATATGAAGGTCTTCCCTGAAAAATCTTTGTCTGGATGGACGCAGATGTTGCTCCTAAACCTGGAGGTATTGTCTGGAACTGGGGATGCAGCATCTATGATTTCCAATTCTTCGTTTAAAAGGACAGTTGGACTTACTTGTCCAAGTCCAACTGTCCTTTCCAAAAGAGTGTTACCTCCAATTTCCACCTTCATCCTGATCGTCAACTAAAAGGTCGTATCCTCCGATCGTAGCTGATCGTAACCATTCAAGTTAACGTGTCAATTTCAGAGTTCCATTTTTTCCGGACGCCGGAGCATGGTGGATAAATTCAGCACAGA